TATATACCTAATTTTACAGACATTATATCTATAAAATTCAACAAACATATTTTAAGAAAGATAAGAAACCGTTTATTTACAATTTGCTTGCTTTTTAAACTAGTTTCTTGAGGCAGTACTGCAATACCTATCATTAGATAGTAACTAGGACACTGCCCCAGAGAATAATGTGCAGCTTAACTACGAGAAAATACAGACGACGCGACGTTTTGTGCTCTGTTTCATCCACACAATTGACAACAACATCTGTAAATCTGATACTGTCCTATCATATAAACTTTACTACGCTCTATGACTACTTGCAAAAAAAATTGCAGAATATTACTTACATAATTATTTTCTAGATAAGTACAAGATTAATTTATTTAAATTCAATTAATTTACTGATATCTAATGGATCAAGTAGGCAGATTTAAATGATACTACTTTCACTACTATCACATCCTTGATTTCATATTCTAAACATGGTCCAATTTTAATTAATCTTCTTAAATGAATTCACTCACTAATCGTAAGTAGATAAATTAATTTAAATTTATAAATTATTTAAAAAAATACGTGGTCCTAGTTTTATACTACCGTTTAATAAAATGCACCGTTTAATAAAATGCGAATAGTAGGCATCTAATGGCCCACCTGATTGTAAGTATAATCTAGGATATAAATATTTTAAACATTGACACTACAGATTTATAAGATCCTTGCGAATCCCAATGTTTAGCCATTTTTGAGGAATAAAATTGTGCCTCTGTTGTCAATCGTTGCTTTTATTCACATGAGTAGTTGTACCCAAATATTCTAAATGGGGAAAAAAAGGATTGTGAGTAATGAGGATCTAACAGCTCTATTGCCAGCAGTATACCCTATGAGGTTGACTTCATTGCGGTTCCTGGAACGTTATTCGTCGTTATGGACCACCTGACCCGTTTCATCCTCATCTATCTCATCACTCACTGGTGCCCTGAAGGCATATACCGATACCGAAAGCGGTATTATCATTCCATTATCACCTATTAAAAAACAATATTCTAAATCATCTTAATAACATATAGATGTGAATGTTGTAAAAATATTTGGATTTTTGTTATTTAATCGCAAATAAACAGTTACAGAATTTGAATAAAAATTGTACAGGTGGTAAAATAACGTATGCTTACTTTCTCAGGAATGGCAACGCATGGGGGGTATCATGGGCGAAACAGTATACTCTGTTATATCCATGGTACTGCTCATGTCTATAGACGACGGTTACCACTTTCCATCAGGTGGGCCATCAGCTTGTTGGCCATTCTAAGTTGTATAAAAAAAAAATTCATGCGGACAACGCCCCGGGGTGCAGCTACTTTCTAATTATTTATTTTAAAAACAGTGTAAGATCGGAAGTCTTCATCATTAATGACAAATGATACGAGAAACAATATGTTTACTTGAGAGGAAGCGGAGAATCACCAAATGACAATAAACTCTCGTAATAAAGTTTCACCGATGCCGGCGACGTGCCGCGCATCTTTACGGTGAAAAGACATGACGTCAATAGACAGGTAGACATTTGTTTGTAAATAAATATTAAAACTTATTAATGAACGTTTTAAAAAAGGCAAATATATATATGTAGGACGATTGTGAAATAGTGACCCACTATCATCCCATAAAAAATACATGGTGAAGGATGAGAGGTGAAGATGAAAGCAGGTAAGTTAACACATCGCAAAGAATTCAACAAGAATTAATCACGACAGTTTCCAGAAGGAACCGCTAGGAAGTCGATCTGACAAGGTACATTGCTACCAATGGGACCACTAGTCCTCATTACGAACAATTCCATTCTCCCAAATACATATATTGTCCCTGAGTATCGTCAAGTTGCTAGACACTAAACCATCTTATACACAGTATAATAAACGGGTCTCTTAGGCGCACTTTGTTTATAGAGAACTAATCCACAGATTAAATTTTTCCATATTTCGATCTACATCCCTGGGTGAAAGTTGTACAATTATATAAATATTATTACTACATTTCGTATTGTTATACGCTTTTGGTTACGCCCAAATAAATTAAACGAAGATTTGAACATTTTTAGCTCCAAGATTAAATGTCTTCAGTGTTATGTACATTTTACCAAATCAAATAATTACATCAAATTCAGCATTTAACAAAATTACTGGCCTCACAATGATCTCAGTTGTCCACATATATTAATGCTTTCTAATATTTAAGAACGATAAATAAGTTAATGGATAAAATATATCCTTCGTTAAGTAATGTATAAAAAGCAGTTATCAGCTCGTAAATTGGATATTCGTTTAGATACCTATCTAAATTTCTTATAATTTAATATTCCCCATAATCTTCGTTAAAAATGTCGCAACGCCAGGTGTAAATCCTACAAAGTCGGCTGAATGTCACTTAATTGCCCTTGGCCTATATATTTCACATGAAATTGGGTCGAGGGGGGCAATTACGGAATTCGTAGACATGCATGGACATATTATATCGATTCGTGATGAAAGATAGGATATCAGTTATTAATTTGTCCTTGTCCTGTCTAAATATAATAGCTTCTAAAACAAAATTAATGGAGTTGGTGCCAGTGTAACTGTTAAATGAAAAAATCTTAAAGCAAATTAGTCCTATGTGCTTAATTAAACGCGGGCCTCGGTAGGTAGATAATTAAACCCAAACTATCACATACTCGAAGGATAATAATGAAACTTAGATGAACTAATTTATACACTGATGTGTCATCATTTGCGTCACAGTTACAGTTGTGCCACCCAATTATTAAATCTGGTCGTTGCCATCTTCGTATTATAATTTTCTTTGAATAAATAACGATCTATTTAACTATATTATTAATTATAGTAATTAATTACTAATGTATGCGAAACAATATCAATAAATAAGTCGCTGAAAGATTATGGGCTCACTTTCGCTACGTATATTTCCATCAAAAACATAGGTTTAGTATATCTCTTTTAATGTGTGGCGTCTTTATAGTAGTTAATTATAATCAATGCTATATAAATTTACGATGCATTAAGGTGGGGTTTTCTTTCAAAGGATAATAATTTAAATAATTTATAAAGTACTTACAGTGAGTGCACATTTTGAGAAAAGAAAATAATTGTTTTGAATAAAATAAAATTGTCTTTCTAACGACTACATAAATAAAAAAATTAAATGCGATAAGTTTAAGAAAAATGTGTTATAAGACAAAATATGTAAAATTTTAATTCCGACAAACATTTAGAAACAGCTATAAACATAAAAAGACATGTCAGTACGTACCTATTAAACAAAGGCAAAAAAAATAGTTATTGCACACGTAAGTAATTGACGTAAACCCGGTATTCTTCCAGAGGGAACGTGTTAATTTATTATAATGTGCGGTTGTGAATAGAGGTGATAAATGATTTATATTTAAGCACAATACTGCATGACACCGTTCGTCCCCTTATAAAAGCGGTGATATTATATTCTCATGCATCAAGTTTATCAATGAACATTGTGTTTAAAAAATATAAAAATTATATAAATAATAAATAAATTTAAATCACGTAATAAGCGACACCTATAAAAACAGAATGCAAACTCATATAATGCTCTCCGAAATATGTACATTTTATTATTTGTATTTTAATGTACCATCTTTTTTTTTTTTTAATAAATGATATTATTTAAGTTTTATCCTATTATAAACAAATAATGTCTTAAATTTAATACAGTAACCCTCTATTTCCATCATATCTATATGTCTCTATGTACTTGTATACGCTTTTGAGTCCCAATTCAAATTTAAATCCCATTTTTGACAATATCTTGTCCTCTACAAATGTTCTTAATTTTTATATTTGTAATCTGTTGTGTGTGTAAAATAATCTAAATACATGAATAATTTTTTGAAAAATAAAAGTTAATATTTTCAAAATACAAGTTATTATTAAAAAAAAAAATACATAATTGACAAACACCGTATTATTATTGCTTTTTTATATCACGTTTGAGCTTACAATCATCTTACCGTGCTACCGTACTGTAAAAAATGCTAAGACAAGCCTTCAAATTAAATCGAGATCTAATAAACCTTGTTCTTTGTTACTAAACCTCGACCATGATGGACGCCCATGCAATGAACCTATAAATTATGCTACATTGTCCTCCCCACGAGTGTTGTAATATGACGGTCAACAGGAAGAGACGACGAGACATCGTAAGGTAGATGACATCAGCCCCCGTAACTGTTACATCATCTGCACCCTATCTCCACTAGACACATAGTGACCATGACCAATCTAAATTAAAGAAAAACGCCTACATCACCTTTTTACATCAAATGATTATTACTAATATTTCTTCAGTTCTACGAGTACTCATGTTAGACTCTTAAACGTGGTTAGGGATTTTTAAAGGAATAAAAATGGACACCGTTGCGCTCTTAACAAAGAATACGCTGGGAGTATATTAGGTCAGGTGGACCACCAAAATTAATTGACCAGAAAATAATTACGACGGTTACCAGTAGGAACCATGTGGAAGTCGATGACAGATATATATTGCCAGCAATATAAAGCCTAGAGGCCCTCTTATTAACAATCCTCTCCTACCCTCCGTCTTTTCACATTGATAAAAGATATCGGAAAAAACTCTACTTATGTGGAGTTCAAATTCGATCACTATCTCCACAAAAGTACTAGGTATAAATAATACTATAGTATGACGATGGTTTAATGGTGTGATTATTTCATCTAATAGTTAAGCCCAACAAATGGATAGCAAGCATAGGTACCTAACACATGCAATTCAAATGAGTAGATACACCCATTTCGCTGTATGTATGCTAAAGAGTTTGCCAGTTTTATATGACGCGCCGCCTCCTTCCAATATTTATAAGTGAAATAGAAATTCTGATTTCTAGAAATTTATTATAATTTCATAAGATACCTGATTTCCCATTAATTTATTTTTAGTATCCATTAACATTTCAAAATGAAACTTACCAATAGTTTTCAGTATCTGGAGATCGTCCAGTTCATACTCTTTTTCTTCTTCAGTGTACTCAGATTCTGTGGTGGTCGACTCCTGTTCCTCGGTGGACGAAGCCACTGACAATGACCGTATGTCAGAGCTCAGCTCCGAGCTACAGTTCCTCACCAATTTCGCACTGGCCATCATCATCATAAAGTCCACGGGCACAATAACAAAAATACAGTACCTAACGTCTATTTAAAACATAACCATAATTTATATATTATCCGTGGAAAGATATTTTTTTTATAAAGTCTAATGTATGGTGTTGGAAAAAGTTATTTCAGTAATATATCGTAAGCGAACGCGTGAGCGGTAGTTTAGAGGACGACGCGTGCTCTCCCCTTCACTATTTAAATCTCACTGCCGCCGAACGACGTACAGACTAGTGACAACGGCGGCAACATAAATAACATGGTAATAAACCCACCATTTCTCATTCTTTTTATTTTAATTATTTGAACATGTAGATTTTACGGTGACTTTGTTTAGTCTGTATATAGCGCAACTAAGTTCTAATATTTGCTTACGTTAAAAATAGCCATTTCTCATTTGCACTCGATCGATGGAGAGGAAGCTCTCTCGTCTTATCAAACACGAGTATTATGTGATATATGTGTCGATAAATAAACTGACGATACAAAAGGATGAAATACAAAATTTGAAATTAATATCTAGTAAGGTATTAAACCTACTTTATGAAATAAGTTTGTAACTTTCAAAGAAGAGAACGTATAAGAAAATCAAACAGCCTTGAAATTAGGATTCCAATAATTTTTTTTAAATAATGAAATTTCATTATAAATTTACGGAAAACTGATCGCCAACGGCGTATTGGTATTATTAGAAATGTACGTAAGCTATGAATAAAATGTTTATTTGTTACGAATGTTACGTGTTAATGTTACCAATCCATCACTACTTTCTTACCTTTTGTAGCACACATAAACAGGGTAGAAATACTTGGTTACTAATAAAAAAAAAACTGTATATGATCTATTTTTTATTAACAACAAGCATATTTATCACATAAACAGACATAATGTAACGTGGTTAAATAGTAATATCACTTAAGTCCGATATACAGTTTCATAGTAAATCTAAAAATAAATAAATTAAACTAGTTCTAATTACAATTTACAATAAATTTAATATATATAAATATATAAGTAAAATAACAAACTCGACATTATTGACAACAGGCAATAATATAATAAAAATAATATATATATATGTATATATATATATATATATATATATATATATATATATATATATATGTATATATATATATATATATGTATATATGTATATATATATGTATATATATATGTATATATGTATATATATATATATATATATATATATATATATATATATATAATATATATATATAAAAAAATTAAAAAAATTAAAATACTATGGCTCAGTATGTACGTGGTGAAATTCCAAAATACAATTAGGCTACATAATGTACAAGTTCGCAAATTTGTTGTTCTTAATTGTAATTTACTCCTTATTGCCACTTTATACTTTGTTTCAACTAACAATTTAAAAATTATTTCCGTTACACCATATGTTACTCGTTATGACATTACGAATAGAGATCAGTGGGGTTACTCTTTAAATAAATTCCAATAGATCTACATTGAAATTGAGACATATTGCGCTCTCGTATTGCAATACTATTGCGACATAATGGTTTCATACTGTTCTAATACATGGATTATAAATAAGATAAATCGTCAATGCAAACCGATTCCATGTCTCATCGAATCCCTAATTGTTATTTCATGAGTGCAGTATAATATTGTCCTTGGCAATATGATGGATAAATATCGATATTGGATTCAAAAGTAGGCCTGCTAACCCTCTAGATAGGGGGGAAGGGATTGTTAGTAATGCGGGCTACCAGTCTTATTGCCAGCAATATCAGGTCGACCTCCACGCGGTCTCCTCTTGAAACCATCGTGCTGAATTTCGGATGTATTCATCACAATGGGCTAACTGACCTGCTTTTTCATTCTCACCTATCATCCCTCACTGGTGCCCCGACTACGTATACCGCCGTTAGCGCAGCCAGGGTTACCATTACATTATAATCCATTAAAAAAAAACTCACGGACTTGCTAGTGATGTTAATTCCATCAACGAATTCGCTTTCCACTTGTCTAGAGGGTCTTTTTTTTTGGGGACTAACCTCCCTATTACTAACAATCCCTTCCGCCCCGAGTCCAACTCCGTAAGTTGGAATGAGACATCCGACGTTGCTATCTCACTAACCAAAACAGAAATGGAGTAGCCGCCAAAGTAATGCCCGGTTTACATTATTAAAACACCCACATACACGAGTTTTAGTAGAGCTATATACACGATAGACTTAGTTACTAGTTGCTTTAATAACATTCTACTTACTCCAAAGACTCCCACTATCAAATGTTATTACAACAAATTAAAGAATTTGGATTGAGTGTTTTAGTAATGTACTCAACGTACCTATGACGTTTTTTTATATAATGTAATTAATAATTATATATATAGATCTTGTCAAAGTTATAATATACACTGTCTATTCAAATTGCCAAGTAGCTTTGCCGGTCGGAAACGGCTTTTTTGTTAAAGTAATGAAATTTAGATTGACGGGTACAAAAACAATCTCTATAATAATATCTCTATTCTAATCTCTATTGTAGGCAACAATTTCTGAGCGCATTTTAATGAAGACGCGATGAAATATAAATCTATTGGACTGACGACAACGCTATCGAAACTAAACTGACTTACCGATATCGAAAACAGAAAAGCATTTTATACAATTGCAAGCATTTTATACTTTCCTGCACCGTGACGATAAATTGTCGTAACGTGCTTTGCTAAATTACAAAAGGGCAATACTACATTTCATTTTGACTATAAAATCCGTTTTATTAATCACCGATAATATAATGCGAATAAATGAGACTTTACGTAGACATAAACATAATATCCTATCTCCATAAACAAATTGCTTAAAATATATATAAATATATATATATATATATATATATATATATATATATATATATATATATATATATATATATATATATATATATATATATATATATATATCAACAGTGTGAAGAAATAATAAGACTGAAGAGTTTTGCTGTGCTTAACGCACCTTAAAATTTAGTAGGTAACCTATATGCATATTACCAAAAAAACTACGCATCCAGGAAGAAAGCTCCATTTAAAAAACAGACAGGAACGTATATAATTTTAAATGACCAACGAAAATAAGAACATGTGAATTGTTTCAGTGCATTATAGATACATACGTGTAATTATATTGCATATTATACATAATTACATTAAGTATCACAAAGTATTTGTAGTTATTTTATATCTACAAGTATAGTAATTTTACAAACTAAGTAGAGAGTATTGAAATTTGCTTTCCACAAAATTCGACCAATCAAATATAACATTACAACTAAATAGCCAAATATTCCGGTGGTGATAATCCTTTATGAACATACTATATTTGTTATACAATATTGAATAGCAAACAAGTTGTCCACGGCCTATCTGATGGAAACTAGAAACCGTCACCTACAGACATAAACATCACCATAGACATAACAGAACGCACTATAATGCCAATGGTACTAACTCATACGTTACTAAGATATCAATAAATACAATATCAATAAAATATATATAAATATATACATAGCATTTTCAATATTCTCAACTCTATGTCAACTGATTACCTACTACGTAATACTTTATAGGCAAAGAACATAACTAACGTAATATAAAAACTAAAATCGATAGAACTAATATTTACAAATAGATCTCTATACATAATATACACAAAAGGTTATTTTCGTAAAATATCCCTTAATCTCAAAACCGTCATTCCCACATGACGTGCTCTACAAATAATGTACATATCGATTCAAAAAACGACTTAGTGAAGCTATTGCCGAGAACTAAAATTGCAACATCAATTTAAATTATAATCCGAAAGAAATTAATAAAAGAGAATTTTAATTACCTCGACGTAAGTTTTCAAATATTTCTATCATATACATATTAAATAAATAAACATTAATAAAACGTAAAATAAAATTGAATTCATGTTTATGGATTAATGTAGAAAATGACTTAGTGCATTGTGAACATGGAAACAACGATTAAACGAATATGTTACCTTCTGGTAACAAAAATAATTATAGCATATTTTTTATTAATAAATTTCGTACAAAATTGTATATAAGCAATGTATTAAAATTTAAAGGAGTACATATTTGTTTTGTTTTATATTTTATAAAATAGTAATAGTAATTTAATAAATATAATGTTACCTTTACAAACAGTTTAAAAGCTCCATATACGGATATATTATGAGATCCTGTTAGCAATAACATACAAAATCGAACTTTTTCAATTTTGGCTATAATTAAAATATAATAAAAATTAGTATTGTATCATACTTTGAGAAAAAATACCAGGCCAGCATGTGTGGCGACTGCCAGAGTCCTATGGTGTTCACCTGATGGACAAAAAGCTAGTGTTGCCACATCCGATAGAGGAAACCGCTCCGGAAACACATCTTTTGCGCTCTGCATCGCATGATATAATTCATTCTATGAATAAAAAAAAGGATTTGTTATAATAAAGATAAAAGTATGTTTTTATACCACATAATAAACAAATATAAGGCCCGGCCGATATTAAGCCTTTATTATAGCATACAGCGGCCCGCAATGACAAGAGAACTTTGTACGCATTGCCGATCTTGAAGAAACTTACTTAGGCCTCGTTTTTGAAAAACACCATAGTATAAAGTGAAAAACTGTCATAAATTACCTTATTCTTCCTAGTGGCAAGGGTTAGTTCTATCCCGTACTTTTCAATGGCGGCTTCATATGTAAGCGGTTCCAGTTTGATTGCAAGTTCATCTTTGACGTGTTTTCTTTTGCGTCCATTTAATTCCATCATTTTTAACACAGCTAGAGGCTAAAATAAAAAAATCAAAATAATAAAATAATACAATACCTATTTATCGTATTTTATGTTATAATTTAGCAATTTTACATAAATTATCTTTTCTCAACAGATTTACAAAAACTTTCTTTTTTATGTCTAGGATTCATGAAAAAAATTGCATATATACTATTTAATAAAATTAATAAAGTATTCTCTTTTAAAAACATTAACCCCAAAGAATCTTAACTTTAACAAGTTTCGATATTAAAGTACAAAAAAAAAACTTTGGTAATGGAACTCTAATACAATTTTTATCTTTGAAAAAAAAGCTTTCATGGACCTTATTACGATATGTAATAGATCTTCTGATCTGTGTATATGTACTTAATACTTATATTAGACTAGTATACAGTATTATAGTATACGGCTTTGTCCACGTGAAACAGTATTTATATACTGTTATACTTATATATACTTATATACTATGCCTTATGGCAGCCTATGTATTTATGTATAAAATATACTACCCAACCCGTTCATCTATTTAAACTTGAGTAACAAACATTCAAATATCTATAGAAACTTTCACATTTATAATATTAGTAGACTGTCTATTGGATGTGGCTATAAATTTGTTTCTAATTGTATATATAGGTAAATAAATGTAAAACCTTTTTGTTAAGTTCACCCCGAGCGGGATGTATGCGCATGGTGCGCATATAGGGCGGCATGTACGCCACCACACAACCGCATCGCTCGCAGCCGCAGCACGCCTGCATCAGCCCCAATCGACGACCGCAGCCCCAAACCTCCAGCTCGTTCGCCGACTGGTTCACTATTTAATTAAACCACTTATGTATTTGAATTGAAAAACCAACCAACAAGATTACAATTAGAGTAATTAAAGAACTTTTAACAATAATTAAAATTAGCTGCTTTCCGCGTTTTCGGTCGTGTAGAACCCATTATCTGCCACGTTCGTGAGAATTACAAAGAATAATTTCTTTAATGGCTACTTTGGACATTTTATTCGACACAAACAAAACCATCTCTTATAACTTCTGAGTTTAAGTTGCATGGAAAATTATTAAATTTTTTATTGTTTTTCTTATCACTTGGTAGTCTACTGATGAAGACGAAGGAAACTTGGTATTAATAATTATGTCCCATAACTTTGCTATAGTAAATTATGCACGATAAGAAATGTATTACTCGTAAATCAGGATATGGTCCATCCATACAGTGAATTTCATTCAATTCCATTGAGCCACGACTGAGTATGACTTTTTTTTTGTAAAATATATAAACTTTTTTAAGATACTGGTAATTTTTGCAATATGATAAGTACAAGGAATACACTTTTTTTTATACAACTTAGAAAAAATATGACGGCCCACCTGATGGAAAGTTTTAAGATACCATGGACATAAGTATACTGTTTCGCCCATGATACCCCCCATGCGTTGCCATTTCTAAGGACTCAGGACACTTACTGACAGCCTCGTCCCCGGAGATCATAGCGGTGGGCCAGCCAGGCGCGAAGGCGACAGAGGAGTACGCGAGGTGCAGCTGCAGTCGCGGGGGCGCGGCCGCCGGCCGCGTCGCCAGCGCTGCCCCCGTCGGGCCCACGAGCGCCGCCACTCCCGCGCTACCCTCCTGCCCGATGTTCGGATATGTCGATATGTCTAAAAGGAAACATTTTTATATGAGTTAAATTGTCTCACAAGTCACAAAGCCACTCCAAACTAGTGGCCCTTAATGACATAAAAAATTAGCGAATCCGAAATAGGCATGGGTAATATGGATACCAGAAAAGGATTGTTAGCAATGGAGTTTGACAGCCCCATAGTTAGCAATATACCTTATTAGGTCGACCTCCACGTGAATCCCCCTGGAAACCATCGTGAACAATTCTTGTTGAATTCATCACGATGGGCTAACTGACCTGCTTCATCCTTGTCTATCATTCTTCACTGGTGCCCCGCCGGTGTACACCAATAGCGCGGGTGGGGGTACCATTCCATTATCATCCATTTAAAAAAAAATATATGGATACCGATCAATATCTATATATTAAGTTCCATTGGATATTGATGGTGGAGAAAAGATCATCGCCCATTTCGATATCCCCCATATGGTTATCTATTTTGGAATATGTCAAAAGTTTGTTATTCTATTATTTTTTGGATAACAGACTTTTAACATATTCGTTATTAGACCGGTATATAGTTATTTCTGTATATTACCCACCCCTTATCCGGACTCAAATTTGAAGGCTCAGACAAGTACTCGACTACTTGTATATTCGAATACTGCACTACTTGAAACACGATTGACTATGCACAATTACACTTATAAAGTAATAAGTCATTTTGTCGGAGCATTTGAAATGAGGTTCTGTCTGTTGTTATTATTTTAAAGTTTACTATAACTATACGATACAACATCCAATACAACGAACAAACGGCAATAAAATGTGAATAGGCTATTTACTATTATTATGCACAACGACGCAAATGACAGGTTTAGTGCGGAAAAAGAGTCCAATTTACTTTTCCATAGGCTAATCGTGGGCATCATCATCGCTTTCCATCAGGTGAGATCGTAATCTATCGCGGAACCTTTCAATAGTAAAAAAAAAATCTATTTAAAAATGTGGCGATTTTTTAAACAATATTATTATTTATATTTGGAAGACAACAAAATTGTATATATCTTATTTATCAACTACAATTATTTATTTATTTAATAAACAATTGAATATAACAAAAAATAAATAAACTCATTATTTTGGACAACAGATCAAATATTTCATTGATTTGAACATCTGTAGGTACTAAAATAGGTCCATGTCAATCAACAGTTAGTTATTCACACTCGATACTACATCTAAATGTGTATGCTATATATAAAGAGTTTTAATAAAGAAATAAACAAAATTTTATAACAAACCTGTTATACAAGAATTAAGAGGGCGTTCGTCGTAGTATGGGTACAGTACAGTAACACCGTTTTCGACAGTGCGCAAGAGTGGTGACTCAGTATTCAGATCGAAATATGCACTGGATCCATCCGCGTAACCGACGATTACAGTAGTATGGTCTTTTTGCTATAAAATAAAAGAAAATCATTCAATCACTACAGCTTACAACACAAACTTTAAACTGTCTATTTTGTATTACTGTGGCACACTTTTTTTTCGTCTTTTTTTTGCAAATGTATTCTTTTTTTTTTTAAGTATGTACCAATATCTGATGTTATTTTAATGTTGTATGTGATGCAAATAAATTATTTATCTATCTGTGGTATTTATTACAAAATAGACATTATAATAAAGTCAAAATTTTGAAAAATAAGCTATATAACAACTGTTATATATTTTATTTTTATATTTTATGTTTGTTATATTAAAGAACTAACAATAAAACTAATGGTTAATGCGCTTAGGATACTGTTCCCAATATAATATCAGCACAATTTTTTTCTAACTTACCTTAGACCAACAAATGGATGACGCTTGATATTTCTTTCTATCCGAATTCATTGCAAATCTGAGTTCTGCTACTGGTTTCAATTTATATATTTTTTGATCACTGTAAAAATAATGTCTATATTATTACCTATCTACAAACAATTTCAAAAAATAATGAATTGAGATTTTTCTCAATCGAGTCATTCCATGTTCTGACTTTTTCAGAAGATTTAAATTAATTTAGTTTATGAAACAAATTCTAATTCTAAATATATTTACGGTACATAAAATACTGATAATTGTTTATTTCAGTTACTACTAGTAAATTATAAGACCCTCTATCATAGTCATCATTATTATATCATCCGTTATCTGCCCATTGCTGAACATAGCCTACCATAAGGAAGGATTCTTATGGCAGTCTATAGGAGAGACCTTCTATAATATATACAAATTTATTTGTAAATAAGTTGACTATATGGCACGCGTGAGATAAATTGAGAAGGCAACATCCGGCGTCTTATTTTCTCTCTCTTGTGTCCAATAGCATAGACATATTACGTAAACAAAATAATTTAACTCATCTGCACACTTATGTCTATTAATTTTCAGCCATCCTTCAATTGATTGCACGGAAAAAAGTGTAAATATCCTTTGAAAACATTCATTGAGGAGCAAATTCAGTTAAATAATTTAATTAATTAATTTTTGATTCATTGGCTACTTGTCGATTACCGACAAATTATATTAGTTGTTGAGTAATATTTACAATACAATTCAATATGTCATATAGTTTCTCTCACCTTTTTGTGATTGATGAAGGGTATGGCACGGAAAATATATAAGCGAGACCATTTGAACATGCTACAGCTAACAAACCAATCCTCAAAAAGCTATCAGGTTTTGTATGGGATTTTAGAAAAATGTCTCGTGCACCAGATGGACACCAGTCCGTAGCCCAAACAGTGCCGTAGTCCAGAGCTAAACCTAAAACAAACTCCGGTACGTCCCTGAAATCAACTACATATTTAATACAGGCTCAACTGCTATCCATAAATGAGTGACATGTATTTTTTTTAATAGGTAAAAATGACATTATATCCCCGCCTGCGCTATCGGTATACACTGGCGGGGTACCAGTGATGGGTGATAGGCGCGGATGAAAAGGCAGCTCAGTTAGCCCATCGTGAAGAATTCAACGATAAATTAATCACGATAGTTTCTAGGGGGAACCACGTGGAGGTCGGCCTGATAGGTTACATACATAGCAATGGGGACTAATTTCCCCATTACTAACAATCCCTTCCCCCAGTGACGTGTATTTAATCGTATTTACTTGAAGATAATGTCGCTTTGTTAGTAAATTCAATCTAATATTTACTTGCAATATTTCACATTTCTAATGTTAATAGTTAAAACTATAAAAATTTGATTAATGATTAGAAGCGACAAACGATAGATTACCCCAATTCTAGTATCTATGGTCTATTTCAATAGCACTTAAAGAAAAGGTAAAAAAAAATATTGAAATTATTACTGTAAATGACAATAAATTAAATTAAAAATAATAAGCAAGCCCCCTTATCCCTAAGTAAACTTTCAAACAAAAAATTCGATAATGGTCTATTTCAATACATCCACTTAAAGAAAAGGTAACCAATCAAACAAAAAAATATTGAAATTATTACAGATCATATCTCACATCATAAAATATGATATTACAATACAATTCTAATATTTACATAATATTATTAAATCTATAGGCGTTACTTACTCATCATTCAAGTAGCCTAAGTCCCAAATCTGTATGAGAGACTTTTGTGTGATCAATTGATCTGGCTCGTTTCGAGGACAGTCGGCGTCGCAGTGGCAAGCGACAGACACGAACTGTTTACATGCGTCTCCTTCGTCATGACGGGCGATTCTGAGGGGTGGTACCCACGACAAGCGCTGTATGCTACCACCCACGAACATGCTCGTTACTTCTGCAATCATAAAGGGAAATCATCGAGTATATGTTATATGAAACCAAGAGTCTAACGACCCACCTAATAAAAATGGTTACCATCTATAACCATCACTCACATTACGAAATCAAAAATCATTTATCTACTAACCATTTGAGAAATCTAACATATATATGTTTTTTTTTAATTTATCGAACCAACTTATTTATTGAGTAACAAAATATACATTGCCTACCTCCTTTTTTCTTAGCCTCAAATCTGTTATACGTCATCCACTCAGCACTGGAAAATTTCACTTTGCAGGATTCTTTTAAGAGCGGTAAGTACTGAGACTCTTCGTCTTTACTCACAGCCTCGAATTCACACTCTTGGAATTGGGGAAACAACTTTTCTGATGTTAAAATTAATTTGGTACTGAAAAATAATAATAGAACCTTATAATTATTTTGTATATATAATATATCGTATACTGTTTCTATAAAACCCATAGAAGAACACATACAACGTGATATAATACTTACTAATCATTGAAACCTTCTTCTAAATAGCTTTTAATGTCTTTGATTGCGAACGGTATCCTTGATATTTTCGAGGACGCATCTATAACGATAAATGCCAATACATTAAATTAATAAACAAACATTGTTATTAAATAACATTTTATCTATTGAAAGAATTATCGCCTTATTCATAAAAACGTCAATCCTGTCATAAACCTATTTTAACCCACATAATGAAGTATTTTGTTCTTTTCTTTTGCACTAATTTCTCAATTTGAAAGACAGTAACTACACACTAATAGTTAATATAGATTTGTAGGACATTTTAGTTTTTATGAATAAGGAGAGTAGCCTATTAAAATATATAATAACTTTTCGCAACATTCGTTTTTTTTTTACTAGAAAAAAAAATCGTTATACATATTTAACAAAAACTACTAACTTGTTTCTCCACCACGCCTTCTCCGTCTTTTTATTTGTGTCTGTTCTTCTTCGTCAGAAATATCGGAGTCGACATCAGAATCATCAGATTCATCCTCAGATTCTTCGGAGTTCTCTGAATCAGATACACATTTGAAATCCTGTTTTTTACATTTATGACGAGAAAATTTCATTTCTACGTCTGTTCCGAAACCGCACTCCGAACATTTGTACTTAAACTGTAACAGAAGTAGTTTATTTTTAATATTGTTTGTGACTAAATGACACAAATATACTTGTTAATTTTATACTTACTTCACTGATTTCTTTGTAGTTATCAATAACACTTTTGGCCCTAAAATCAAATTTTTAAAATTAAAAAAAAAAAATTTACATATTTGTATATAATAATTGGTTCACATTATGGTTGTAGCTTAATTTTTATGTCTTAGGAACATATAAATTATAAAGTAACAATTTTTTTTCATACAACTTGAAAATATAAACAAGCTGAAATAACCATCGCCTATATACATTAAACGCCTTAGTTTTTTTTTTTTTTTATACAACTTAGAATGGCAAACAAGCTGACGGCCCACCTGATGGAAAGTGGTAACCGTCGCTTATAGACATGAGCAGTACCATGGACATAACAGAGTATACTGTTTCGCCCATGATACCCCCCATGCGTTGCCATTCCTGAGGACTCAGGTGTTATTCCTCTGTACCCTGTAAATTGACGCCATATCCCAGCCTTCAAACCGAAACACAGCCATGCAAACACAACTGCTTCACGATTGAAACACGAATGAAAATGAACGCCTTAGTCTACATGATGTTCTGTGTTATGATTATTTGTAAGCTAATAAACAGCAGTTTCTTAACTATTAATTACTTACTGTATCCCGTGACTTCGCCCGCGTGAATCAATACATTAACTATCCTACGTGATAAATAAGGCTATAACCTACCCATTTACCAAATTTTATTCAAATACTTCCAGTACTTTTTATGTATAAAGGTAACAAAGGAACATTCATTCATTCTTAAAAACTTTCACATTTATAATACTCGTATTAATATGATATAACAAATTTCATTTAAGTAAATGCATTACTAAAGTCGTACATATATGTAGGTAGGTAAGCACTATCTACATATTTTCAACCATTACAAACACATTCGACTTCCTATTCTTTCTACATAAAGCATATAGGAATTCGTGGGCGGAAAATCAGACTATATTCAATTTTTATAAATTTATTTGCTCCACAGCTCTTTTACAGTACTCGAATCGTAACGCCATCTTGTTTCATCCATTCGTCGAACAATCATACTTGTATCATACATCTCTTTCACTCATCATCTTTACTCTCATTACTATTCTTTCACACGCCTTCTAGAAACATCCAATCCTACAAGCATACCAATTTTCACATACGAAACATTTCTCATGTTTCATAATATCAAATGTTAACCTTATCATATAATTATTTATAAGTAAAATTAATAAACAATTATATCCTCACTTTACAGCTGCTCTCCTTGGACCAGTAACAGTTAATACATCGTCCTTATCTTTCCCCTGTGCTGCTATGGCTCTCTGTTTACGTTCTTTAGCATATTCCTGTTCTCTGTGCATACCCATATGTTGACTCTTATATATAGACAAGTATTTACAATTGCATATGTCGCACATGACTTTATACATTTCCGTCTCCTAGAAATAGAAGTAACTTATAAAGGAGACGTTTCATATTGGGCCTAGTTATTATATAGCATGTTATAAAATTAAACAAAAAATACGGAGATTATTAAAAAATAAACTAACATTTATTTACGAACTTGATTTTTAGCACAAAAATGTTTTCACTTGCTTAACAAAAAATAATACATAAAGAATTATTAAAAGAATATGATATATACCTCGTCAGTTTTCCCGCACGTAATTATATGAGCATAGAACCCCATATATGAAGATCTGGACACGCCACAAGTTTTACAAACCAATTCACCATATTTTTCCTTGTATTCCTTTATATTTTTTTCTGCACCGTACGTACTCGTTAAATCCTACAAAGCACAAAAAATATATTATCTCAATTACATAGGTCCTTATTCGAGGCACGTCCTCTTTCTATGCTATTATAACTGGCCGCTTTTAATGTTATTTCTATTATTTTAATTTTAAATTAATTAAATTTAAAATTATAATAATAGAAATAATAATCATTATTATTATTTTTAATTGGCAGAACAAATAGAAAATTTATCTAAGTATAATAAAGTTAAAACTAAACCATTGTAATATACAAATTTATTGTTAAATTTAATTTCTTTCCAACATACTCAAAGACAGAATCGATTAAGGCAAATATAAATTAAGACATCTCTGAATTATAAATAAAGAAGTTCTGTGTATGAATTTCTATCATTCGACCCGATAATTTAAAGGTATTAAAGTTGTACAAATTTGGACCATACTCACAATTGGTTTGTCGCCAACAACCCACGCGACGTTGTAATGTTTGTCCATGGAGTGATTTTTCCAATCTAGCGGGAGGACTTTTTCATTGCACACGGCACACACATACATTCCTGAAACCATAATAACTTTTCCGTATATCAAATTTTATTCAAATCCGCTTAGTATTTTTTGCATAAAAGAAGGTATCTCTTATATAGCTCAGAATAAATCTATGAATTATTCATGTTTGGACCATCTTAAAATTATTGTTACCTACATCGTGATTAGGAAGGCACATAACGTCGTCGTCTGATAAGTGGACTATAAATTCTTGAGAACAGAGGGCGCCACTCTCACAGGAGTGTAGTACTACTATCGATGCATCATATCTCGGAGTGAAAAATAATCTAATTTTCTAATATTTTTTTATGGTCAGTTGATTACATACTCGTAGTTTCTATTTTTCATTTTTTTTATACAATTTAGAATGGCAAACAAGCTGATGAAAAGTGGTAACCGTCGCCTATAGACATGAGCAGTACCATGGACATAACAGAGTATACTGTTTCGCCCATGATACCCCCCATGCGTTGCCATTCCTGAGGACTCAGGTGTTATTTCTCTGTACCCTGTAATTTCACATTATATCCCACTCTTCAAACCGAAACACAGCCATGCAAACACAACTGCTTCACGGTTAAAACACGAATGGGACAGAGGTACCCAAGCAAACAACTTTTGTACAAAGTCTTCCTCTGGTAAATTCTCCATTACACCCATATCACACATATGAGACTGTCAGGGAAACAAATTCCATGGTTTTCTTTTTGTCAGTAACAGATACATAACATACCATGATAATCTCAAGTATGAGAGCAAAAGTAACTTCAATTTCTATGAAATTAGTTAATTTCGTTGGAATTAAATTCAGTTTTATTTTAGTTGAAAATTATTTAATTAAAGAGACAAGAAAATTATAGTAATTACCTTCTTCATTCGTAAGATTTTTCTTAGTACACGACTGTACATGTTCCATATATTTTTTAACGTACTTGCGTATTAAACCACAAACATTACACATCAGGGAGCCAGTTTTCTTCAAAATTGTATATAAATGCTCATACACCATATCCGAGTCATTTACGTCCTACAAAAATAAATAATAATCTAATCTTTTTATGTATAAGTCATGCATTCTATTTAATAATCCCAAACATTTTTCAAAATACAATTATTTTATTACTATATATGTTATGTATTATTAAAGCATACTTTATTCCTATAATTCCTATGATACAATTTACAAAACATTTGCGATTATTTCTTTTAAAAAAAATCATAAAAATTCACTTACCAAAGGCGGTTGTCCACTAACCCTAGCTAAATATCCGTGTTCTTGTTGGATATGTGTAATCCATTGGTTTTCTTCCACTGTGTTGTTGCAGACACCACACTGTACAGGGCCTTTGACTCCCAAATCATTTAAAATATTTACATTAGTCGTAGACGAATTCAAAACTACTGAATCTTCATTGGATCCCTAAAAGATTATAAAAATTAAATAATATATCCCAAAAAAATTTACTATTTCAAACAGTATTGTATTTATCTATTTGTAGTGTACTATTACAATGATACTAACCTCATTATTATCACCATTGCAGATTTTTATATGGTGTAAATAAGATTTTACATACTTGCGAACCAATCCGCATTTACTGCAGATCAATCCGTTTTCTTGCTTTGCGATATTGTAAAGGTATTGCCACAGCGATGTTTCGTCTTCTAAATTCTGAAAATAAAAATATAAGAATACAAGTTTGGTTAAATATTCAATAAACAAAAATATGAGCTAAAAATATAAGAATACAGACTAAAAATCCCATTGGTTAAAATATTCAATAAACATATTGATTTTATTTTCTTTATGAGCTACAAACACCACGATCAATATTACAGAAATTATAACTATAATGTCATGTTATCACGGTATGATCTCAAGATGGGATGGGAAGTGACAACCCTTTTATACTTTTATACCACGACCTTTATACGATATTTACCATACAGATATACCAAAAAAGGGCCTTGTAGCGTCAGAGTCAATTTCCTAATATTCATAACGACGATGGTTACCACATTGCATCACGTGGGCTATCAGCTTGTTTATCTTATTAAGTTTTATAAAACGATCTTGAAATAACATCTACAAATACTTACAGGAACTTCATCTCCAACTTTCCAAGCTAAATAATTGTGTTGTTTAGATATATGCTCGATCCAATCTGATGAATTCATGCTCTCTTGACACACTGCACATCTTACAAGTACGTCGTACTGTTTCAGTGAAACCTCCATTGATTCTTTTATAATTGGTAACTCAATCGTACTTGTATTGGTATCATCATTTACTTCTGTTTGATTAAATGAAATCTAAAATATTAAAATTTTACTATTATATTATATTTGTTAAACAATAACAAATCACTTTTAATTATACATTTTTCTTTATAATAGAAATTTGTATATAGATTATAATAGATATTTATATAGAAATTTATAATAAAAGTATTACCTTAAGAATAGACCAACAACTACCTGCTACGAATTTAAGAGTCAATGATAAAATAGATTTTTGTCAAGGATATCATAATATATAATTAGCTTAGTAAACACATTTGAAATAAATTGAATATTAAAATATATGAATAACTTATTATGATTTTAACATAATTATGTCCTACGTAGTTTTAGATAATAAAACTTGTTAAACATTACAGCCTCATAGAAATGACTAAGATTTTACAAATTTTGTAAAATATAATTTTAAAATTAGATAATATTTTTTTTTTATACAACATAGAATGGCAAACAAGCTGACGGCCCACCTGATGGAAAGTGGTAACCGTCGCCTATAGACATGAGCAGCACCATGAACATAACAGAGCACACCGTTTCGCTCATGATACCCCCCCTGTGTTGCCATTCCTGAGGACTCAGATGTTATTCCTCTGTACCCTGTAAATTCACGCCATATCCCACCCTTCAAACCGAAACACAGCTATGCAAACACAACTGCTTCACGGTTGAAACACGAATGGGACAGAGGTACCCATGCAATCGACTTTTGTACAAAGTCTCCCTCTGGTAATTTTTATGGTTGATAACAGGCAGAAATTAATGTGATCATTTAGATAACCTATAATTTACGCCTCTTATAAACAATAAAAAACCATGCAAAGCGCAAGTCTAAAAGGTTAATTTGTACTAGAGAAATTATTATTATATTACAGCATAACTAATAATTTATTTCAATATTTTAAATACTAAGAAATGTGACATAGTTTACTTTTTAGTCTTAAATATTTTTGATATCGAATCACTAGCTCTTAAATATTTAAATAAATATGTATATACTAACATTCAAACCACATGTTTTGATGTGACCGAGAAAACATTTGACCGTCTTCATCGTATATTTGCGAAATAAGCCACAATTGACACACATCAACGCGCCGTGTTCTTGCACCATATTGACCAAGTGACGTTTTAACATATCTTCGTCATTTAAATCCTGAAACACACATTACGTATATATATATAAATATTACAAAATATAATAATAAAACAAAAAATATATAAAAAAAAAAACAATAAATAATAGACGATCATTAAAAACACTTCAATTAATAACCATGCCTTTTAGTAGCAAGATCGAAAATTTAATATCTAAAAAAATAATCGCAACCAGACTATTAATGTATATACATTAATCATAAGTAACAATAAACAAAAATAAACCAAGAAAAAGCACTAAAATGGTGTCAGCTATATGCCATGTTCTTTCGAAGATGACGCTGATTTTCAGTGATTTTCATTTTTAAAATTAATAGTCGTAGATTTATCATGTTTTGTTCAGTTTAAATTATTAATGGACTACTTACAAGTGGCTTCTCGCCGTCTTTCCAAGCCAAATAGTGATGTTGTGAAGATATATGTTCGACCCAGAGACGATTTTCAACGTCTTGCATGCATACACCGCATGTTGTCATCTCGGGTGATTCAGACGTACCAGGTTCTTTCTTTATATCGTTAATTTTCGGTGTATTTTGAGGTGCAGTTGTCGTCTATAATATATTAAATATAAATACTAGTAATAAGGTACGTTGAAGAATAAATTCTATTTTTATTTTATTTAATACTTTATTGTACACATTAGTTATAAAAATATGACAGAGGTAAACAAAAGTACAAAAGCGAGCTTAACTCTGATAGAGTTTTCTTCCAGCAAACCCAAAGTGGAAAGGAGCATCAATGTCAGCGGATACCGCAGTGTACAATTTTTAAATAGCCAAAATTAAATTCTACATACTTATTTCGTAAATATATTGTCAATTGATGAAAATAATATATATATATATATATATATATATATATATATATATATATATATGTATATATCTAATTTTGGAGAAGCTTCTTATATTAGACTAAATTATCGAAATATATTGTCAATTGATGAATTTGGAATGTATAATATATATATATATATATATATTCTCTCTCTTATATTATTATTAAGAACGATTTGCTTATTTTTTAATATTCGTAAAGTCCCATAAAGGTTTTAAAAAAAAAATATTTGGGTCATGTCTGTCAGAACAATTAAGAATAAATACGGAGAAGAATTAATGATATTACCAACCTTGAATTCTGCACATTTTTGCACATGCGTTAAAAATCTTTTTACAGATTTTATTTTAATGTCACAAAAAGTGCATATCAGGAAACCATTCTCATTTAACTTTTCTTTCAATGTGTTAAATAATTCTGGATCTCCGTAATCCTTAAAAATAATTTGATAATAAATGTTTAAAAATATGTTAAGCACTTTGTAATTAATACAATATCGGTCATTTAAAATACCTAAAAGTACTATAACATTAAAAAAAAAACACTATATTTAAATCTCAAACTCCAACGATTACAATTATTGCCATCTAATCATAGAAATCAATCATTACTTTTATGTGGTTTTTCTGTGGAAAAAAGAATGAATGAATGAAAACTCTTCCCTTCAACTTCAAAGAATACAAATTATCAAGATTAACAATTTGTAGACAAACAAAATTAATACCAGCAAAATAAAGAGGCAAGGATGGGCGACCTTATCGCTAAACAGCGGCATCTTTAATGTTTGTTATATATGTTACAATGCAATATGCTGTTGGTATTCCTTTAATTAAATAAATAAATAAATAAATCTTTTAGGCAACCTTAGGATGGAGAAAAATATTTAAAAAAATTGTGTCTGGTCAAAGCGCAAGAGAAAAATAATAAGAAAAAAAAATCTATTAAAACAAAATACATTTAGCACACGACTTAGTATAGAAAATTGCAAAAAGCTATTTAAATAACATTATTGGTTTACACCAATACTTACAAAATCATCACCATCTTTCCAGGCAACAAAATTATGACTCCCAGAGACATGAGACTTCCATTCCTCTTCATCAACTACATGTTTGCAAACACCACACGTCACCGTTGGTTTTGCTGGTCCATCATTCGAAACATCCAACGTTTTACGTTTCTAAAATTAAATAAGGTTTACATACGATTTAATTATATTAAATAATTAAATAAATTAGTATACGATCGTATTAAGTATATTAGTAATCTCTTGGAAAAGCCTCGACAAGGAGCTCATTCTATAACCTGAGCGTTCGTGGGAGGAACCATCTCTGACCGTGCTGTACGCGACCATCTGGACTCTAAGATATGGAGATGAACTCTCTGTCGATAGCGAACTCTTCAATAGTAGAAAGCGGCAATGGGTATCATATTGAACAAATTATTTTGAGCACAGTCCGTTATATAAACAGTAGAATACGCGTGAGGCAAAATCTCTGCTAAGACTTAAAGGTTGGATACCGCTTGTGAGCCTGGGATCATCGACAATTCTCATAGCTCGACATTCCACTGAGTTAAAGCGTTCTAACTGGTATCTAAAGTGGTGTATCTAGCAATAATCCATGTGGGGCAGATTTGCGATTTATAAAGCATTAATCGTTGATCCGGCATATAGTCTCGCTTCGCTCTATTAATCACACCGAGTTTATCTTATGCCAGCTTCACCTTATCTTCAAGATGGCCACGGAACTATACATTATTAGAGATGCCTTGGAATTGTGGAGCCACAACAAATGTTTTTTTTAGCGGTGAACGCGAAAGCTTGTTTCTTGGCGGGGATAAACTGAACTAAATTTTGTCAGTCCCAATCAGAGACCCTAGCTAACGTTCGATTTTAGACACAAGCTGTTCACGCTTGTTCTCCACGATGGAACGAGGGACATTGGTACGACCCGTATAATGGGCATCCCCAGTGCTATCATCCGCATATCAATGAATGTCACCTAAGGTTAACATATCATTAATATGCAGCAGAAACAACGTTGAGAATAGCACAGAGCCCTGCGGGACGCCAGCTTTAATGTTTATGCTATCGGAGCAGCAACCATCTACAACGATTTTATGCGTCTGCCGGACAAAAAGCTGATAATTCATTATCATAAACTCTCGAGAAGTCCGAAGTCGGGTCAGGCAATTTCCATAAAAGCTCGAGAGCTTTTATGAAAATTGCCCAACCCGACTTCGTTTCGGCATTGGATCGGGTCTGGCATCGAGATGCCAATCTTTGCAATATCAAACTAATAGCGAGTGCCTCGCCTTAACTCTCAATATTTCTTTGATAAAAAAGTTATTTTGAAATAAAATACCAACTTACCCTTCCCCTACGCTTTTTCGTTGGTACCACACTCGTATCAGCACTACTGTTCTCTGGAATAAGCTTTTCGTCCGTCTCTTTAAAACTTGTCCTTTCTTCAGATCTAATTTGTTCATCTCCGCTTTGTTCCTGCATAATTATTATAATTAATTACGTAATAATTCTAGCTATTTTTTTTTTATTTTAGTGTTAACAATATTAGGAACTATGCAACGAAAATTGATTACCGTCGCCTATAGGTAATGACTTCATAAATTACACTGAAAGGAGTACTTATTTTAATTTATTATCAGAACATTTAATTACAATATTCAAAACTGTCTAATTCTTTTAAAAATTGCCATATAATAAGGACTATTAAATTTTGATAAACTTGAATACGAACATTCCTAGTATTTATCATAATCGAAGTTTTAAAATTGTTTGCACTAAAAATACGTACAATAATATAAACGAAACTATTTATTATAATTACAAATGTCTCATTTGTGTAACAAAATTTCATCAAAGTGTCTACTACAAATCTACTACAAATTAAATAAATCATACTATGTACTCACTACTTTTATATGTAAGCAATCTTTCATATGAGTCAAAAATGTTTTTGGTTTCTTCATTTCAGCATCACAATGATTACATTTTAAAAAACCTTTGCTTTTTAATCTCTGTTTTAAATTATTTATCAATTCCAAATCTTCCCAATTCTGTAATTGTTAAAAATAAAAATATTAAATTGTGTTGTAGAATGAAGAGCAGATGATCCTTATAGATAATTTTTAGAACAGCCTGGAGCTCAATAACAGTATGCAAAATAAGCTGCATATAACATGTTGTAGTTACAAGTAAAATATATATGAAGTGTGGTTGAAACAAATATACACTGCACAAGTGGAAGGAAGCAGATACTGGCGAAGACGTAGAAAAACACAAATCTGAGGATCCGATGAGTATGCATGAAACATGTAATGGCTGGATAAAAAATAGAGGCCTTTAGCACTTGGCTTAACATGGTAAGTAGTAAATTTTAGTGGAAGTAATTGGCCACTAAAAGAATCCACCTTTTCAGATGTTAATAATATTAACATAATGTGCTCTTAAGGCAACTTACATCTACTCAATACTTACAAAATTTTCGCCGGCTTTCCAAGCTATAAAACAATGATCTTCCGAGATATGATCCTTCCAATTTATTTCTACAATCATTTGCTCACACACACCACACTTTACAACAGAATTATAAGAATCATTAAATTTTCGCTTCTAAAAAAAGTAAAATACAAATTAGTACGAGTATTAACTTCAATGCGGTAGGTTACAGATATAAATGAAATGTCAAAAATAGTAACTCACTCTTCCCCTTTTTTTTTCTTTTGGTACCGTACTCTTGTCGAGGGCGACGTTCTCTTCAGGAATAATTTTTATACCCATCTCGTTATTACAATTAAATTTATCTTCAGACTTCCTGCTGTTTTTATCTGCACTGGATTCCTGTTCATTACAATACATTATAAATTCAAAGTGTTGTTTAATATACATAACTAAATATTAAAAGTTACCTACAACTGCCATTAGAGTAACAAAGGATTATTTGTATTTTGATTATTTGCATATATTTTAGTATTTGTATACATTTGTATTTATTTCGGTCAATCAACATATCCTAGACACTCGCAATGAAGTCAGGGGTAAACATACTAGTAATAAATATGTCCCAAATTATGAAGTAATAGGACAAAAGGTTTAATAATAAAACTTTAAAAAATTCACACTTACAATTTTCCGGCCTCTTTCATTTTGAACTTCAGAAAGTCCGCTGTTATTTCTATTGTCAACTTTTCCACAGATGGCGTTTAATTCTTCTACTGGCAGATAAACTGGACGCTGATCTTTGTTACCATCATCTTTTTGCTCCCCGTTTTCAACAGAATTAGAACCCTATAAACACAAGTATATGGTTAAAATTATATACCAAATGTATCTTGATTTAAAAACATGAAAAACATGTCACTGGTGTTGTTTACGTTTATAAACAACGATTACCATTTTCTATCAGCTTGTTTGTCATTCCAAATAATGAAATGGGAAATGGGAGACACCAAAAGTAATATGAGTTGAAATCTAAATTTGTGTGGCACAATTTTAGGCAAATTTTTTGTTCAGGCACTAAGCATAATGTTTCAACAGGGTCTTTATCACATTTATTTATTAGAATAAATAATACTAATAATACTATGCATAATAAATATAATACTGATACTTCACCTTTAAATTTAAGCAAATCTTGATGTGTGACAAAAATTTTTCTGTTTTCTTTATTTTAATATCACATTGATAGCATTTTAAAAAACCATTACTTTTCAACCTTTCTTTTAAATTGTTTACTAATTCCAAGTTTTCCCAGTTCTGTAAGATTAAAATTATAATACAAATATTGTATAAATTATATATTAATTCTTATATTTAATTTATTAATATATTTATAAATTAAATTTTAGAACAAAGCGAAAAAGTTCCTATCTGTGTTTTCATTCATCAAATTAAAAGTGCTATAGCATTTCTTAACAATTTAAATATAATTCTTTGTATAACGTTGTTTGAAAATTATTGTCACTATTTAAAATTTAAAATTTTGTCCAACTACAAATATAACAGATGGCAAACATAGCGAATCATAGGCTGTATTGAGTAAAAATAAATTCAGGTTTATTTTTATATTATAAGCAAACCCCAATATTTAATCGGTTCTCATATATATTTCAAAGAAACCTTCCTTAATGGATGTATAAACTCCTAGATTCTAATACATGTAACTTGTATACACAGTTTCTAGTTTCTAGCCTAGTAGCTCTAGTAGTTGTCACTATGCATTGATAATCTAAGAAATGTATGGATTAACCTTTTCTTAGTGTACAGATTACTAACTATGTAATAAGCAGATAAATATAATGCAAAGTTTATTCCTAATGTATTGTTAATTTCTTTCTACTTACAAAGTTATCACCAGCTTTCCAAGCTATAAAACAATGCTCTTCAGAGATATGGCTCTTCCAATCTAATTCTACAATCATTTGTTCACACACGCCACACTTCACGTATTTTTTATTAAGATTTTCATGCGAATCATCTGAAGTTATATGGTGCTTCTGAAATAAAATGGGTGATTGTATTAAAATAATGCAGAACATTGATAGAGAATGTCATATGGCAGCTATTAATATTACAAATGCAAATTATTTGTAAGAATGGATTTTTCTTTTACACAAATATTATTGAACGGATTTGAATAAAATTTGGTACATGGGTAGGTCATATTATATAAGTTAGCACATAGGATACTATATATACAGCTGCACGTGGAAGAAGCCACAAGACACGGATAGTTAAATAATATAAAAAACATACTCTGCCCCTTCGCTTTTGTTTTAATTCTACACTCTTATCGGCGCTACTATTCTGTACAGGAACAAGCATTACATCCATGTTTTTGTTAGAACTTTCTGACATATTGATCTGTTTGTCTGTGCATGTTTCCTGCAATTATTAACATTCATTTAAAATATAGAGTTTCAGAATGTAATACTAAATAAATAATCATCCTTATTACTTATAAGAATTCTATCCCAAAATTTTAACAAACTATTACCATGAAACAGCCTACATAATGCCTTAACAATGCTATTGGAAGTGGTTCATTTTAAGCATTTATCACAGACAATATATATAAAACGAGAACAAATGCAACAATCCTTTCTAACTAAATGTAGTTAAAATTAGAACACGCTATGCCTCATATAGTTAAAACAAAAGCAAGGAATCTATTTACAAATAAAGTAACTCTCGGTGCACAAATCTGAATATTAAAATGTATAAAAAAACATGTACAAGATCTCTATCTATCATCGAGTATTATAAACTATATACAGAAACTTACAAATGATCGCCCACCGTCGCTTGGAACTTCATTAAATCTGGTACTTTTTATATCTACAGCATTAACTTTTTCATTGTTCTTATTTAATTTATCTACTGAAAAAGAATTTGATTCACTGTCTGCATCCCTATTATCTTTTTGTTTGGTGGAATCAACATAATCAGATACCTGTAATTAATATAGGAAACTATTTAATTAGCATTTCATACAAGTTTGAAAAACAGTGTAACTGTAAAATTTTTAACAAATACAAATAAATTGATATAAATATAATACATCACTTCACAAAGCACACCATCTGCAATTTTTATGCAACTGTAAATAACAATCAAATGGCCCACCTGAAGGAAAACAATAACAGTCGCCTGTATACATGAACAGCACCCTGACGCCCATAATACCCCCCATGCGTTGCTATTTTAAGATTGTTAAGACTATAATGTCACCATATTGCATCCTTCAAACTAAAACACAGCTGCTTTAAGGCAAAAACACTAATTAAATTAGGAAATGTGGTATACCCATGCATACTACTTTTGTACAAAATCTCACCCTAATACATACAAGGCTTATTAATCAACAATGACATATTACATCACCTTTAATTTCAAACAATTCCTGATATGCGGTATAAAAACATTTAATTTATTTATTTCGACATCACATTGATAACATTTTAAAAAGCCGTGACTGTTCAGTCTTCCTTTTAATTTGTTTATCAATTCGAAATCTTCACAGTTCTGTAAAATACAAAAAAATAATATTAATAATTATCCAAACCTCGAATAGGATATTAAGAGTTCTAAAATTATATGATCTTTTCTCAAATAAATTTCTAAAAGAAAAAAATCTATCGACTTTTTCTGCCTGCCTTTTAGCATGTTACCACGGCTTGAAAATGTATTATCATAATTAAGTTTTGTACTACTCGTATTAATTAACATTAGTAATAAAATAAATAAATATAAAATCATAAAAGAATATATATATATATATATATATATATGTATATATATATATATATATATATATATATATATATATATATATATATACATATACATATATGAATTAATTTATTTTTAGGTAGGTTCTAAAATTTTCCTTGAATAATGGAAATTCACTCAACAATCTATACGTATTCTATATCTCATTATATTGTAAGTACTTAGTTCAAGAAATACCATACTCTTGTGATCACATAAATATTGCAATATAATAAAAACATTATATTGTTTCGTTGTCGTTAAATGAACTCTGAATAAAACAATTAATAATTAGTTGCGCACTTCTGTTGTTGTTTAGCATAATAAGAACTTTTAAAAAATACAATCATAAACCCCATTGCTGACCCCACCACTTACAAAATTATCACCGGCCTTCCAGGCAATATAGCAATGCTGTTCAGAGATATGACGCTCCCATTCCACATTTAGGATCCGTTTTCCGCACACGGCACACTTCACATTCTTTTTACTCGACTCTTCGTCCTCAATATCTGAAGTAGTTCGGTGCTTCTAAAGGAAGAAATGTAACAAATAACATTATGCAATAAGTAATGCTCAAGTCTCCGTGTGGATAAAGTTACCGAAAAAGAGATAAAGTAAGAATTTCACAACTGTGAAAACTTTATTCTTTAGATAGAACTATTTAATATTGATACAAAGTATTTACTAGGTAAGTAAGATAATAAATCCATTGAATTTAATCTTTGAGACGTCTCCAAAACTTTCTTCCTATCAAAACAAAGATCAATATATGTCACACACTCCTTCTACCTATTCTTGATTACGCGGATGTTTGTTTTCCTGATGCCACTATTGAACTTCAGAACAAACTAGAACGTCTCCTGAATCTCTGTATTCGTTTTATGTTTGGATTACATAAATTCGACCATGTTTCTCACTACAAAAAACAGTTAAAATGCCTTCCTTTTCAGCTCCGACTTAATCTACATATACTTTCTTTTCTTTATAATATCCTGCATAATCCCATTGCACCAACATATCTTCGTAAGCGGTTTAACTTTCTGTATTCAGCGGAAAGCAATACTAGGACTCTTAATCGTTCTTTATTGCGAACTCCAATTCATTCTGATCAAGCGTATTCAGACTCTTTTTTTGTAGCTGCAATTAGATTATAGAACACATTTCCTCATGAAATTAGAAATAGCCCAAGGATTGGGATTTTCAAATCTCGTTTGAAGAATTATTTCCTCTCACAATGCTGATGTACGTACTTATTATATTTGGGTATTATATATAATCGACTCCCTGCAATGCATTTGACGTCGTCTTTCCAGCTAGTGGGAGGTCGCCCTACACGTTTGCTTTTATGGGGTCGCCACTCAAAAACCTTGCGACCAGCTCATTGTCACTTCAACATGCATATCCTTCGGGCTATATCGGTCACTTTGGTTCTTCTGCGAATATCCACCTTCCGAATTCTATCAGATAAAAAATATCCGAACGTAGCCCTCTCTAAAACTCGTTGAGTAACTGAGAAAATTTTTCCTTCGACCAACCATGTAGGACTTTATTACGGTTCCGTAGGTTATCGCTGGCAAAACGCACTGATTAAATTCTTCTTTCTTTTACATTATTCACGACTCAAAAACGCGCTCCCAGACACCACGAAAAGACTTCCTTCACATACAGCACAAGCTTACGCATTCACCACTAAAAAAACATTTACTGTAGCTCCGCAATTCGAGAATATATCCATTGTCATCTCCAAAAGTATTAGTATTCTCGAGGCCGCCATCTCCAACATTGCAGACTTCAAAGATCATCTAGAAGATAGGGTCAAGCTGGCGTCCAAAAAGCTCGGTGTGAGCCTCAAGACAAAGACTATTGTTATACTAATGTTTTGATTCTCATCTGTAGACTGTGGGCTGGAGGACTATGAGAATTGTGACGATCCTAAGCTTAAAAGCAGTATCGAGACCTTAAGTCTAAGTCGAGATTTTGCCTCCCTTTATGTGTTCTTCCAATAATATAACGGATTGTGTTCTGAGGAACACAATCCGTTATATAAGCACCACTCGCCACGGACTGGGAATTCATCCTCACATGCTTGAAGCTAAATGGTCACGTACAGTACGGTATCAAAGAAATTTTCTCCCGCGAATGCTTAGGCTATGGAATGAGCTCCCTGCCGAGGTTTTCCCTAGAGACTACAGTATACTAACGGGCTGTATGTTTATTTACCACCTTTGTGGTACAAAAAAAGTTTGTTTTTATTTAATTAGCATGCAAATACATTCAAAAACTATGGATATTTAGTACCACTTAAACCTCTTGGGCTGGTGTGTGATACATTTCGTTCGTTCGTTATTTTTATAATTTATCCGAGCAGTAAGAATTATCTACTATTTTCATCTTCGAGTATAATATATCATCGTTTTAATCTCTTTCATTTTATAACTACTAGAACCCTGGATTAATAAAAAATATGCAATTATAAATACTAATAAACAATTTAAAAGAACATTGAAAATTTGTATTCTTAAAAATAAGCATTACAATAATGCATATAATGGGATAACAAATACATATACTATCTAGCCTAGACAATATATAGATAATAGGATATATTTTTATCACAATTAAGAAAATTTTATAAATCAGGTAAGTAACAACTTTTCTGTTGTGTTCACTTACTTTTTCCTCTGATGTTAGTTCGACCTTTGTATGGCGAATTGATTTTTCATATGCATTATCACTTGTAATTTGTTTTGTAGTTATTAATTCTTTACTTGGATTAATATTGCTTGTCTCTTTTCCATTAAACATAAATGACTCCTGAAACACATAAAATCATAATTTTCCGACCAACTCTTGAGTAAAAAAAATAACTTGCAATTTCTTCATTTCCATACTCACATTTTTTTTTGAACATTTACTAACATCAGATCTATCAACAACATGAATTTCTGTACTACGAGAACTATCTTCTTTTCTATTAACATTTTCAATATCAACTTTTCCAGTGGTGACATTACTGATATGTACTATATTTTCAGGCCCATTCACAAACTCTGGTCCAGATAGTGCCAAATGTAAATCAGAACCAACTAAACAAGCATTACTTTCGATTTTGGAGTCAACATTAATAGTCGAAATTAAATCTCCTTTATAACAATCCATTACATTCCAACAAGTATCTTCAACTATATCAAAACTATCATCATTTAAATTCTCGGATACCAAATCTCTATCAACAAGATTAGAATCTTCACTATAAATGCTTAACACAGTATCAGTACTGCAATTGACAGTTGGATGGTTCCAAAAATGGATGTGTTCATAAAGGTTAACACAATCATAATATGCCAAACGGCCAAAATCAGCACATAAACAAAATTCTTGTATTAAATTAGACACATTATTTATTTTCAAATCATTATCGCAATCAATATTCTCTGCGGTATCTTTAGTATTTTCTCCAATTATATTATTACAATCAGATAACAGATCTTTATGAAGTCGTTTTTGACGTCTTTTTTTGCTATATGATTTGAGGCTTCTCGGGTTTTGTAAACTTTTAATATCCTGTTCATTTCCACCTGGTTTTTCAACTCCCTGAATACATAACTTGGACTTAATCATACCGCTTTTAACATTCATACTTAATACATTTTTTGAATCATTATGGTATTGTTTATTTATAAGTGCTTTACTTTTATTCTTTCGTAATTGAGAATATTGGCTTAAATAACTTGCAATTTCCCCAATTTTATCCATTGATGATTTTGTAGTGATCGTTATAGTATTATCCATTAAATTATTATTGCTTTGTAATTGGTTAGACTGCAGATTAAAATCTTTAATATCATTATCTACTAAATTATTTTTTGGATCAATTTCGAAATTATTTGAATGTATGCTATTATCTAAAAGATTTCCATAATTTGTTCCAATATCATTACATTTAATATTAACAAAATATCCTTGATTTAAATCTGCGGTATGTTTTTTAGAAATATCTGTACATACATGTTTATTTTTACCATTATCAAATTGTTTCATTTGTTGGCAATTTTCACATGTGGAATCTGCATTAATATTTTTATATGTTCTAATACGAACTTCAGCGTTATTATTAGCTGTGTCAGTATTTGTAATTATTGATACATTTTCCGAATCACTTTCATCACCAACAAAACTTGAATATTCGCTGGTAATATTTGTGTGACTAATATTTTCAATTGTTCTAGAAGTAAGTAAGGACTGCGATGAAATTGTTTCTTTTTCACTGTGATTTACATGCCCTTGGTTATCTATGTTTAATTCTGAAACATTTTCCTCGAACATATTTTCTTCCATACAAATATTATTATTATACGTCTTAACCTCTTGACAATCATTTTGGGTACATTTATCTAATGATACTTCTATTTCTTTCACATATAAAACATCTTTATCATTATCGCATACGATATTATTAATTGGGATAAAAGAATAAACATCGCTTATAATATCATTACTTTTATCAACTACCAACGAAGACATATTGAAATTTGTAATTACAATATCTTTTGCTTCAGATGCAAAGTTTTTACATTGATTATTAGTATATTCACTGTCTAATTGAATATTTGTATTAAATACGTAATTCATACATTGGTCATGAAATGGAAGAACATCTGTCACTGTATCAATATTATTTTTACAAGTAACTGTACCGCTTAATGTTTCTAAATTGATATTATTGTTATTCAAAGTATTTTTTTCAAGTTTTATATCTTTTAATTTTAAATTATTAGTGATTTGGTTATCTTCAGATATAAAGTCTTTCTCATTATTAACAATATGTAGCTCAAATATTTGTTCATTTTTATTAATGTCGTTAATAACGTTTTGTTCACAATTAGGCGTATCTATGACTAGGTTATCATTTTTCTTGTTCATAGAGAGGATAGCATTTACTGGGACTGGAATCAAAGAATTACAATTGGGAGACTTTAGAGCTTTAATTTCCCTGAACTGTGATGGAGCTAAAATTTCTTGAGATATGATATTTACTTTATTTTGCGTATTCTCTCTCGACTGCCTGCTATTCTGCATAGAAAATTCTCTAGAATTATTATTACTGTTCTCCACAACATCAGGTTGTGCTTCGATTGATATATTTCCTTCTGTATTTTGTAAAGAATTGTCGTTTATATTCAGTTCATACAACACTATTTCAGATATTTCATTGTCCTTTTGTATTGATTTAGGCACTATTTTATCGGGCATGAAGTTTTGTAAACATATTTGTTGATCCAGATTTGAATGTAATTCTTCTTCTTCAAAAGCAACTAAACCTATCCCATCAGAGTTGCCAGGTGTCTTACTGACTACATGGTTTATATTTTCTTTTAATGCATCATTCTCGCTAGGATTGTTTTCTGATTGAATAGAAATTTTAGCAATTTCCATTTCACCTGGAATTGCATTAGCAATTGTAGGTAGAAAGGTAGGGCTTAAAAATACCGACTTTTTCATGAGGTTAGCAGTTTCCAACATAGATGTTTCCTTGTAGTTATTTATATTTGTATGCAAACTAGATGTAACGTTAGATAACACATCTTTATTAACACTTGATGGATCAACTGCAGATGTTACGTCTGAAAAATATCAAAACATAAAACTAAATAACATAAATATATAATTATAAAAATTATATGTATATGTCTGTAAATAAAAAAAATTGACAATTTATTTATTCCAATATCAAAATGTTCATTTTTCTCTAAGGTTCACGAGAAGACAATCTTCCTTGACCTTCTAAGTCAAACATTAATTTCGTATTTCACACCATGTATATAATTAGTCAATACAGGTAATTATAAAATAAATAAATTTAATAATATTATCATATAAATAGGTAAGCATTATTATATACGTATATAAAAAATAAGCAATTAATATTTAATTTTCATATTTTAATAGCGAAGAATGAATTTTATCATCAGAGCATGATACACATACTGTATCAAACATTAAATTAAATGTTAATATACCAACGGCACAATGAACAGATTTTTTTAATTATTAAAATTTCATCGTCATTTTCGTATCAACCATTATCTGTCCACTGCAACAATTCTGTCCATTGAAACAAAAGTATTTACTATTTGTTGTATCAGCTGTTAGCTGACCACTGCTGAACATAGGCTCCCCCAGAGGCTCACCTCTTACGACACCCACAGGAAAAGAAGGCGTGGCCTATTCTATGCTAGGACTTACACGGCTGACTTACTGTTTACTGTTTACATCAATATTTGAATGAATCTACACCTTCATAATACCAGACGATACTCACTAAATGACTATATACGGGGGGAGGAATTGTTAGTAATGAGGAGGTTAGTTCCCATTGCTATCAATAAATCGTATCAGGTCGACCTCCACGCGGTTCCCCCTGGAAATCATCGTGACTAATTTGCCATCACGATGAGCTAACTGATCTGCTTTTCATTCTCATCATTCATACCTCACTGGTGCCCCACCAGTGTATACCGATAGCGCAGGCGGGGTTACCATTCAATTCTGTGCCTCTAGTGAGAAAGGGTTCAATTCAAAATGGTCACTTTTCAGGAGAGCCAAAAAACTATTTTAAATAAAGAAAAAAAATTCTGCTGCTTTTATTATTTGCTAATTGAACAAGACAATGATTGCATTTATAGTAATTTTTTCTCCTCTTTCTTATGAAATTGTCGGTTTTTGTGTAAAACCTATAGTTTTAAAAATAATTCTATTATACCTAATCACACTTAACAAAAATATTAAAATTATGATGTGAAAATAGTTTTAAGTTGAATTAAAACTATTTTATTGAAGTATTGAAGAAAAACAATGATTGTGTATTTTACGCTATAAAAAATAATCGCTATTTAATGGTGTAAAAGGGTTCAAATCGAACTGATTCATTTTACAAAAATATTTTTTGTAAAATATTGTAGTTTTATTTCTAATTATGACTTTTTTACCACAAATATTTTGTTAATTGTAGCCTTTTACATGTTTACTATCTCTATTGTTTTTAAAGATATCGTTACGATTCTTATACCATTCGAAAGAGAAAAATTTGCTTATTTAAAGTAGCCTAAAAAATAAAAAGGCTATAACTTGAGTTATACCCTTTCTCACTAGAGGCACAGAATTATCATCCGTTAAAAAAAATTACTACATACAAAGCCATAGTATACAAGTATATAATACCATGTAGGTATGTACAATAAAAATATTTTTTACAGCTTACAAGGAGTTATATTTTTTAAAGCCTGGATTTTCAGTAGTCGGGTTTTAGTTTTTAAACTTACTCTTTAGTTAATTTACTCTGGATTTTTTTTATTATTTATTTAAAAGAATTTGCAGATCCACTACTTTAGATAGGTTTGAAAAGGTGATATATGTGATTCACATATGACACGTGATTTTAATAAATACTTTCAGTTATACAAACTACTTAACAAAACTGCAGTACAATAGTACATTACTGCAGCGGCCAGCAACTGAGGCATTGATGGACGAGGCACACATACGTGAGTCCATCAATGCTTAGTTGTGGCCAAGGCTTGTATAGTACTTTTCTCAAACAATGCGCGGAAATCAAAAACACAATTTTACTTTTTAAGTTCAATGACGAATAACGAACAATAATAATCTTTCACGCGCCATAATGTTCCTTTGTTTTTTTTTTTTCAATAAACAACTTTCTATTTGCAAGCCAGTTCGAAAATTAAATAAAACCTTTTATTAGTTACCTCCTTGGTAGCCATGTTTCGAAGTAAAAGGTCATTATTCCATTTTTAAATTACAGGACAGATATGAGTTTACATAGTAATTTATCTGGCCAAAATATATTATTATTATTAAAGAAATATGTTTCTCAAACATGCTTGAAAATATGAGCATTATTTTGACAACCTTCTTCGAGATAAATCAAAATTGCCGTACTGGACAAATACATGCGGGCAGCGGCCAACAAAAGTTATATGAAAATCCATATCTGTCATGTTTTGCGACCAGATAAATTACTATATAAACTCATATCTGTCCCATAATTTAAAAATGGAATGACCTTTTACTTCGAAACATAGATACCAAGGACGTAACTAATAAAAAGTTTTATTGAATTTTCGAATTTGCACGTTCGTCCATCAATGTCTCAGTTGCTGGCCGCTGCAGTAATGTACTACAAATGTGCTGATAAGCAATTTCACCCGATACCCAAAATAGTATCGTTAAAGAAATTTACTATGTCCACCTTCATGCTATATAAAAAATAAATTCTGATCTAACTTTTCAAAGATAGAAAAAACCGTCCAAGTGACAGTGACAGATAGATTCATCCCAGGTCACGTTGGATTAATTATGGTCAATGAAATATGAATATGCAGTGTTACGTGTTATGATCACTGTGACAGTTATTAACGTTGTTCAAGTCTATAGGCAATTGTTACCAGTTTCCATCAAGTGAACCATAAATATGCAGTATTTAGTTATATAAAAAAAAAATCTGTATTTTGTATGTTATTATTTATTTTTGTACAATATTATTGAATTTAATGTCAGATATTTGACATGTTGCTGACAGACTGGATAATCAACATATTGAAAACGTGAAATGTTTTAGGATCTAATTACGATTTAGCATTTATTTAAATGAACTGTTAAACACTTTTTTTATCATTCAGCATTATTTTTTATTTTGAATAGAAACCAAAATGATTAACAAAAATTTTACCACCTGCTAAAAGCGCCATCTAGCAGTAAGTGGAGAAACTATTAATTATTTACATTTATTTTTTGTTGTGCCTCATCAAAGAATTTTAAAATATAAATCTAATTTATCTATAAACAATAAACTTTGCAGAATACATATGCAATTTAAATAAAAAAATAATCACCACTACACATTACACAGCACCTACATACTACTACTACATACTTCAAATTCAAATTTGATCTTATAATAATAGACACAAGATAAATAATATTCGATTTACACACAAAAAATAAAAAAAGCATCTGACTGTATAAGTGCTGAAAATTATAAATTACGCTAATTAATATGTGGAAATTGAATCAATTATTTTTAATGATTTTATTACTATATATAGTATGTAAATCATATAGTATGTGTATCACATACAATATAGTCTTTGATTCTCAGATAGATTAATAGCAATTATGAATTATTTAAAATTATGCAATCATTTTATGTTAGGAATAGCTATTTTAGCCTGCCAGCACAAATACTTTGGTCAGTCAGTACACGTTAACGCCATCTAGTGGTAAATAGAGAAAATGATTGACTCAAAACATAGCAACTTAACATATTGCCTCACCTTGCAGTAGTAGAGGGTACAACCCCCCTGTCTTATATAAAAATTAGTATTATCAATTCTAATTTTTATATTATGTAAGTATGTGTGTTTTTAGTCTATGTATTTCTATGAATGATTTATCTTTTTATCAAAATAACATCACATAAAAAAAGCATAAAATAAATAAGAAATAGGTAGAAAAAATAATTATCTTCTTTACATGATAATTTTTGAAAATAGACAGGTATACAAATCATACTAAAATAGGAGTGAAATTAGTAAGTAACAAATATGTTGGTGCCAAAATATAACACAATTTGAGACAGTATTAAAATTAAACAGTTAAATAATGAAATATAGTTACTTAAATACCAATATAAATGCTTATTATTATATTTATTATTATATTTCAACTAGTAAATTCCATGCTTATTTTTTTTAAATATCCTATAGAAATAAAAGCAATGATACTTTCTCAATAATCAAAATACATAATTTATCTAAATTTTTAAATAGATGAATAACAGTAATAAGAATGTCTTACCTTTTTTTGTTGAAGATTCAGTTGAAAATTCTTTTGTAACATTGCCTAAATTAATGCCCAATTTTTCCAATAAATTTGGTGGTAATACAAAAACTTCAGTATTATCAACATTTGGTGACTTAATTTGTTTATGCCTCTTTCGTACAGATGTCTTTTTAGGATTCATTTTTTCAAGAAAAATATATACTTAGCAACACTATATTTTTTCAATATTTCTTTCACCATACTGAAAAAAGGATTGTCTACTGACAAAAAATTACAGCAAAAATAATTCAATAATAATGATATATTTAAATAATAGGTAAGTACTCTATTATTCTAATATAGAATAAAAATCACTATATGTAGTCCAAAAAGTTTCACCACCCAGAAAAGGATCCAAAGCCAATTTTATCGATTTCTTGTATCCTAAGATAATGCCAACAAGCTCCAGATAAAATTTGGCAAATATTTTAATCACTTCAATAGTACTTAATAAAAAAATAACATAAACTTGGAATGTTATTTGAAATCTCCAATGTTAAATTTGATTTTTACATGGGATTTGACATTATTAAATTTACTTATCTTTTTTTAGTTTCTTTAGTAAATTTTTTAGGTTCCATTGATTTATATGATACCATACACATCACACATCTTTTTTTTTTTTATTACAAAGTGTATGCAAATATACTTTATGTACTTTCCTCCAAATATTATTAGATTTATACTAATATATGATACAATACAATAGCATGATAAAAATATTAAAAAAAAATTAATAAAATGGAAACAGAAAAAGCAAAAATAAAGATTAGTCCATAAATTTAGAACACAAAATAATATTAAAATATAAAATACAATGTTAGGAATCGAACCATGGTCGACAGGGAAATAAATTGCACGTGGTAACAGCTAGGCCAAAATACCAAAAAATATAATATCGGAATTTACAATATCTACTATTTGAATATTTGTTTAATGAATTTTATAACAGACAATAATATTTTTATAGAAAATTGATACACTTATAAAAATTAATAAAAGAAAAAAAGGTTTTGCGACTTACATTCTGACATTCAGCTATTGAAACAAGATAATCTCAAAACATCGTTAATTTTCTTCCAATTAACAGTACTAAAGAATTTGTTCAATTATAAATACTGAATTATCCCGAACAAAATGAGGTAATGAATAAATATTTAAGAGAAATGAAACCATCGATTTCAATCAATTTCACTTCACTTTACAAAGTTAGGTTATTGTCGACCGAAGATACAGATACAGACTAATTATGATCACAGACAGACAGATCAATCATGGTGATTTTTGAATACCCGGTTTACATACCGCAAATACTACGCAGCGAACACTTGTTAAATGATTGCTAATTCTCAAAAAAAATATTTTGCGTATTATGATTGCTTCCTTGGTATTAAATGTGTTAAATACATTTTTTTTCTGCTGAAAACTGCTATTCGGGACCTTGTAATAAAAAAAAAAATGTCAAATTATACTAGTTTCTAAATCGCTCTGTAGAGGCGCATTAAAGAATGCTCAGTAACAATTTTGTGACATAAAAGTTATTAGCAACCGACCGATGGTTAAAGTCTAAGAACAAGGAATTACATAGAAGGAACGATAAAATAAAAACTGTAAATCACATGGTTACTCACTTTCTTCTTATGCAAACATAAGAAGAAAGGGACGAGGGATATAATTAATAAAAAGAAGACGGGCAGGCACATAGACAGGCTGTGTGCTAGTATATTGTAATAATTTACATACTAAGCCGTAGGGCCAAACACGGTTAAATGCCTTTTCGATGTCTAAAAAGACACCGACGACTACTCGACCGTGGTTGTGCTCGGCGGCCAGGTAGTGCAACACGCGCGCCAGCTGCAGAGCGGTCGAGTGCCTGGGCCAAAAGCCTAACTGTTCACTCCTAGGAGTGAAATGCTCGGCCAGCCGCCCGAGCAGTAACCTCTCAAACAGCTTAGTTATGTGCGCTAGCAGCGTGATGGGGTGGTAGCTTCCTGGCAGGCGGCGATCTTTATCCAGTTTCAGGAGGACGATTACTGTACCTAGTTTTCAGAACTCTAGAAAATGGCCGGTGCGGAGGATTCCATTGAATAGCCTGGTGAGCGCTACCAGGCATCTTCGCGGCAACTGCATTAACTCGGCATTAGAAATTCCAAGTTCACTCAAGATCCACGCAATTTCAACCCAATGTGGCGTAGGGGGGAAAGGGATTGTTAGCAATGGAGTTTGACAGTCCCATTGCTAGCAATATGCTCTATTAGATCGACCTCTACGTGGTTCCCCCTGGAAACCATCGTGAACAATTCTCGTTGAATTCGTCACGATGGGCTAACTGACCTGCTTCATCCTTACCTATCATCCTTCACTGGTGCCCCACCGGTATATACCGTTAGCGCTGGTGGGGTTACCATTCCATTAACGTCTCATTAAAAAAAAACCCAATGTGGCGCTGTTGTCGCTTTCAACAGTACCATTTGACGTTTTATCGATTGAGATTGGAATTGAACATCGAATTCCGATTCGATAGTAAGCACGTAGTACTGGTGCTGACTCTTAATTCCGCTTAAATCTTTGAATATTTTGTAACCTAAACAATTGAATTATTTAATTAATTACGAATAAAAATTTTTATTCGTATTTACAGTATTTAAGCATTACCAGTTCAGCATTTAAGATAAAATGGGTGCCAAATCTTTAGCATTATCATTTAGTGTACAAGCAGAATGTAATGTTTCGCGAGCTCGTGCTGGTCTCATGAAACTACCACACTATGAAATTAAAACACCGGTTTTTATGCCTGTTGGAACTCAAGTAAATTTTGTTTTTGTTACCTATTTCATTATGGACATGTTATTATTTATATATAAAACTATATTCCTACTTAAAATTTGCTATAATATATCTTCCAGGGTACGATGAAGGGTTTATTACCCGACCAACTTGAGACTTTAGACTGTGAAATAATTCTAGGTAATACTTATCACCTGGGAAATCGACCAGGAACTGAAGTTCTCGAAAAAGCTGGTGGTCTCCATAACTTCATGGGATGGAACAGAGGCCTCTTAACAGATTCTGGTGGTTTTCAAATGGTATCATTACTTAAACTGGCTGAAATAACTGAAGAGGGAGTTAAATTTAAATCACCATATGATGATTCTGAAATAATGCTTACACCAGAGAAGTCCATTGAAATACAAAATTGTATTGGTAAGCATTTATTATTTTATGTATTACTTCTATAATAAACCTTTAATACCAAAATTTATTTTGTATATAAAATCCTCTCTGTGTTCAAATATATTTGTTTTTTTTTTTATTATTAGGGAGGTAAATGAGCAGACAAGCCACCTGATAGAAAGCAACTACTGTCACAAATGCACACCTGCAATATGAGAGGAGTTGCTTATGCAGGTCTTCTAAATATTTGTAGGCATGTTTCTTGAAAATCCCCATATTATTACATTATTTAATAATCTGTTTACTTACAGGAGCTGATATCATAATGCAACTAGATGATGTTGTACAGACAACATTTCAAGATTATGATCGCATTAAGGAAGCTACTGAAAGAACTAGTCGATGGTTAGATCGTTGTCTTAAAGCCCACAAAAGACCTACAGAACAGAGTATATTTCCTATTGTACAAGGATTATTGAATAAAGACTTAAGAGAGCAAAGTGCCAAAGACCATATGACAAAAAATGTCAATGGATTTGCAATTGGAGGCTTAAGGTATTATTTAGTAGAATATATCCATACTAAAATAAGTGTTAAATTGAGTTTGTATGTTTGTTACTCCTTAGTCCCTTAATTGCTATAACCAATCATTATGATTAGATATAAAAGCATGTGGAAAAGGGGCGACAAACATCACAATGTTTGACAAATACTTGATATAAGCACTTTGTTTAAGAGCACAAGTAGTATTTACATGTGATTTGTAAACTAAAAAAAAAAACAAGACTTCTTGAAACTTAGTGTTTAATAATTTATATATAAAAATCCTTGTTTTAAATTACCATACACAGAGATTCAAACCACCATAAAAAATGAATGAAGATTCAACATAAATAAGTTATTTATCTTTAAATAGAAATGCTCATATACATATTATTATTAAATCATTAGGGTTAAAAAGTTTATTGCTTAAGACAGTAGAATATGTCATCTACTTTCATTGTAATTTCCAAAACCCATATTTATTTAAAGCTTTTTTTATATTAAGTTAATATTTTTTTATACTACCATGGTAGCAAACAAGCATATGGTCTGTCTAATAGTAAACAGGGTTACTATAGCTTATAAACTATATACTAATGCTAATATCACATCTCATTTATTATAAAACAAATGATACATCATTTAATGTATGAAGGATATATGTAAACTTAATGTATTTTTTTTTAGTGGCGGTGAAGCCAAGGATGACTTTTGGCCGATGGTCAGTCTTGGTACAGGAATACTAGATAAAAATAAACCTCGATACTTAATGGGTGTTGGATTGGCAATTGATCTTGTTGTCTGTGTTGCACTTGGAATAGACATGTTTGACTGCGTATTTCCCACAAGAACTGCCGTAAGTATTAATAGTTATTAAATAATGTGCCATTTTCAAAATAGTAAATAATCAAAGTTATGAATAAATCAAAGCACATGCTAGTTATCAGGAATAGTAATGCATCCACGCCATATGTTTAGTTAATGTTTATGATGCTTTACATATAGGTGTTACCAATTTCAAGTAGTTTCTTTACTGTATAAAGGTAAAATATTTCTGAAATATTTGGATTTTTATTCTTTTCAGAGATTTGGATGTGCTCTTATAAACAAGGGACAATTAAATTTAAAGCAAAAGCAATATGAAACAGATTTAAATCCAATTGACAATGATTGCTCATGCTCTACTTGCAAAAATTATACAAGAGCATATTTACACTGCATAGTCACTCTAGAAACAGTGGCGTGCCATTTGATTTCAGTACATAACATTGCTTTTCAGGTTTGTTAACTATTTCTTAGTTTTATCATTCATGTTCATATAGAAAATGTAAAAGCTAATAATGTACTGTTGTTAGGTTAAATTTTATCCACACATTTTTAATCTCAATAATTATTTGAATATAATTTCTTGATAATTCTATTACTATTTTAAATGTGAAAGTTTGTGAGGATGTATGAATGGATATTTGTTACACTTTTATATAAAAACAATTGAACAAATTCTATTTAAATTTTGTACATAGATAAATTATTATGGTATACTTTACATACAGATTCATGCGGACAAAGCTGTGGGGGTACAACTAGTATTATAAATGTAAAGATGAGTTTAATATCTATTATTTCTGTAATACTGACAAAATTTATTGGAACTGATTATTTGGTTTTTCAGATGCGTCTAATGAGAACAATGCGAGAGCATATTGAGAAGGGAACATTTCCTCAATTTGTAAAAAAGTTTGTAAATGAGTTATATAGTGATGGGAATTATCCAACATGGATAGTCAATTCTTTGAATTCAGTTGGAATAAACATAGTTAGAAAATAAAAATATTTTTTTTTTTATTTAAATAATAGAAATTTCAATGAAAACCAACATGCTGTGTATTATGTCATATTTTCCTTGTTTGCTCAAAAAGAAACATAAACACTTATCATAGCGAGCTAAGCTCATCTCGCTTTGAGAGAGCTAATGCCAAGATATAGATATGAATGCAAATAGTAAGTATAATAGAAGTGATATGAAAGCAGAATTAATACTATATAAATAACATAGATCTTTAAGAACTATATAATAGGGACTATTATTATATACATTTCTGTTTATCGTTTTACCCTCATTAAAATAGCATAAGGCAAAAAAAAAAATGATAACACTACTGAGAGAGAAATGTGGATTAGAATATTGTGTAGTGACAAAGAGTGAAAGTCAGAAACTGTGTTATACCTATCTGCCTATTTATCAGTAATTGTGATATGAGTAAAATATCTCATTTATAAAAAATTGTAATTTAGGTTTAACAAAATATTTTATCATTACATTAATTATTAGATTGATAGTTGACTCCAAAAAAAATCACAAGTTTAAGAGTGCTTTTACAGCAAAAACTGCACACCATGCTGACACACAAACTAGTTAGGGATTGTATCTGTGACTGATTATTTAAATAATACTAATATCAATATTTTTAAAATATCATTCATTCAATGAAATTCTTATTATTACTCAAAATTGATATTTTAATGGTAAAAAGTATTTAAAAATTTTAGAATCAAAATAATATTATGAAGAAGGTGCCAAATTTTTAATAGTAGGTTTATTATTTATTATCAACTAAAAGAGCTTGTCAATTTTTCAATTAAGTCTTGAATGTACTACTTATTGTATAATTAACATTTTAGTTATCATAGTATTCTTTAAATAATAATCAGCCTAAAATATTAAAAATTGACATGTAATTGCTATGTTACCACACTTTAGTAAGTCTTGGTATGAACCCCCTAATTTGTACACCATTGTAACCAAATAATTTTCTATGCTCAAAACACTTTGTTATTACTAAAACTATTGAAAACATTTTTTGGTTTTAAATGCAACCTCATTTTTATACTAATTACTAAAAGTACATCTTTTTATGTTGTCAATAGTTAAATGCAGTCAAAATAACTATTTTACTGAACTTACTATTTCAGAGTATATTAAAATAGCATATAACACTTTATAAATACTTTATTTTTTTCTTTTACATAAATTCATCAGAATCATTCCCATCATAGTTTGTTGTCATATTTTCTCTTTTCATTAATGTTGAATAGCTTCTTAATTCGGCCTCTTCCTTTTTTCGTTTCTCTTCTTCTTTTTCCTTATCTCTCTTTTCTCTTAACAATTTCTTTTTATCTTCCCTTTCTAATCTATCTCTAGTTTCTCGTTCTTGTCTCAAATCAGGAAACTGTTCTTTTTAGTTTTGTTTAATCTATTAACAATTTCATTATTTCTTTTTGCTACTCTGACTTTTCTTACATCTTTATCCTTGTGAAAAGCTACTTGTCCCACCTGTAAACCATTTTTAAGTCAAATCAATTCATTTTTCTATACCTTTTTTTAATTATCATACCAATCTATTCTAAACTGATACTTAAAATAAAAAGTTTGGTCATTTAAATATTATAAAATTAATTTAACTATTATTAAATACAAACCTCCATTCCAGCTGTTTTCTTCAAATTAGCCCACATAGTGTATACAATATCTATGTCATTCATTTTATTTCCAAGTATAGAATTAGCCTTTACTAGTTGACAAGCATCATCAAGAACGGAATTTGGAATATCATCTATTGTCTGACCCTATTAATAAAAAATGTAATAGTTAGAATTAATTACTAAAAAGAAAAATAATAATATTTAGGTTTAATTAATACTCACAGGTGCTAGTCGTAAATATACATGAGCAGAAGACACCTTGTCTACATGAAACCAGACATCTTCAGGCCATCCCCATTTTATTAGATCTTCATCTGTAATATAGTTATAAAAATGTCTCTATTAACTTTTTATTTCAATAACAGTAAATTTTATAAGAAATAAAAATGACTGTAATAATAATAAGTAAATATTATAAGTAAACATTATAAAACAAAATAAATACATTTGCAGTCACTTGTTTAAAATACTAAAATACGTATTAGTATAAATTTTACCCTAAAACTTTTATATATTAACAAATTTATGTGAAAATAACAAAAAAAAAAATATTAGAACATAAGCAAACTTACTTTCATGTTTGTCGGCACCCATAAATAATGTTACTGGTGGAGAAACTACACTACTAGTGAAGTAAAACACCATGTTTTCTTAAATACCTATAAACTTTTTGTTATTGTAGAAACAAATTAAAGATGAAAACAGCATGAGTTAACTACCCAGTCTAAATACTATATATTTTATTAGCTAGGTTATTTATTGAGAGTAAATGTGTGTGTAAAATACAAAATATGGAAATTGAGTGAAATGTTACAATTGAAATGTACAGATTAGAGAGTAGAGACCGCAAAAATTATGAAGAGTCTATGACACAGATTAGAGAGACTATCCAAAAAGTGTATAAGCAAGGGACTCGATCTACAAATTGGAAGAAAAATGCAAAGTTGTAATTCCTTGTTTTTAGGGAAAATCTAAGAACAAGGAATTACATAGAAAGAGTGATTAAATTGTCAATTCATAATAGGCTAATATATAGAAATTGTTATACAACCGTATAACCCTACCAAATTCAGATACAACCTGCTTGCATACTTTCTACATAAACTGTGTCGAATATATAATCTAGTAATATAAAATTTATTATTAACAAATAATTGACATAATGAATTAATACATTTTTTCTCTAAATCGAACAATACTCAGGACTTTTACCCAATCGCAAAATTGTATCATTTTTCATTGTATTTAGTCATGTGTCACAACGTAAACGACAAAAAAATCTTTATTCCTCCTCCTCTTTATTTTATGTATTTTCAATAACATAATTTTCTACTGAAATAAGATGTTCACAGAAATTGAAGTACGACGCACTATTGTAGACTCTTTTTTTACATGTTAATTTTTTAATTTTTATACATCAAGACGCTCTTACATGTTTGTTCTGCACTGCAAAACATAGGCTTCCCCGTAGGGGGTTTTGCCAATAGTTGCCACGCTTGGCAGGTGGAAAAACCTGCATTCGGTTTAATAATCTCTTATAAATATTATTTTAAATTCCAATCTCGTAATGCTAAATTTGTGTGCACAGTCGTTATCATATCTACGATCTTCCTATCTCAACCCATATTTTTTACACAGTTGGTTGAAAATAATTGTGATGTGTGAACAACTTGGCGAAGCTGGGCCAACCTTGCATGAAATTATCTAAATCTTTCTATAAAATTAAAAATATTGACTAATATTTTCATTCTCATCTATCATCCTTCACTGGTACTCCACCAGCATATTTCCTTAGCGCAGGCGGGATTACCACAGCATTTTTACCCATAAAAAAATCCTAATCTTGGGGGAAAGGGATTGTTAGTAATGGGGTCAAATAACCCCATTACTAGCAATACAGCCTGTCAGGTCGTTCTCCACGTGGTTCCCCCTGAAACCATCGTGGCTAATTCTAGTTGAATTCGTCAGGATGGGCTAACTGGCCTGCTTTCATCCTTATCAATCATCTATCACTGGTGCCCCGCCAGTGTATACCGATAGCGCAGACGGAGTTATCATATCATTATCACACATTAAAAAAATATCCTAATCTTGTAGATCCTAATTTATAGCGCAGGCAGGGTTACCATACCATTTTTACCTATTAAAAAAAATATCCATATTTTTTTAGATCAGCAAATCCAAAATTATCAAAAACGATACCTAGAATAAAATGTCAATACCCTATTCATACAATGCAGTATAAAAAATAATAAATTCAATGATCAAAAATATCCAAAATAATAAATCAGTAAAATAAGTATCAATGCATTCATTTATCTTTGACAGGCAAATGTATAGCAGCTCGGTATCTCACCGCCCCGACATCCTCAAAAGCATAGGCATAGTATAACGTACTGTATTAGTAATGGTAAAACGTGTTAAAATTTAAACGTACAATATTTTGTGATTGAATAAAAGTAGAACTGAATAATTTTGGAGAGAAAACTTATTTGGGGCGTAATGAAAACTTGCATCTGGCGACACTGTACTTGTCTGTCATTTCATTTCACAATAATTGTCATTTTGGTGAGAAAAAGGGCGGGAAACATAAAATTTGGCTGTCGAGTTTTTCTGAATTATTTATTTATTTTTATTATAATATCGATCAGATAAGTTACAAATAGCATTGATATTAGTTTAATTTTGTATATATTAGTTTTGTGTAATAGTAGCTGTAAACTAGGTAAGTTTTTGTATATATTTCTTTTTAATATATGGACCCCCCGGATGATCCCGGGGGCACGGTCCCCGAGGTCGCTCTTCATGTAATTATTAGTAATAATGAGGACTCTATGGACACAGATTGCTCTGTTAATATTTCTGATAATTCTGGAACAAAACGAAAACGTAAATCAGTAGCCGGCAATGTTTGTAGGCATTGCAATAAAAAACGTAGGAGGAATCGAGGAGGTGAAAACAATAAGAATAAATTTTCATGTGAATGTTCTCAATTCAACGAGGAAAAGCAGCAACAATCTTCTAACAATAATTTAATAAATAATCAGGAGAATGACTCATCTCGTCCACATAACTTTATTAGTAGAGTTTATTATGAACCTCATGATTCTGCTCCATTCACCGTTCACATACAAAAAGTTTTATCATCCCCGGATGATAATTCTTCACTTCACCCAATAGCCTTTGGTCGTTTCCTTCAGAGAAATACTTTCAAAAATGTAATTGATGGTAGTCTGAAAAAGATAGGGCGAAATAGATTATCATTAGCTTTCTCTAATTATACAGATGCTAATTCTTTTATAAATAGTGTGGATTTAAAATCTCATAATTATAAAGCCTTTATACCAGCATTCAATTTAACAAGGATGGGAATAATAAGGGGCATCCCAACTGCCTGGTCTGATGAGGAAATTATAGAAAATGTTTCAGTTCCATTAGGTTGTGGCAAAATTTTGAAAGTTAGGCATTTAAAGAGAAAATCTCTTGTTAACGGTAAATCTGAATTTGTAATGACTGAATCTGTTGTTATAACTTTTGATGGTCAAGTGTTACCTAAGCGAGTTTTCATTTGTTATAATTCATTGCCTGTTGATTTGTACATATACCCTACCATTCAGTGTTATAATTGCTGTAGGTATGGCCATATTAAAAATCAATGTAGATCTGTTCCACGTTGTTACAAGTGTGGTCAGGGCCACTCTGGAGAATCCTGTTCTGTCCAAGAAGAAGATTTTTACTGTTGTTTATGCCAAGGTGCTCACCAGGCAAACAGCAAAAAATGTCCAGAATTTTCAAGGCAAAAGGCAATTAAAGAAACAATGGCTAAAAGTTGCATCTCCTATGCTGAAGCAAGCAAATTGCATGCTCCTTCTATTAAATCATATGCTGACACTCTAAGATCTAATCCAGTCATTGTAAATAGTACAGTAAACTCAAACCAGGATGGAATTCATAATGTAATTTCTCCTCATTCTAATAAATCTTATAAAAAAACCATCATAGAAAAAAATTGTCGTCCTCCAAAACCCTCCTATGGGTTTGATCGTAGTGAATATATTACTTTAACAAAAGACTACAATCCTCCTGCTCCTGCAGATGGATGTGGTTATAAACAGCAAGATGAATCTAAACAATCTATTTCTGAAATAGTAATAGCTCTTTTAAATTTATTAACACAATTTAATATCATTCCACCGTCCAACGTTGCTTCTCTTTCAAATGCATTCATTAATATTTTAAATAATAAAAGGAACGGACAACCAAGCCAAAGTTCTGCAGTGGAACTGCCGTAGTGCAGTTAGTAAAAAAACAGATTTAATCTATTTAATAAACATGTACAAACCTCTTATATGTGCTCTTCAGGAGACATGGTTAAAACCCGTATCTTCATTTAGGATACCTGGTTATGCCTGTCTCCGTGAGGACAGATCTGATGGGTATGGTGGTGTGGCCATATTGGTCAGACATCCTTCATCCTTCACCCATATTCCAATTTTAAACCATAGTAATAATTTCTCATTAATTGCTGTTCAAGTTGATAATATTTGTTATGTCTCTGTATACATTCCTCATCCATCCTTATTAATATTTAATGAAATTAACAATATTATTTCTACTCTTCCCAAACCATTTTTAGTTTTAGGTGACTTTAATGCTCAACACCAATCCTGGGGTAGCTCTAATAGTAATTGCTATGGCAATGAAATCTTAGATTTGATAGATTCTCTCAACCTATGCATATTAAATACTGGTTGTCCTACCCGTCGCTCAATGCCTAATGAAGGCAACAGTGCTCCTGATTTATCCATATGTACCCCTAATTTAGCTTCTTCTCTTACTTGGCTCACATTATCTCTATCCTTTGGTAGTGATCACTTCCCTATTTTAATTACTTTTCCTTTCAAATTACAACCAACATCAAATTATACTTCAAGTAAGAAGTATAATTTGAATAATGTGGACTGGGACCTGTATTTAAATTATATCAAAAATAAAATTTCTACTCTTCCTGTAATATCTACAGATAATGAAAATGAGTGCTCTGATGCTTTTATAGCATTACTAACAGAATCTGCAGACCAATTTTTCCCTAAGATAGGTAACTCAAGAAAAGGGATCCCATCTCCACCATGGTGGGATAATGATTGTACAGTGGCAGTTAAAAAAAGAAAAGAGCTGAGAGAGCATACAATCTGAACTCCACATGGGATAATTTTAACAAATACTCTGAGATTCTTAAAAGTACTCGTAAACTCTTAAAAGATAAGAAACTTGCAGGATGGCAAAATTTTTGTTCTTCAATTTCTCCTAATGTTAACCCTTCAAAAGTCTGGAGTAATATTAGAAGGTTTAGAAGTGCTTTTAAAGATTCTAGGTCAAATGTTCTTCTGCCCTCACTTATAGAACCATTTTTAGATAGGCTGGCTCCTCCTTATGTGCCAGAAAAAGGTTTGTTAATTAACTCTTTAGATATTTCCCAGTTAGATAACACAACACTTGGTTCTCCTTTCACTCTAGGTGAATTTAAGGCAGTATTATCTAAGGTTAAAGATTCTGCTCCAGGTGAGGATGGAATTCCATACTCTTTCTTTACCCATCTTGACAATCTTTCCCTCATATATTATTTAGATTTAATTAATTCTATTATGATATCTGGTAATATCCCTAAATCATGGAAGTCACAACAAATAATCGCAATTCTCAAACCAGACAAACCTCCTTCAGATACTGCATCTTATCGCCCTATAGCCCTTTCTTCAGTTTTAATAAAATTGGCAGAACATTTAACAAAAAACCGATTAGAATGGTTCGTTGAGTATAATGAATTACTATCTAATAGTCAGTATGGTTTTAGAAAAGGGAAGAGTACGCTTGATAGTTTAAGTTTGCTGACAACTGATATCCGCTTAGCTTTCACTGAAAATAATTCAATTGTTGCAGCCTTTCTGGATATCAAAGCCGCTTATGACAATGTCTCCATATCTCTACTGAAAAATAAACTTATTGCTCTAAATATTTCACCCATCTTAATTAATTTCATCATTAATATTTTAACAGAACGGTCAATTAGTATTAATAATATTGATGTCAAACACTCAAGAGTTCTTTGGAAGGGGCTTCCTCAAGGATCAGTGTTAAGTCCCATTTTGTACAATATATATACACATGATTTAGAAAATTCAATAGTCAATGATTTTAAATTTAAAATTAACATTTTACAATATGCTGATGACCTTCTTTTTTATGCCATTGACAGTTCTGTTCAGAAATGCTGTACAATTCTTACAGCAGCATTAGAGCGTTTAAAAATTTGGTTAGATAAAAATAGTTTAGAGTTGTCCGTAACAAAAAGCTCTATAGTTCATTTTTCCAGAATGCGAATGCCCCCTCCAATTACAATTTACTTTAATAATAAATTAATTCCAGTTAAATCACAAATTATCTTTTTGGGATTAACTCTAGATTCAAAACTTTCGGGACTTCCTCATATTGAAAAAGTTGTTCTAAAGTGTGAAAAATTACTAAATATATTAAGATGTTTATCCGGTGTCTGGTGGGGTGCCCATCCATATTCTTTGAAACTAATCTATAATGCCATTATTAGAAGTATTTTAGATTATGGTACTTTTCTCTTAGAACCGTGTAGTGCGGCTGGGTTAAGAAAATTAGATTTAATTCAATCTAAAGCGCTGAGAATTATTACTGGAGCTATGAAATCGAGCCCAATAAATGCCCTTCAAGCTGAATGCTGTGATCCACCTTTAAACCTGAGACGTCAATTTCTTTCAGATAAATATTTATTCCGTATATCTCAATACTCTGAACATCCACTTTTTTCTAAATTACAAAAGTTAACTGAATACTGTGAAAACATGGATTATTGGCGTCATAAATCCACTCCTTGTCTGGTAAAAAGTTTTAAAAAATTTTCTTCTCTTTCTCCTCTTCATAGTTACCGTAAGTTCCCGTTTTTCTGTGCAACCTATGAAGCATTAACTCTCTCTCCAGAAGTTGAATTAAATATTAACATAACTAAAGGTGATCCCAATGCAAGTGTCATTTTTAACTCTTACATGTTTTTCAATAAAAAAGACCACCATCATATTTTTTGTGATGCATCTAAGCATGACTCATCTGGATGTGTTGGTGTTGGAGTTTACCATAATCAATTCAATATAGTTCAAAAAGTTAAACTTCCTCCTGAGACATCTATTTTTACAGGAGAATGTTTTGGTATGTTCAAAGCCATTGATTACGTTCTGACTATGAAACTTAAACAATCGGTAATCATCAGTGATTCCTTAAGTGCTTTACAATCACTATTGCAGTCTCCATTCAAATCAAATAAAATCCATCCGGTAATTATAGAAATTAGAAGGTTATTGCAGATGTGTCTTTGTAGAGGGTATTTGATCTCTTTCGTTTGGATTCCAGGCCATTCTGGTATTCATGGAAATATGACCGCAGATAGACTTGCTAATGAGGCTATTGGGTGCGGTGATATCTTTCCTTATAAAATCTTCAGTCATGACTTGGCGGCTTTGCCTGGCTCCTTTCTCCGAAATACTTGGAATGAGTCTTGGCCTATTAGCTGTCAAGTTAAGGCCCATCATTACTTTAGTATTCAGCCTATTATTCCTTGTAAACCATGGTTTTACCGTATTAATAGTATTAATAAACGTGCTACGTCTTCTCTTATTAGAATGAGACTTGGCCATGTGAGTTCCCCTTCTCATTTGGCTAAGTTAAAAATTGTGAATAATAATATATGCAATTGTGGCACAGATGTGGGTGATTTGAATCACATTCTCTTAAATTGTCCTCTCTATGACCATTCTGTTCTTTTTAATTCCCTCCTTTCCCTCCGTATTCCCTTACCTACATCAGTTCCAGTATTATTGTTTCTTGATAATTTAGAAGTATATAATTTGATTTCATCTTTTATTCTTATCAATAATATTAAGTTGTAAATTATCTTATTTTATGTACTTTTCATATACATATATATTTTTAAGGTTAAATATATTGTAATTTCTATTTAGATATCTGTCCTTTTCCTTATATTATCCATCATTCAACTTTTCTGATCCTTATCCTAAATTCCTTCGTTCAAAACTCCTTCCCTAAAATGCTGTTTCCCAAACTTTGTTTTTGGCGGATGCACTTTGTGCCGTGCCATAAGAAAAGAAAAAAAAAAAAAAAAAAAATTGTCATTTTAACAACTTAATTATTTTGTTAAAAAAAATAAATTGTTTTGTTTATTTAATAATGGGAAGTCCAGAGCGCGAATTATGCCCTCCACCCTCAGAAGAAGATGATTTAACACTACCCAGAGCCAGCATCAACAAAATGATAAAGGAATTGGTGCCATCAGTCCGAGTAGCATTTGAATCTAGAGAATTGATATTGAATTGTTGTACAGAGTTTATTCATTTATTAAGCTCTGAAGCCAATGAGGTCTGCAACCAGAATAATAAAAAAACTATTAACGCCGAACATGTACTTACTGGTAAAGTTATAGTTTATAACAAGCTCTGCTTCACTACTGATTTAGTACTTATATTTAAATAAATTTAAATACATTTTATTTACAGCACTGGATAGATTAGGTTTCAATGATTATACTTTGGAGGCTGAAGCTGTTCTTAAAGATTGCAAAGCTGTTGCTGCTAAGAGAAGAAGACAGAGTACACGCCTCGAAAATTTAGGAATACCTGAAGAAGAATTATTGAGGCAGCAACAAGAACTCTTTGCAAAGGTTATTATGAAATTTTTCATAAAATATCACTACTACAATTAATAATCATCATATATTCCATGCAGAGTTTATAATTACAGCATTTTAATATTACACTTACACACAGAGAGATATACATGTTACGGGGCATTCCTAGTAGTATATGAAGACTTTAGGAAATTTGTAACAGTTTCTTATAGACACAAACATGATGATGGTATGAGAGAAATATGTCAGTAAGGTATACTGACATATTGTCTGTCATGGTTTTTCTGTCTCGTCTGACATCAGGGATTATAGTTTTGATAGAGATATTTAATTTTTTATTTCATAAGGAGTCATACGCATGATATCTTTGTAAGAAATTTCGAAAAATAATTCATTTTACATAGAAGGTTATTTTTTTATTATAGGCCCGAGAAGAGCAAGCTAAACAAGACCAACAACAATGGTTATTACTACAACAACAAGGACTTGTTGGTACTGAAGGTACTCCACAACCATATATTCCACCACCTTCTGGTATTAAAAATGAAGAAGATGAAGACGATGACTACTCCTAAATGCTATTACAATCATAATTTTTTAAATATCAAAAACAAAATCAGAGAAATGCAAGATTTTTCCTTAATTATTTCATTTTATGTTTCACTGTTTATTCTAAAAACAATTATGTAATGTATGAAGGATGTAAATATAAAAAATACTATAATTATATATGTAATAGAAAACAATAAATGTTAATAATTGTTTATTTATTTAAATAAGACATAATTCATTGGAGGCTGTCACCTACCTACAGAATATGTAAATTGTTTAATGTACTTTAAAGATAAACAGTATCATAGAGATTACACAATACACTATTAATGTGTATAGTATCCCTAAAGTATAGCTTTTCCTAAGTACTAAAGTGTTATATATGACCTATTTCTTAATAAATACATCTAATTTATATGGTTGTTTAGATAGCTTTGTTCAGTCTCCCTCTGATAATTATCTGTTGTTAGATACAATTGAAGTATTTTTTAGGTAGTACATTCTGGTAAAATATACTTTCTACTTTTATTTTTGCTTTTGTTAGTAACAAAATTAAGAATAAACTCGAGAGTATCAGTGTTATTGCATACTCTCTATGGACATCGTGTAAGGGAAAAATTTAAATCTTGAAAAGAATCAATTAAAAGTAAAAATCGTTTTTTTACCAGAGGGAGACTTTGTACAAAAGTCGATTGCTTGGGTACCTCTGTCCCATTCGTGTTTCAACCGTAAAGCAGTTGTGTTTGCATGGCTGTTTCGGTTTGAAGGGTGGGATATGCCATGAATTCACAGGGTACAGAGGAATAACACCTGAGTCCTCAGGAATGGCAAAGCGAGGAGGGGGGGGGGGGGTATCATGAGCGAAACAGTATACTCTGTTATGTCCATGGTACTGCTCATGTCTATAGGTGACGGTTACCACTTTCCATCAGGTAGGCCGTCAGCTTGTTTGCCATTCTAAGTAATATATTTAAAAAAATCGTACATGAAACGTACAGTTAATTTCTTAATATAAATCATGTTTATGTAAAGCTAGGCAGAGGTACGTGTCTTAACCCTGCCAACTTAGAATTTTTTCAATCAAATAAGAAGCAACCATTTATCAACTGAGCTATTCTTTTTTATAACGCAGTGGACAATAAGAATAAATGTGTACTGCCGGCCTTTTGTGCATGGAAGAAACTGCCTAATTATTTGTTACAAATTTAAACATAGATCAAGAATAACAAGTACCTAAATATCCTCTTCGTATGCAGGTAGTCACCACCTAACGACTTCATTCCTATTGTTCAACTCACGCTTGCTTCGGAATTTTTTAATAGCTTAATAATTATTTGAAGTCCCGGAATACAGCTAGTATTTTAATAACATTTCATTCGTAATTATTTATATATAGATTAGGGATTATACCTTCTATTATATTTACACACCTGTCAAAAATTGTCATAACAAAAACACCCTAGTAAATAATCATGTTTTCTACAAAATGAGCAGTCCCAATTGTGGCAAAATACATAAATATAAAAGACCAAAACAAAGAACAACGTCCATAACAAGACCAGACTCATCAGTAATAATTATGATTTGTTCGACGTAGTCACTGAATCTTATTTGTATCCTATCAGTAAGCTAATTAATATTTTTCAGACATTAAACAATGTAAACAATCAGGATGGACATAAAACAACCCAACCACTTTGTTCTTTACTGGCCAAAGATTCTGAATGGGTGGACGTTTTACAGTCTCCAATGATAGAAACAAATAAATCATCCAACAATGTCTCTGACGAGGAGGAAGTATTGCAGCTCGTAATTTTTCTTACTTAGCTTTTTCTATATTTACTTACGTTTCTATTTAGGCAGTTTGATTATGATCTAAGTGCGTTCTTGTTATTTATTACTTACCAGTCAATCATGAAATAAAGGTGCACAATACCTTAAACTTCGTGATTAGGTGTCGTAGCTGACAAATGAATTGATATTTATTATTATTTAAACAAATATATCCATTTGTGGGTGTATAGTGCATTGTGTGCAGCGCATACGAGGGTAGAGCCCTCAGGATGCCGAGCTGTTGAGTGCTGCTTGAAACATGCTAAAGAGCCTGCGTCGCTTGCGGCAGTCTCAAAGAGCCTGTACACATATTTGGCCATATTATTTCAACATCTACGCAATAACTTTTGTTTCAACGTGAAATCAGCCTTATATAATTTAAAAGTATATTTGCATAACGTCGCATCATTGCTAGAGACATGACGGGACAATAGGTAAGGCTTAAGGTGAGATCAGGGGTCTAGGCACCTAGGTTCAAGAAATACTAGGAGATAAGCATCATAATAAGGGTTACCAAAATAAGTAGATCGGTGTACTAATAGCACGGTTGGATCCACTGGAAATTCCTGAATCCCTACCCTCATTAAACTTTTTTTTAAAGTCTTTAAATTTTACACAGAGGCGACAGATAAACTCTGGGTACAATAACCATAATAGGATTTTGTTTCATATAATCACCGATGAAACTGCACATCTTCACCTTTAGTGTATGAGACCTATTAATCTCCACTGGTTTTTTTTTATTCCCTAGAATAAATATTTAAACTATTTCCAAAAGGATATTTCCGTCTGTATTTTTAATGTTCTATTATGAGGAATTCTGAAGCAGTTTGGTTCAGAAATACAGACGAATTGAGTAGCTATATTGTTTATTTGGATGCCACTTAAAAAGAACCAAGGCCACTTGGTGCTTCTAAAGCAAGTTTTTGACAGCGTCTGGTGCCTGCAGGTATTAGACGACAAAAGGTCGCTGAAGATTCATTATTTATTCCAATCAACTCTTCGATTCCTGTGACGTCCCTTTAGACCTCGGCGTCATCTGAACGCCCTCTGTGCCTCTTACAGCCGGCACTAAAAATAACTTTTCTCAGGTAGAATGTAAAGAAGATCCTCAAATGAAACCTCTGGCTATAATGTTTCCTGGATTGCTAAAAAAAGATCCGCAAACATTACAAGAAATGTTAACTAGGGCTATGTCTACAACCGAAGTAACGAAGCACTTGGTGGAGTTGGGTCAAAAAGCAAATTTCACTCTTATGAAAAAAGCTACTCGCCTGATACCTCGAGATAAGGTAGAACTAGTTACATAACAATAATTTTTGACCAAATTGATTACATTGTTATTTGTAGTCGGTATTATGTCATAATGATATTTTATTACAGCAATGGCTAGAAAGTCTGACTGAAAATAGCAATTCAAACAGTTCAATAGCATCTGAATATTTCAGCGAGAGTAAGTAAAAGTTTTGGTACTTATTTATTATAAGACACTAACAGTTGCCCTATTTGATAAAGATTTTTCCTAAATGGCGATCTTTTATAAAATCATAATTTTTGTTTTGTCATTTAGGTACTGTCTTCTAATATTATCTATTATATTTTATAGATATTTATAACATACACTTTTATTAAAAAAAAAAAAAACATAAAGCAGGGTAGGGTTTTCTTTATAGGTGAAAATGGAATAGTAACTCCGCCTGCGCTAACGGGATACGCTGGCGGAGCACCAGTGAAGGGTGATCGATGAGAATGAAAACAGGCCAGTTAGCCTATCATGATGAATTCATCAGGAATTAACTATGAAAGTTTCCAGGGGGAACCACGAAGAGGTCAATCTGGTTGGGTATATTGCTAGCAATGGGATTTTTAGTCTCTATTACTAACAATTCCTTTCCCCCCAGCAGGGTAGGGTTAGGTATGACAGATATAAAAAATGGGGGCCTCGTCTGTGCTGTCGGTATTCGCTAGCAGGGCATTAGTAAGAGATAAAAGGTGAAGATGAAAGCAGGTCAGTTGGCCTATGGTGACGAATTCAACCAGAATTAACCACCAGTTTCCAGTAGGAACTGCGTGAAGCTCGACTTGACATGTTATATTGCTAGCAATAAGGCCGTTACACCTCATTACTAACATTTCCTTCTCCTCCTCTATATTGTTTTTTTTTTCAATGGATGATAATAGAATGGTAACCCCGTCTGCGCTAACGGTATACGCTGGCGGGCCTCTATATTGGTTAAGCTTAGACGATTTGTTTAATGTTACTTAAATTGTTTATATTAACTTGACAAGGTATTACGAATCACAATAACACTGGTGGCGAGATCGTAGAACACTATGAACCGAAACGAAATATACCTGAAATAAAACAAACTAATGACTATTCAGTGCCAAATATATCTCAAAATACATCAATCAATGTGGATCAAATACTGTCAGATATAATTGACGATGGTAAAATTATTTTGAATTTCTGCCTTTTAATTATTAAAGATATGCTTTCTGCACGACTCGACAAGTACATGAAACTAATCATATGGGTACCTAATATAAAATAAAAAATCTTAAATACCTCCCTCTCTTATTTTTAACTTATTGAAAAAAAAAATTATACAACTTAGAATGGCAAACAAGCTGACGGCCCACCTGATGGAAAGTGGTAACCGTCGCCTATAAACATGAGTAGTAAAATGCTAAATATCTTCACAGATTTTGACTCTTGTACTTATCACTATTATTTATTAATTTGCATAATATTGTAGACTTCATACAAAGAAGTCTTAGAATGCGGTAAGCTACATGAGACGAATGAACATGGACGAACCAAGTATTGATCTAAAGACCTATTTTATATGAATATAAATGAAATAATAATCCTGCCGGCTGTATTGGTATAGCTTAGCGGGGTAATTAATAAAATAACAATATTAAAAAAATACGCTGACAGGGTGCCAATTACCCTATCATAATGAATACACCTAGAATTTAGCACGATAGTTTCCGAGAGGACCACGTGGTGGTCGACTTGAAGGCTAAGAAGGCTATTGCTAAGAATGGGACTGGTAGTCCGCATTACTAACAATCCCTCCCCCCACCCCCTCCCGAAAACACAGGTGAGGATGAGGTCCGGTTGGTCAAAGGGTGGGATATGGCAGTTAATTTACAGGGTAGGGTAGGGTTATTTCTTAGATTTAATCCGAGCGAACCGCGTGAAGATCGACCTGACAGGGTGCATTATTAGCAATTGGACTGTTAGATCCCATTACTAAGGATCCTTTATCCCCGCCTTCAGATATTCCTATTAGGTCGCGGCGTAAAGCCTTGGTTTTCACTATACAATTATTAATGTTGTGCATACAGCGCTGTTTACGTATATTGTATTCAATATAATTTTTTTTTTTAGATTTTCGCGGTTGTCTGTACACTCAGTATGCAATAATCCTCGTAGGAACCCATCTGTAATGTATATTAAGCCTATAGTAGTGTAACAATATAAAAAATCCTATAATTTGAATTTCAGGAAAGGAAAGCTCAACAGGAAGATAAATCGTTCACATTCGATGACTGACAAACCAGATATATATATAAATATCTCTAATAACTTTGATTATAAGTAAATACAAAAATAAGCCAATAAAGGGCGTTTAAATTTTCTCCCCGACTGCCAAAAATAAAGAAATATGCCAATGAAACATAGCCTATCGACGATTTTTTCACTTTAGAATAAGAAAGGTTTTCGTCTGATTTTTTTGTAACTAACTTTAACAACGTTATTACGTATGTCAATTCATTGCCAAAAAACATTGTCATAACGTTTGCAATTCTAAACCGATTTTGATTATAGTTTTTATGAGTGGCATTACTTGAAAAACGACAAAGATTAGACTCTCTTAATACGGATCGACCAGCAATCAAGTTGGTATGCTACGTTGGCTCAATTTATTGTCGTTTTTTAAACTATATTCCTTTGGGAGAAACAAATACTCAGTTTTATTGGCAAAACTCTGTGTCAATGGGGGAAAAGGGAGTGTTAGGAATGGGGTCTAACAGCCCCATTGATAGCAATATACCTTATTAGGTTGACCTCTACAGGGTTCCCCTGGAAGCCATCGAGGTTAAATACTGTTAAATTCATTACGAAGAGCCAACTGACCTGTTTTCATCCTCACTTAATATTTTTTATTGGGGGGCAGAAGGAATTGTTTGTAATGCGGACTACCAGTCCCATTGCTAGCAATATACCCTATCAGATCAACCTCCACGTGGTCCCTCCTGGAAACCATCGAGCTGAATTCCAGGTATATTCATCACGGTGGGTTAACTGACCTGCCTTTTCATCCTCACCTATTATCCCTCCCTGGTGCCCCACCAGGGTGTACCGTTAGCGCGTGCGGGGTGACTATTTTATTATCATATATTGAAAAAAAAATCTTTCCCCCTCAGCATACTACTTACTGATAGTACACGTGGGGTTACAATTTCAATCTCATCTAGTAAAAAACTCTGTGATAATGATACTACGTGTGTACGCTAACGATTTCGATTTTATCTAATATACTTATATACACGTGAACAAACATTGAAAAGAAAAATACTAGAAGCTTAAAAAATTGTATTAAGTTCTAAAATTTACACATAGTAATAAAAAAATGTACAACATAAATATTTAAATACTTATTTCTATAGATACATTGTATACTAATTAATAATTAATACGAAATTACATTAGGAGTGTGGGACTATAAAAAGTATAAGTAGGGCTACTAAAGTATCACTCACTGATCTACACATATGTACTTAGTACCTAATTATTGTTTGTAGTAATAGTTATGCCTAAATACTTATCTTTAAAAGTTATGGAAATAACAGTTCGAGGATACATAGCTACATAATATTTTTATAATTTAAAAATTAACTATACAGTTCCACCAGTTTAAAGATAGTCGTACATAAAATATTACGGCATTTGCCTAATTTATATAAATAAAAAAAAAACAAATAACGAATATTTAATTAGTTAAATGTTTAATTAGTTAATTAAATCAAATACGTACCATATGTAGTTATTGAAATAAATATTTTTTATAAATTATTTTAAGTAAATATTTTTTATGTAATGACTAGGTTTATGTTATGCACAATTTTAGCAATATTAATAAAATTATGTATATTTTTATATAAGTACGTCAAATTTAGCAGTGCCCTATTTGTTGTATAAAAGCACAAAAAAAAAGGAATAAACATTTGATAATAAAAGAATCATTAATAGAATAATACAATTTATTGAATGACAAAAGATCTTACATTAAGTAAAAAATACAAAACTTAATAAAACGTTGAGCTTTTTTTTTAATAAATACAAATAATATCATTTATACGTCCATTTTTACGAGTGTTGATATCATATTCTGGCAACACTTGTCAAATATTTATATCAAATTTAAAAAGAAAAACAGTTTACTATATTTATTTTTAAATGTTTTCCCCTTTAAAATAAGTTACACACTTGGCGCCTTATTCACAAAATCGTCAGACCTCTCATTAACGTATTTTAACTATTGAAGTGTTTTGTCCTTATATATTGCGCTAATTTTTGAATTTGAAATCAGTGACAAAACACTATACACACAATAGTTAAAATAGAAATCTATTTTATTATATATTTAAAACGTTTTATGAATAAGGGGGTTAGATTATATAGATCATCGAGTATCAAAAACAGTTCAACATTTAGTCGGCTAAATTGACGTTTGGCTGACTAAGTTTAATAGTCGAGAAATGGGCAACAGCGTTCTCTTAAAATATCATCAAAGTTTAACTGCGATTGCAACTTGTGCGTGGCTACTACTGGCAAAACCTTCCAATAGGGAGAGATTTATGGTCAGCAGTAGACAGTTAACGGCTAATATGATGATGATGGTAGATCAAGACGATTTTTTTAATATCTTTTTTTTCAATTAGAAACTATTTCTTCTAACATTATATGATTATATATAAAACGTAACTCTGTACTTGGATATAAAATAAATGTAATCAGTAAAGATAAGTATAATTACTAATCATTATGCACTATTTATCTTGTTCTTTGAAATACAGAATAATAAATGTGCATAATGGGAACTTTGTTCACGTACACTTGGTTAAAAATTGACCTGTTTTTGACGAAGCGTTTGTATGGAGACTATCTATATAATCTAAGGTTGCACATACATTAAACATTTTTTTATTTTATAAATAACAAGTATATTAGAAATTTATAAATTCAATAACACTTTATACAATCAAAATTAAAAAAAATCATTGATAGTTTAATGAGAATTCTTCTCATATACCATAATTTATTCACTATTCTGGGGCACTTATTAAAGTATTAATTAGAAATATTATATATTACTGTTGAATAATGTTTGACCTTCAACAGTTTTGCTAAGCCACATACAGTTGCCAGTCTTGGAATGAAACTATGTCTGCTAAATAAAAAAACCAGGTTACTTTGGCAAATATTTACCAACTTGATAGAACAATGTCATAAATATTTTCATTTCTTATCCATATCTAAAGTCCTTAAAGAATATATAATATTCTTAAGGACTTTTGATTTATCAATAACTAGTTGGCTAGCTTGTAGTTTTTGAAAACACTGATTTGGTTTTTTTTTTAATCCATTAATGTATAATTATGGGGTAAAAAGTTGCCGTTTCATACCGAATTATACCTATTCTAAAGTATTATACGTACATAGCATACCAACTTTCAAAATAATTGGTAGGTATGGCCGTTTTATACTATGTGCTAACAAAACAATATACGTACACACAGATAAAATTTTTATAAACAATTACGCCTTTTCTGGTATCAATATCAATCATATATATTTATTTCGGCTTTATTCACGTTTTAAATTCGGGGATGCCCAATTAGTTTTTTTTTTTTTTATTTGCAACACAGTCGTGAACTGCTCTCACAAAAAAAGTCGAGCATCCCCAAATTCAAGTTCAATCCGTAAAGCCGAAATAAACAATTACATTAAGTATGACTCAAGACAGTTATTATTTAACAGTATCAATCATATTGAAAATAGGTACCTATATAAAAATAGCTATATTAGCCACGTCGCGATGTCATTATTATGTAGAGGTATTAATGCTATTTAACAACAGCTATATTAACCATATACTAACCTGTAATTACAATAAGAGGCACAATAGCAGAAGTTCCTTCTGTCGAGTTATTAATTAGATCATGATCCTGATTGATTAACAAGGTACTCTTTATGCAATTTTATGTAACTATAATGATGTGCACTACAGTTACAATTTTATAAGTATAATTAATATACCCCTACAAGTAAGTAATCCGTGGCAGACGACTAAAAATACATAATTTGGTATTATATATTGAAATCGCTTAATAGTAACAATTACTACTCAGGCTGTGTAATCATTACCCTGACAAGGTTTTCCCTAGAGACTACTGTTTGGAATTCTTAAAAAAGGGTAAGGTTAGTTTCTTTCGGGTGGACAACGCGCACGCGACATCCCTGATGTTGCAGACATGAGGGGAGGGATTGTTAGTAATGCGAACTACCAGTACAATTGCTGACAATATACCTTGTTAGGTCCACCTCCACGTACACGTGGTCTTCCCTGGAAACCATCGTGCTAAATGCCAGGTGTATTTATCACGATGGGCTAACTGAACTAACCATTCCATTATCATCCATTAAAAATGTTACTTATGACATTCATAGATTACAGTAACCGTTTAACATCAGACGGGCTGTAAGCTTGTTTATTATATTTATCTAATTTCTAATGTATTATAGATTTATTATATATTTATAGATTTAAATGTTTGGAGTGAAGTGTGAATGCAGCCTTAGTACCTAATGATTTTTTTACCGATATATATTTTGCTTGTAGGTAACTAGTGAACCTCATTTCACTAAAAATTACCATTTTTTTATATTAAATTAATAATGACGGTGTCCTCTACATTTCAAAGTATTATTGTAACACTGTCACCAATTTGCATCTAAGAATTTTGAAATGATTTGGCCATTTTCCATACCATCGCATTACTTGTTATCAACAGGTAGTTCACTCCCATATATTAGAACCCCACCATGTTTATAAATGATTCAATTTAAGTAGATCTATATCAATATTATATAAATAAAAAAGTATGTCGTACCTACCATGGAACAAAATCGCTAAAGACCATTGTTTCAATTCGCAATACCATTTTAAATTCATAACTGTAATTTCATAGTAGCTTGCCTTTGCTTTACTGTACATGTAATATATATTGTCGATAGCTATAATTTTATCGAAGCTGCCTTTTAGTTGAGATTACCTAAATTAAACTCATAAATATTAATCTTGAAGCGAAAGAGACCAAAACAGTTGCAAATATTTTACAAAGAGATAAGATCAAATGGGCAGACTTTCATAGAAGTAGAAAAATATTAAAGAAATTTTTAGGATTTTTATTGAGGAACTTTAACAAGCATCTTTGAAAGCATTTTTAATGTGTTTACGTTTTCTGTGTCGTTTATAATTTAACATTATTCTTTTAAAAGATCGACCTTGCCTATTAGTTACATGAACGACTGTATAAAATAGTTGTGGTGTGGTGATGATGGTCGCAATAAACTGTAAAAAAAATATTTTGAACATATGGTTTATATTAACAACTAATACAATGTATTTGAATGTTAAATGTAATTAGCTGATCTCACACACATGAAACTAATATACAATTTACTCAACAAATTTCACTTAATATCAGTTGTAATAAATTAAGAAAAACTAATTTGCTCACACTGCATCACACATATAACCTAATTAATTGTTGGTTATGAGTTAAAAAAATGAAATATTCTCGTATTTTGAGGAAATGTTTTGCCGTGTACTTAAAATTAATTAAATATTCCAGGTATCGTACCGATTGGTTATAGATAAAGAATACAAAAGATAAGAAATTAAATATAATGTACCTTTACCTAAAAAGTAAATCATGAAACTGGAAGCACTGTGGTTCACATGAGATAAAATAGCTGTTCAATAAAAATATACAATAAATAAGTACGCTCACATATGACATTCACACCAATAATGACGCAAATTTTTACTGGTCTAGTTTTATTATATAAAACTAGACCAGACTTTCAAATTACAGCCTGTGCAGAAGATGGACATTTACATTTTAAAGATTGTCTCTTGTTGGTCATAAGAACTTGGGAAGACGATACAAACCTAGAGATTTTTTCCGCGATCATAACTATTCTCAACTGCGCAAATCATTATTAGTACTGGTTTTACAACGGGAGGAATGTCGAATTGGTCAGGAGACACATATCAATTAAAAGACTGCGTATAATTGACGTTAGTAACTTGCGAGTCAACAGCGAGATTGTGCTGCTAGAAGAATCTATTCATTGCACTAGACTGGAAAAACAGTAAGTTCCCCAATAAGTACTTTTTTTAGGGTTCTATCTAAAATGTTGCCCAAAAACGTCAGAGATTAAGGTCGGCCCTGGTTATAATTTTATGTTTCGATAAGTATGAATTACTACCTTGTACAATTACAATACTATATAGCTATAGTCTAAATTCTGTGTATAAATTAATGCTCAATAATACATTTAAAAGTCTACAAACAGTTGACTAATTCTTTATGTGATATAATGAAGTATGTAATATAATGTAACTGTCACAAAAATTGGTTTATGAAGATTATTATTGAAATCATTAGTACTCTTTTAAGAAAGTGTTCTACCAACAAAATCAAACATTTTTCAAATCATCGACCAAAAAACAACATCCACCTGTAAGAGGACTTTAATTATTTCTATTTCAATCTGTATATATATATATATTATAGATAAATATACTATACTACACTACAGTATAATCTTCATATTACATACTCCTATATAAGGAATTAGGAAACTTCTTACAACCACACAACACTTGAAAGCTAAAACATAATCTACTTAATATTTTTTAAAGCTTATCTTCATTTTTGTTCACAACAATTATTTCGACTTTATCCGGAAGTTTTTTTCAGAGGGCGTTTAGCGCTTCGCGTCACAGCGTCGTTGACTGTGAAGAACTCTCTTCTTCGTTGCCTTTCTCTTCCGAGTTATACCATTGGTATGACACTCAGCGCTTACGATATCTTCTTTGTTGCAACACCATTGTCTCTATTCATCTGTAAACACCCCCCCCCTCTCTCCCCCTTCCCCGCCCCCATGCGAGGCGAGACGCTATGACGTAAAGCACTTAATGCCCCCAAGAAACTTCCTGATGAAATCGTAACAATTGTCGGAAACAAAAAAAGCACAGTGAATTCATTAATGTCCCGTATTTGTGAAGACATAAATTACATTGGTTGGATTATTTAATTATCCATACATTATTTAATACTTTAAACAGCGAAATACTAGTATTTTACCCCCTTTTTAATAGTGAAATAGTTAAGACGCTTATGCTGAAGGCAATAAACATTTAGTATTGGATTGAAATGTTCGCTTTATAACTTACCGAAATCAACGACTGTAGCTAGGTGCATCCTTACTAATATTATAAGTATGAAAGTTTGTTTGTTTCTTCTTCTTCTAGCGTCTTAACGTTACCAGTAATCGCCATAATATTTAGTCTTAGTAAGAACAATAGAAGTCAAAAATTAAATAAAAACTCACACTCTTCTTTTAATTGTGAACTCTTCTCTATTTATTTCTAGTTTTACACTGCTTATGCTTTTAGAATAAATGTTTTTATAATATTCATGTACTTTTCGTTTATATTATTACTTTTTGGATAATTCTTTCCATCTATTCGGTCTATGACAAGTATGTGATCTAGTAGTAAAATAATATATACGAAAGCTTGCTTGTTGATTTTTGTCAATTACCGGTGCTATTCTACTCAGAATAACTAATGAGAAGACTTTATAAATTGTGGTTAACAAATAATGGGCCTGTAATTGTTGATGTCGTGTGGGTTCCCTTTTTTATACAGCAATGTTATGATGGATTTGCACCACTGTGTTGGTACTTGTTCTGTTTTTATAACTAGGTTAAAAAGTATTGCTGGGTAAGTATATTAATACAATTGGCGCACTTATTGTGGTCTGTTCTGATCCTGGGCTATGGATACTAATTTACTAATATGTTCTATTTAATTTACTAATGTACTGGTCACAATTTATTCCTGGTTGGCTTGATCTTGCTTTTATCTTGTTTCTCATTATGTATTTCTTGTAGTGGTTTTCTGTATAGGTTTGAATAGAATGCTGTTGCACATTTTATTCTATTTTTTCTGTCTCTAACTTTGTCATTTCCATCACTTATACACTGTATTCAGTCTTTCTAATTCTTTATGGGCTTTTATTGAATTGCGTTACATTGACACTTCTTTTCTATAAGTATCATAATCTTTAATAATTGTCCTAATAGTTTTTGTAAATAGTTACAAGCTTCAGCTCTTCTCTTTTATCTTTAGATGTTACTTTTGCATTTGTGAGTTCTGTTACTGTCACTAATAATTTAATGTTTTTTGTTGTTGTTTCTTATATTTCCATCTAGTTTAAGGCTTTTGTAATTGTTTTTTCTAGTGTGTCACTGAGTACTTATATATTTTCAATGTTTGCCATAGATTTATATAATATATATGAATTTTCTTTCGGTTTTTGTATATAGTGTGTTTTTCATGAGTAACTTCAACATGTTATGTAAGGCTGTGAATGACCTTTGACTAATTTTTGGTGGTTGAATTTTCAAAAAGCATCGTATCATTCTGGCGTCATTATTTGTCACATGCAAATGATGAAGCGACATGTAATTGATATTAAACCAACTAAATTGTTAATCTTCCTTAACTAAGTTAATTTTGGAATAAGCATTTAATACATTTATTTGTTCAAAAACATAAATAATATAATTATTTTAATTGTATTACAACCCTCAATAACCTTTATGTATGTCTTTTTATTATTATCAATGTTATTTATACTTAATAACTTTATTATCGATCAAATTCTATGGAATCAAATCCCCATATATATATATATATATATATTCAAGCATTACTGTGTTTGAACATAAAATATAAGATAAATGTAAAATATTATCTTATATTATAATTAATCTGCATGCATATTGTTACAGAGAAAGATTTTTGTTTTTGTAGATAAGTTTCAGAAATTTTATATAATAAATATTAATCAGAATTATTATTTTATATAACCAATAGGTCATAATTTATATTAATATATTAATAAAACCGTATTATTTTGTTTAATTGAGTTGCTTTCTAGATATGTGAGAGCGTTTAAATATTGATATCTAGTCTAGAACGCATCTCAAACAAAGTGTGTATATTATATGTTGGTGGCATTACTGTCGCTTTGTATTTCCTTTGTTTTATTCTATGATCTGTAAACTCACTCTCTGTGTGGTACGATCAGTTATATAAGTTTTTTAATTAATCTATATTTTCATTTCTGTATTTTTCTGTATTGAGGTCCAGATTAAGGCTCAACCCGCAATCATTCAAATGTTGTATGACTATTTGTACTGGTCTTGGTGTTTTCTATGTATAATGTGTATTTATATAAAAAATAATTATTACCTTTACTTGTCTAGAGCTTATTAGTACAAGCTCTGCTTAGTTTGGGATTAAATAGCGCTGCGTAATTATCTAGTGGTAATAAAAAAATGCACATGCGTAATCCGCATTGTCCGAACCTAATAATGTCATCCGATTTCAACTGGGATTTGAAAACCTTTATAAATTCTTTCTACAATTCAATCGATTCCGTGTAGTCTTAGTGACAAATTGGATAGGATTATATGCAACGAATTCTAAAATTAAATTATTATTATTATAAAAATAAGCATCTACATAAATTTCAATATGTATTGCGCCTTATAAGTAAGGCAATATTAAAAATGATAAAATAGTAGGTAATTAATTATACGCCACACTGAAATTATGGTTGCTCCAGAGAGAAATTTAGGATAACCTTGAGTGGTATTTTTAAAGCATCAATTTATTTGGCCACATTATTTTTGAAGGAGTTTCATTTTTCTAGAATATTGTTATATCTTAGTTAATAGGTGCTTAATTAGGTACATAAATTAATGACATTGTTACTTACACAAATTTTTGAAATTATTATATAATTATTATGTATTGCTGTAATGTTTATGTCATATAATTTATTTTCAATTATAATTATACTTAACACAACCAAGGAACTGTGAAAGGTACTTTTGGTTGACACAATAGCATAGACTCAGTTAGGGGTGTGCTTTATTGTACAAAAAGCAATCAGACATTTAACAATATTAAAATTACTAATACAGTAGGTACCATTAGAGGTCATTGGGTACATCATTATTGCATTATAATTATATATTTACATGTTTAAGTCCCTTTCACGATTTTATTAGATATAGAAAAACTATATTTATTTAATGATTAAATAAACAATTATCCCTAGCAGTTCTATAAAAATATATTTTAAACAGAACACACCTCAAATCACTAATATACGGTTGAGAAACAAGTAGTCACTTACATTCCGAATAGAACACGGAGTCAATAGGGGAGCAAGGAGCGCGCGGGCTCCGAGCCGGCAAGCAGCGCGCCGCCGACAAGCGCCAGCGCCAGTGCGGCGGCGGCCAGCAGACGTCAGCCGCGCGCCGGCAGTGAAGCCGACGCGCGTAAGGCGCAACGTCATTGCGTCGGCTTCAGCGCTGCCAGCTTGCGGCCGCGTGCACGTGCTTCTTGTCGCGATGTCGTGTACTCGAACCATAACACGTTCGGAATCAAAGTAGTGTCCCTTATCATCAGCATTTCAAATAATTTCCTGGAATAACATGTTGAAATTAGGCAGATACTATTTATGTAAATTTTTAATAATTTAGGCAGGTTTTTTTTAATGGACGAAAATGGAATGGTAACCCCATCCGCGCTTTCGCTTATCACTATGCATTGCATGCATACTTACTCTACTTACATTGTAAGCTTGGCTCTTTAAAAAATATACATAAATATACATATATATACATATATTTATAATCATCTGCCTAAAATTTTTTAAATGTTTATAACAGTTTGAGGATTTTAAAGATAAAAAAGATATAACTTGGATAAAATGTTTGTTGGATTATTTAAAGTATTATGATGGTATTTTTCATTTGAGTTAAGCTTGGAAACCAAATTGCCTATGATAACTTTATTATACATGCTTTTGTACTTACAACAGCATCAAAAATACCCACAGATTTTAACATCTCTAAAAAACATAAAGATTTTTTTTTATTATTATTATTTCAACCATTAACTGTCTACTGCTGGACATAAGCCTTCCCCATATAGAGTTTTGCCAATAGTTGCCACGCTTGGCTGGTGGGTTGGCAACCATAGTTAGGCTTTTAGAGATGTTTTAAGAGGGATGCTGCTGCCCATCCCTCCCCCTCCTTAGTCACCCTCTTACAACACCCACAGGAAAGGAAGAGGTGGCCTATTCTATACCGGGACACACATGGCAATAAAGACATTACATACAATGTTTTTGTATATATAAAAAACATCACCTTAGAACAATGCTTTTGCAAAAAAATTTCTGTTTCCTCAGCAGTAATCTTTATAATATTCAAATATATACACATATTCATACTTCAATTGTAAAACTGCACTTAAAACTTGGTTACTGAGTCTGTTGTATGACAACACAGAAACCTACATAAAAGTTACATTAAAAAATTATTACTGTATGAAAATATTATTAAAATAATGTAAATGTGTGTGTTAGAAATACCAAATGTATAACCTTATGTATTAGATTCTAATTATTAGATTATCTAATAATATAATGTATAATCTTATTATTAGATTCATAACCAGAACAAATTGTGTAATAGTGTTGGCACGACACCATAGGGTGAGGACCTGGTAATCTGTAACACAGGTTTATCCAACTTCAGACACCAGTTCTTCGTAATAACATTGATTCTCTAATGACGGACTTACAATTGTTAGTTTTTAAAATAAAATAATCACTTACATTGACACTAACTGAGGAAAAACTGGTGTGAAAACTCTGTGCACCAACGCAAACCACAGAGTAGCAAATAAGAATCCAACAATTCCACCAACAATGACTTGAGCTGTTGTGTGATAGTGCAAATATACTCTTCCAATGCTGACTAACAAAGCTAAAGTAATACAGCCTCCTACAATCACCACTCGCCATAATGCAGATATTATACTATTATTATTTATATGATGTAATCTAAAATAAAAAAATACAATTGTGAAACATAGCTTTTTTAATTTATCTGCTAGATAAGATTATATCTAGCAATTTAAATATTTGCTCACCTGATCAAAACAAAATATAAGACATAAATACTAAAAAACCAAACAAATTGTGCATGAGATGATGGCATTCCATATTCATTATATAAATGCCCTCTTGCTATTGGTCTAGCTTCACAAATAATATGTTTTAAAATAATATTCAACAGTTCATTGACTAATGTACCAAAAAAGAATGCAATCTGCAACAATAAAAATATATTTTTTATACAGTAACAATAAAATATAATAATTTTATTGTATATTATCAAAGACTACTCACAGTGTGAAGATCTCGTCGAAATAGTATTAATGCAACAAATCCAGCACCAATTCCAAATGGAGCTAAGCTAATAAGAGCAAAGAATTTTCCTAGTATATCACCTGAAAAGATGTTATAATTTTAACTAAATGTAATTATATGATATTATTATTTGCTGAAGGAATAATCATAACACTTTTTAAAATAAATAGTAAAAGCAGAAATCAATTAATACCTTTTGGATATTCAACCAAAGTGAGAGCTAGTGGTTGCCACTCAATATCACCATTACCATGCAGTACATCGCTCACTGATAAAACTTTATCCTCCATTTTAACATCGTCTGATAAATAATTTTATGTAAATCTATTTAAATATTAAGATATTATATAGAAACCTATACTTTTAAAAGTACTCTTTAATAACATCGACGTTAAAGAAAACCAGAGAACGACAACATTTTGACATTAATTTAACTGACATAACTAACGTCAATGTGGTCGACAACAATGTGGTTTGCGATCTAAGAATTACAATTGAAATCTTTGTCTGCGATATTGTCAGCCACACACAAAAGAGAACATTACAACCTTAGAGTTACAACTTATGTTTAGACATAGTTTCTCTATTAAAAAATGGTATTATGAGCACTTGAGATTACTTTATAATGAAATTAATTCATAATCACTAGTAAACTTAATCAGCTATTTTAAAAATTGATAATGAAGTAAAATAAACGTGCCAACCCAATCCAATTTGCAAATACTTAATGAGATCGAAAAAAGTTAAGTACAAAATTTTTGTTTTATAAAGTTATTAACAGTTATCGCCCAGAATAATTATTCTTCAATAAATAAATATTATTTCAATTGAAACGAAATAATTTAAATATTCCACTTTACAGATAAAATGCCTATTATGAATTAATCGATGGTATTGTAATCAAAAGTCAATAATAATCTATTAATTGCAAAGTTGCCGAATAATTATTTATTCGGCAACTTTGCAAGTATGGTACTTATTTATTATGTTTGCAGACAACATACACATATAATTATCTTTGGCGAATACTTACATTAAAAAATAAACATTTAATTAATACTTTTAGCTATATATTTATATAGTCAGCCAGGACAAATAATTTTATGAATATAGATTTTTTAGATTTAATCAAAAATTGAAATAGAATACCTATTGAATATAATTATATAAATAGGTATTACAGAAAATTAAATTGATAATAACTATTATCATATAAATAGCATCCAATCTCTGAATTACAACTTGTTTTAGTCACATTTATAGTCACAGTTTATCCAAATTTATTTGAAAATTACCTAGATAATGAAAAGTTACTAGTGGTTAATAGTACAGTATAAATAATAATCTATGATAGCAACACTAGTTCTTTTGTGTAGTGAAGTGAACTCGCAGTGAGCCATTCGTCAAAATAAAGGGGCAATTTGTTCTAAAAATTAACTAAAAATTACCTGATTACACATTTAAATCTCAAAAATGGCTGAGTCTGATGTAGTGGATTTAGATTTAACAATAGATGATTTGGTTCCTAAAAGCCCTGAAAGGTAAATATTAAATTGGTTACTATAATCATCAAACATGCATTAAGTAATTTTTATTGTATCTTACTTTATCTTCATTAAAATATAACTCATTGTGATTAATTTATGCTTATCTTTTTTATATTTAATATTTTTGTTTGTATTATTTTCACCTTTTGGTTGAATGGAAAATCTCAGTACCTTGACATTTGACCCACTTGTAGTAGGTAGGGTAGGGTACCTACATTAGCCTGCATTTAATGTGGTATGCTTATAAGAAGGTACCTATACTGTAAATATTTTTGACTGATAACCAAAATTGATCATAAAGTACAAATAAATAAAATTATAATGAATCTGTTAAATTTACATTTAAAATCTGCTTAAATATTTTATAATTTTTTTTATATATAAAAATGTCTTGTATTTTTATTCATCTAGATATTTTATAAAATATTTTATAAAACTAGTGTCTATGTATTACAATGAAAAAATTAACTATAATTGACATATTTATTTTAACATTTTTTATATTTTTTATATACATTTTTAAGCTTGTGTGTGACTACAAAATCTTCTAATGTGACAATGAGTTCTAAGGGGTTTTGCCACCTGTACTGGTTTACACTGGTAGAGTACCAGTGTCATTAAATTCTTGTGAAGGAACTGATCTGCTTAATGTACTTGTAGCTAATCTGTTCTGAGTTTTATGGAAATAATAAATACAATTTACTTTTCAGATGAATTTTAAATTCAAACTTTAATTATAATTTTTTCATTAGGTTGGCTGAAGAAAAGAAGGAAAGTGGTAATCATTTATACAAATTTAAAAATTACAAAGGTGCACTGGCCATGTATGATGAAGCAATAAAATTATGCCCTGACAGTGCTGCCTATTATGGAAACAGGTCTGCTTGTTACATGATGCTGGGCATGTATAAGAAGGCCTTAGATGATGCTCAGAAAGCTGTTTCTTTGGATTCAACATTCACTAAAGGCTATATTCGTATAGCCAAATGCTGTATTGCTTTAGGTATTTATTATGTTTTATTTTTGTTTTTTGTTGAAATGCATATGCATTTCATTATATATACTTAAACCTAGGTCCATCTTCTATATAAATAAACATGAACTGTCGAATGTATGTAAGCGCATCACTTCAGAATGGCTACACCTATTTAGCTAATTCTTCTTTGTGTTTGTTATTGTGAGAACAAGGTTTTTGTGTAACTAAGTGTTTAAAAAATTTGCAAGGAAAAGTCAAAAATTTTAGTTATAAAATTTCTATATAAAAGTGAATGTGTAAGCATGACAGAAAACTTCATGTGGAGCGATACAAAATGATATAGACCATAGGGAAATATTTGTTTAAGTCAACTAAAAATAAAGATACATTGGTATTATGATAGACATTAATAGCTAGAATCTTAAGTCAGTGATAGAAAAACGAAGGAGTATTTGTAAAAAGTTTTGTATACTACATGAAGATCTTGAAAATATTAACAAAATTGTTAGATTGGTATAATTTTCTTCATTAGTACCCCTATGTACTATGCCGCCGGGATGAGTAGCTAGTTTATTATAAATGCATAAATAATTCATATATATGTAGTGATGAAGTTGGTTTATTATGGACTTTTGCTAACCTGACAGATCTCAATGTGTCAAAACTATTTTAATGTTGCAGTCTGTCTAGAATGTTTGAATTGGCAGTTAGATGTAGCATAGCAACTGTAGTAATAAAATAGGGTTTCTTGTTTCAGGAAATTTTACCAATTTTCCTTTTCATACATTTAAAATAATTATCTAAATTGGTCCAGCCAGTTAATAAAAATGAATTGCTAAATGTGTTACTATATTGTGCTTAGCAACACATTCATTAATTAAATTTTATTTATATAGATTAGTTACCTTCGATCATACCACCACCAACATGACTAGGAATCAAAGTGGGTAACTACTTCCTATGTGATCTAGTCAGATGGTCATTGATAATAATATTATGATTATAGAAAATACATATAACCCTGAGGAAGGATATAAGCTAGAATTGTAAAATGGACATAGGGAGGATATTTTTTTTTTTTTTTATTAATTTGTAGATTATTATGATTTTTTTAGTAATAAAATGGGCTAATATAATTGGAAACAACTGATTTATTTATATTTCAATATCAATTTATTTGGAAAGAGATTATATAATTGGCTAAAAGAATACAATTTTTATGATATAAAAGATTTTCTTAACAAAAGTTTCTGACATTTTTTTATGCAATTTAGAATAGCAAACAACCTGATGGCCCACCTGATAAAAAGTGGTAACTGTCGCCTATAGACATGAGCAGTACCATAGACAACAGTATACTGTTTCACCCATGATAGCTCCCATGCGTTGCCATTCCTGAGGACTCGGGTGTTATTTGTGTGTATCCTGTAAATTCACGCCATATCGTACCCATCAAACCAAAACAGCTATGCAAACACAACTGCTTCATGGAGCCCAAATTACACCTATTTACACCGATTTACATGGTAGATACGTTCCTGAGAAAAACGTGTAAATCGAAAATTAAAAATTTTCAAGTCAAAACCGTGTAAATCGAAAAGCTTGCAGAAAATGCATAATTTTACTATTTAACAGTTGTGATTTTTTCAATATTTTTAGGTGTACACAGAAATAAAAATAAAAATTTTCATTTGTTCTAATAGTTCTTATTGTAGCTTTGTTCATGTTATATGATTTTGCAACATCTACTACTCTATCTCCCTTTCGTAAGCGATCCAAAATTTCGATTTTAGTTTCTAAAGAAATAACTTTTCTTTTAACTTCTTTCGACATTATAAGCCTATAATTTTTTTTTTTTATTTATGTTAATTTATAAAAATCTTAATTATGCACTCACTTGTAATTTATGAATATGAAAAATTAAATCTTTCTGACACTGTGAAACTTTCACTCAAATACAATTTTCCGTAGATAAAACTTTAATTTTATGCGAAGAAATACAGACACAGTGTGCATGTGCAGCAAGTCAGCACATAAGCTCGGGATTCCCCGTGAGATGTGTACACAGCGCACGTGTTCAAACACAGTAGCATTTAGTAGAGTGCGATAAAAACAAAAAAAAAACTTATTTGGAAAACCGTGTAAAAGCGAAAACGTGTAAAACAAGTACCGTGTAAATCGGGGGATAGGTGTATACCTATTTGGTACTGAATATACTAAAAACTGTCACACTACAGATGATAACAATTTATGCGTTTCTTTTAATGGGGATTCCCTTATTCTTATTGTACTGGTCATATGGAAATTTTCTCAATCTAATTTTAATGTGGCATCTGATATGTCATTTAGTCCACCCGTTTGCTCAATAAAACTCTCGCAATTTTTCTTTCACATATCCTCTTAAAAAAACCAACACAATATTTCTTTTTCAATCTTTAGTATATATATTAATAAAAGACCTTACATCATCAACATTTATTGGATTATGTAATTCTGTATGCCTATCCATATTTGAAGGTGATATGTCTGGTGGAGAGCAGGCTGTTAATAGAGCAAAAGAATTAGGCGGCGCAGACTGCGCAACAAGCGAGCGTCGTGCCCTGGAGTCACTGAGGAGATTGCATGAAGATGCACAGCGCGCAATGGAGGCTTGTGATTATCGTCGTGTTGTGTTCTGCATGGATCGTTGTCTAGACTACAGCCCTTCTTGTACTAAGTAAGTAGTAAATAGACTACAGATAAATAATAACTTTTTCCTTACAATTTATTTCAATAATAATGAAAAAAGTATGCTAAAACACTTAATTATTAAATCAAGAAATATTTTGTTTGAGTTTTTATTTAATTTCTCAGTAAGTGATAATGATTAGTGAATTTGCATATAATATATAACCTAGTAAATATTTCTCAAATAAATTAGAATACAGAAACACATGCATTTTGAAGATTTAAATAAATTACTTCCTTTGCTGAATAATCATTGTGCTGTAGCAACTGATATTAATATACATATATATACTCAATACACAAATATAAGTGGTTATTTATTACAGTTTCAACTCAAGGCGACACTCATTGTCTATTGTTAGCATTTTCGAAGTTTATTTGTTCATTAAGTTCACGTGATTGATGGTATTGTTCCAGGGCGAAGCTCACAAAAGCCGAATGTTTGGCGATGCTTGGGCGTTGTCAGGAAGCTCAAGAAATTGCCAATGATTCTTTACGATTTGATAGCTTAGATGCTGAAGCCATATATGTGCGAGGACTGTGCCTTTATTTTGAGGTATATTTTTATTATATATTTTTTTATTTAATTTTCATAATTTGTACACAATGCAGAAATATTTTTTTATTTATACCTATGAAATTAAACACATTTCTAGACATAGATTGTAAAGTTTTCCTCTATTTCATTGTAAACAACTGTAGTTGTTCATTTGACAAATGAAGGCCTTTCATTAATAGAATTTTTAAAATATCCTCAAAGTTCACATTCTCTTAATATGTCGTTCAGAATAGATCTTAATGAATACTATCTTAAATAATCCTAATAACTCTACTTGTTACTACACACATTAGAACTTATAATTTTTTATTCTCAATTTATTATAGGACAAAGATGAGCAGGCATTCAAACACTTCCAGCAAGTTTTGCGACTAGCTCCAGATCATAAAAAAGCAATGGAAACATACAAAAGGGCTAAATTACTGAAACAAAAGAAAGAAGAAGGTAAGATAACGCATGATGTTAACCAATCTTGTACTAATTTTAGTTATTTTTTATAATTAAAACAATTTACATTCATATTGAATTTACATTTATACAAAATAATGTAAAATTATAAATAGGCTCGTTATAACATATATAACTGATCATAGTTTAGAGCCCACAGTTTCGTGCTTATAAAAACTGAGAGTATTCATTTAACAATTTAAATAAGTCTTAAGACAATTACAAAAGTTTTGTTTTAATTTCAATCGGTAATGTAATATAATGTAAATTAGACTCTTTTCTCCACATTAAGCCTCAAATTTGGGCCATTCTACATATGAATCGTGGCTAGTATAGCCAGCTAAGCTCCGCCCACAAGCAAAGAAGCTTCCTGGGATCTTCACAAGCCTCATGGAGCGACTTCACTATTCCGAGGTTTTGTGAATGTTGAAAGGCCACAGCTACTCATTCCAGAAATATATGAGCAGCCGTTTCTTCGGCGTCAAAATAATCTCGACATAAAGAGCTGTCTGTGGCCCCTATTGTGTATAGGGGCAATAGCCTATTATTATTCAACCAGATCATATACAGTTGAGAACATTTGGAAAGATAACCATATTTGTCATGTCCAATAGTCGTTGAATAAATATGAACATTAATTCATTTTCTACATCAATGTCAATTTTTACACTAATTTATACCCAAATCTATTAGATGAAAATTTTATACAGAATCACTGGCATGGCTAAATCTTTCACCTATTTCTGCCGTCAAGCAGCTTACTTGCATTTGCATGCTGTTTCGGTTTGATTGGGGTTGATTGGAAACAGTGTAATTATTGGGTATTGTGATTATGATTAAAGATTTTGGTAATGAGAGTCAGAATTGCGCGAAATATACCATTGGTATTGTAAGTGCATATGTACTATCATACTATAGTGATTGTTTACCATCACTGACCATAACATGTTTAATTGTCACTCTCATAAAAAATGAAGTATAAAGAAAATAATAAATTGTCGATGATCCACTACAGGCAATGAAGCTTTTAAAATGGGACGATGGCAACAAGCTCTTAACTTATACAACGAAGCATTGAATATAGATAAGAACAATAGAGCAGTCAATGCTAAGTTGTATTTTAATAAGGCAACAGTTTGCGCTAAACTTAACCAAACGAAAGAAGCTGCAGAGGCCTGTACAGCGGCGCTAAATCTCGACGAGAATTATGTAAAGGCATTACTGCGACGCGCGAAATGTTACACTGAACTCGGCGATTATGAAGATGCAGTGAAAGATTACGAAAGACTGTACAAAATAGATAAAAGCAAAGAAAATAAGCAATTTTTGCATGAAGCCAAAATTGCACTGAAGAAGTCCAAACGCAAAGATTATTATAAGATCTTAGGAGTAGATAAGTCGGCGTCCGAAGACGATATTAAGAAGGCTTACAGGTAAATTATTATTTTATAAATTGCCACTAACCCAAAATGTTTGATTGATTTGAGTGGTATATAATTAATTTATTAGTAAATGCTTATATTTAAATTACCAGTATCAAACTATAATGTGTGTCCATTTAAAATTGGCTGTCCATAGATTAAGAATAGTATCTCGTTAGTGTTGTGTATGTGATTGCAGGAAGCGCGCGCTTGTACATCACCCGGATCGTCACGCGGGCGCGCCAGATATCGAGCGGCGCGAACAAGAGCGCCGCTTCAAGGAGGTGGGCGAGGCTTACGGCGTCCTCAGCGACCCCAAGAAGCGCGCCCGCTACGACCACGGACAAGACCTCGACGACGAAGGCTCGGGAATGGCTGGTATGATAACATTTTTGATATTGTACTACAGATTATATTTACTGTATTGTACCTGCACACACGAGCATCATTTAGCATATTATAACATTTTCATTTGTTTTTTTTTACTTTCCAATTTAATTTTGTTTATATAATCAGACTATTGTTAACAATTTTATTTTTTTCAGATATCGACCCTAATGTGGTATTTCAGACATTTTTCAATCGCGGTGGACAACATTTTAATTTTGATTCGACTGGTGGATTCCCTGGAACAGGATTCAGCTTTCAATTTGGTTAAAAACTTTATAATTAATAAAAACAAAAACTTATTTTTTGCAATTAACAGTTTTTACAAAATAATTTGTTCTTAATTGTCATTCCATGAGCAAAAACATATTCATGCAATATTATAATATTATGTGAATATAAAATTCTGTCATTCACTTTATTATTGCCAATAAAATAATAGATTCTAATAGCAAGGTAAAGGAAAAGGAACCTTGTTAACATTATAAAAATATTCCCTCTATAGAATTATTTACCACTCCTTTTAACAATATAGATTTATTTAAATTGTACTAGAAAAATTGTAATTAGTTGTAAAATTAAAAAACTAGTTTATGGCCCTCATTGTTCGTGAAATGCTACACGACAAATATCGTTCAGTTTAATCAAAATTTTAGTAATCAAATATTAAATCGAAATTTATTTAACGAAATTATATTTTGTATTTATTTCATTTCTCAAATTTACGATTATTTATATTTATTTCTACTTTAAATCGTCGTAAATTTAAAATATGAAATAAATGCAAAAAGGTTATTGTTGTGTATGACCATATTGACAACCATGTTAAATTTGAAACAGAGTAGGTAATCGGTAATGTATATAATTCATTCCATGAAACAAATCCTAACATTCAATGAATTAATTTTTGATCAATATTTACTATCATAGATGTCACTAGATTCTCTCTGCTTAAATAATACATTTACCTTTCTATTAGATTATATTGAAATAAACTATCCATGTTATATATAACCTATGTATATAGATTATAATATATACATATATAATTATTTCTCCAATCTATCATGAATTGGATGGCTTACTTTTTAATTATCCTAAATATTACTACAGTTTAAATTACCATTATCCCAGAAATAACAAACGTTATACATCATTATAAAACTTACTTAGTGATAATTATAACGTTGACTGATTTGGTTAAGTAACTTTATTTTTTTCACTATCCTCTCAAGTGTGGTGAGTGGACATATAATTATTATTTTGCTAAGGAAAGTAAAGGCAAAGGGCCTTGTATTGTTATGTCATATATCAGCAGTGTAAACGAGCGTGTTTGAACAATTAAAAATGTATAATATAGATTAATAAAAAACATGTGATTGAATTTCGTTTTTAATAACGCGTGTAAAACTTTTATAAAAACGTACAACACCATGCAGATTTATCTGCTATATTATAGTGTATTATGTATTAATGTGAAATTGCAATGCAATTATCGCACAATACCACTCACGCTGCAGTATTTCATTCCATTGAAGTCGACACTCTAATAATCTTCAATGGTGGAGTATTATGTACAATATTTTACATGAACCATTCTTTCAACTGTTTCGGTGAATTATTTTATGTAATAGAATTATAACCTTTTATGACAATAGCAATCACCAAATGTAGAATTATCGACCCGATTTTGATGTTGGTACTTAATTATAGTCGACAGGATTTATTGCCGAATAAATTCAATTACTTGCCAAAAACATGTTTGGGACACAACAAATATTTGTACTTGATAAATCTACAAAATAAGTACCTACAAGTAAATAAAATATTTCTCTTTTAAACATAATTTTAGTAAAACATTGGTAGTAGGTCTGTTATAATCGGTAAACCAATAAAATTTACAGTCTAATGGTCGTAGTTTGTTTTATGCTCATAAATCCGTTCCAGGTACCTAATCTTCAGTTTAAATCTTATAAGTTTTATTCTAAGCAGTTTCTCTATCATTAAGAAATCTGTTACATTGATCATTTATACCGATTTTTCTTTAAAATTTTTTTATAAGAACAGAAACATGGTTTTTTTATGTAACTAGTCTGGTCATAAATACTCTAAAACTTCTTTTTTCCAACTTTTTAATTATTTTGAATTTGGAACGTTTATTATTTTAAATTTTTTTTTTCGATTTCGCGCCATTTTACATATTTTTTCGTTTTCATTATCAAATTACAATATGGAATGGGTTGTTAAAGAAAATAGTATTGCAGTGATCGCCTTGCACAAAGTGCGTATGCAGTAGTCGGCCATATTCCAGACACTTCAAAAGCTTGGTTTTAGCCATATGTTCGTATATCGTAGTATAGCTAACAGATACAATACTTCCTCTGTCGAAGACCAGAAATATCGGAGATATCGTCACCTTTATGGTAAACTTACGAAACTGAAAAAGATACATTTTACAGGGGAACGTTTTGAAACATTACAATGCAAATAACTTTTGACAGAAGACTACTGTAGAAGATCATGCTAACATTTTAGTTTTAAAATTCTGTTTTTTATTGAATGCGCTTAATTAATTATTATTATATTACAAGTATCAGAAATAAATGCATATTCGTTACTTTGCACCTCATTTTTTTGCACCTTTGCACCTCACAACATGAGAGTTCCTAGGTATTGAGTTATACAACAGCAAATCTACGAAAGTGGCGGTTTCGTAAGTTGCCAAAGAAAATAATTTATTTTAATATCTGGCAAACTAACGAAAGTGCCACTTTCGTAAATATACCAATGTATAAATCACGTGTTTTGGAGTAAACTTCAGTTTAAATAACAACATTCATGTAAAATAACTAAATTAGGATTGAAAAATTGATAAAATAATTATTGGAATTTTCAAATTAAAGTGTTTATTATAGAAAATATTATAAAAATATGCTAAGTTTACTTTGGGTATATCACAAAAATATGGAGATTCGAGCTATTCGATTTCTTTAACCGTTAGAGATAGAAAATTGGAAAATAAGCCACAATAAGTAGTACGACGCAAAATGTAGATTTTTAAAGAAATGTCAAATTTAAAGAAACTGCAGATTCGTAAATTTGCCATAAAGGTGACGATATAATATCGTCCCGCTAGGACTCTGTCGCGTATTATAAAACAAGACCTGAAGCTCGGTGCTTATCGTCGATATACAGGACATGCCCTGAAACAATCTTTACAATTAGAGTGGATCGATCAAAACATTGTCACGATACGCAGGTGAAAGGCACAGAAACTTAAAAAATCTTTGGAGTAAGCTATGGCGAAATTTCCCTTGGAAACAGTGCGTAAATCCATAGATTCGTGGTCAGACAGATTAAAGGCCTGTATAAAAGCCAAAGGTAGCCATTTTGAATAGAATATTTTTTTATATTTTTGTGAGACTTTAATAAATATGTAGGTATAAATTTTAGTAATATTACATTACTTCATAAAATAATGCATATTTATTTCTAACACATGGCTGGCCTAGGTACGTATATGTATAGCAGATTTTTTTTATTTAAAGCTTACACAGAGATGACCGAGATTTTATGCACATAGGACAAGTCTCTTTAATTTTAGATATGCCTTTGGAACAAAAGAAATATAACAGTCAGAAATCCATTGATTTAAGATAGTCGTAAAAAGTTGTTAAAATTTATAAACTCTATACTTATAAATATTTGGGTCATATCTCAAACCGGACTTCCTTCTTTGGTCGTAAACTAAATTTCATAGATTTATGGTTTATATTGTATGTATTATACTGATATTACGGAAATAGTGTAACCACGAGAGATTAAAATGGCTGCCTTACACGAATCATAAAATTTATTTTCCATAACTCATTTTAATTAAGAAACTTCATGGCATCTACCATAGAATAGAAATAATCTTTATTCAAATAGATATATTTACAAGCTCTTTCAAAATTTTTTTTAATTCTGTTACTGGTGTTCCATTGTCCTCGGTGAGCGTGGGATGCTTTTTAAACTCGATTTGGTGTACGTAATGAATCGTATTATAATTCCTTTATAAAACTGCTATTATAACCCAGTCCTGCCAACACACATCCTCTTTTTTAGTTTACATCATTCAGGAACAATATTAGACACAATAAAATGTAAGAGCATTGATTGGATCTTTATCAATATTTATGGTTATTAATTATGCTTTTCTTTTTCAAAATTTATTGCTTTGTCATTTGGAGGCCGTTTATTGTCAGTCTTGCTTCCTACTCCTTGAAATCTGAAAGTAATAGAATGAAAACTTATAAATAGCAATGTAGTATACATGTTTCCATTTCATACCACCACCTATTATATATTATACCGTAGTATTCCACTTTTTAGTCATCCTGCAAAGTATATTGGAGGAGATAACAAAAGGGGTGATCCATGTCTTGTGCAAGACATTGTTCAGGAATGCTAGATATCAAAAATTTATCTTTACATTTTCAAATCTTAGCATTGTGCGACGATAATTTAAAACTTGATATAGTTCCTACCGCTTTGTTTTTTGGTCTGGTCTGGTCAATGTGCTGTCTGTGAAACTAAAGAAATTTTTCAAAGAAACTTTAAATTCCCGTTCTATAAGATAGGTACTAACTTAACAGCTAAACCGTCATATTTATATCAAAATGTTTAGTTTTTATTTCCATGTAATTTTATGCCAAATATGAATTTATTCAGTTTCACGACATCTCACTCATGAAACACTACTTTCAAAGGATGCTAATCATGAACATTTATTTATATGTAAAGATACAGCCCTTTTATTAAATGCAACTTGTCATACAATTATTTAAAAATTATTATTTCGATAATATGTGATTTTGATTTTATTCTGTAGTACAATGTAAAATCTTATCTGTGTCTTTATTGACAAATCTAGCAATTTTGGTGCTTTGGGAATTTGCCAGATTTATTGTATCTCGAACGCAACATTTCTACAGGCATTACATTATATGTAAATATATTTATTTAATTAGGTACATATTTAAAACTTACTTTTTAATTTTAAACGGTTTCTTTTTTTCCTGTTTTGGTGGTTGATGATTAGTTTTGAAAGTTAATACATAACGTTTCACCACATCTACATTGACTGTGGTATTTTCCGGGTACATTCTTTTTTTCCACGCTTCTCTCTCCTCCATCCACATTCTTTGATACTCATAGGATAACAGCCATTCGATTCGCGATTTTCCTTCCTATTTTATAAATATTAAATATTGTTATACTAGAATAAAATGTAAAAAAATATTATTTTCTACTCTTTTTATCATTTGGAATAGCTGACGACTGTAGTTTGACGTTTGGTGATGTTTTAAGAGGGACGCTGCTGCCCACCCCTCCACTATAAATCTCTCTTACTCGTCTCTTACGATACCCACGGAAAAGGAAGGGGTGGCCTGTTCTATGCCGAGACCTATACAGCGATGTAAGTATGTAAATATATGTATGTATTTTAGTATATAAATATATGGTAATAAATGTTTATTGCACCATAAAGTTAGGTCACATTTATATAGCATAAGTTAAAAATTAAAATTGGCTTTGCCAATTTAACTTTAGTAGACTCAATTCAGTTTTGTGCAAAAGTGGCGATTGTACTAGGTATTAAGTATAAGAATCTGTGTCTCAGTTTACCCCGGTAGAACCAGAGAACTGCTTACTCGCAAATAGTATAACCGCCGGTCATCTATAGAATTAGACATGAACGGCATACGGATATCACAGAATACACAACGATGCCCTGGTATCCTTCATGTGTACTAAGGACTAAGGTATAATGCCTCCGTGCTCTGTAAATTCACTTAGTATCTCATTCTAATTCGAAAAATATATATACAAACTTCACGACAAATATACAAATAAGACTGAAGTAGTAATAAGTTCTTGGTGCCTAAATTGCTTAATGTTATGAAATTTATTTAATAAATGTATACGCTTAGTATTTGGAATGGAGAAAGACATAGGTTACTTTTTATCCCAGTCAATCAATAGTACATCCTGATCACGTGAATAAAGTTACGAATAAAAACTAGTATTCATATCGACTGGACATAAATAAATATAATAAGCTGGATCAGGCCAAAGTTTTTTTAATAGACACACAAATGTTAAAAAGTTAACACAACATCATACCATGAATTTCCAAGGTTGAGGATTATATTTGGGAAAATCAGATGAGATAATATTATGTACAGGGCGACATTGCATAGCTTTTTCCCATTTTATAACACCTATGCGACCCATAGTAATGAATAATTGTAAATTTTAAGTATGTATATACTCAATGGTTTTACTCACTTATATAAACATATCAATAAAAGTAAAAAAATTTAAAGTTGTAAATGACAGTATGAAGTTGATTATTAATGTAATTATGAATTGTAACCTATTTATGGTTTAAATTTAGAAAAAGTCTAGTAGGTACCTAAGTCTTTTTTTTTTTTTAATAGATGATAATGGAATGGTAGCGCCATCTGCGTTAACGGTATACTCTAGCAGAGCACCAGTGAAGGATGTAAGGGAGAATGAAAAGGCAGATCAGTTAACCCATTGTAATAAATACACCTGGAATTATGAATGTAATCGATCAAATAATAAAGAAAATAAAATTAGCGGTTATTTTGATTATTAGAAATAATCAAAATAACCGCTAAAAAATAATTTCTAACCTAAACACCCGATTATATTTGAAATATATATAGAGGGTTTAGATATCGATTTGAAAAGCAATTGGTCAAGTAACAAAGATCCTTTGGTTAGAATATATATAGCCGAATTTAAAATCTCCTTTTTGAAGTTATATTATGTAAAAAATAGTACAATATAAATATTTTTTTATTGAAAGAATATCCTCTATAAGAATACTTGCAACATCAAAAAATGACGCGAATTATTAAAAAAAATGTGAATATTTATAATTTTATTTATCCTCAAAATTTAATATGTTTATTGGGGGGGAAAGGGATTATTAATAATGGAGACTAGAAGTTCCATTGCTAGCAATGTACCCAACCAGGTCGACCTCCTCGCAGTTCTCCCTGGAAACTATCATGGTTATGATATGATTTTATAATGAATTCATCATGATAGGCTAACTGGCCTGTTTTCATTCTCATCGATCACACTTCACTGGTGCTCCGTCAGCGTATCCCGTTAGCGCAGACGGGGTTACCATACAATTTTAACCCATAAAAAAAATATGTTTATTGGTTATAAGCGATTCCTTTACTAGTTCTATTTTTTTATTTACAATATTTGCTCATCTAGTGTGCAAAAACTTTTATATAAATAAATATAGATACGTCGTGTGTGCAACTCTAATAAAGAAAAAAAGTTGAACCAGTTTTTAAGACTCGATACTCTATTAAAACCACATAAAAATTACAAAAATTGTCATAATATAGTTGTTAACAAAAGTGTTTGCTTGGGCATCTCTGTACCATTCGTGTTTCTACTGTGAAGCAGTTTGCATGGCTGTTTCGGTTTGAAGGGTGGGATATAGCAGTGAATTCACAGGACATAGAGGAATAACGAAGTCTTCGGGAATGAAAACGCATGGGGATATAATAGGCAAAACAGTATACTTCGTTTCTTCTATGGCACTGCTCATGTTTATAGGCGACGGTTATCACTTTCCATCAGGGGGGGCCGTCACCTTGTTTACCATTCTAATTTGCATAAAAAAAATTCTCTCCGAGATTCTCATGTAATGTAATAGGGAGTCATAATTTTTTTTTTAGTAATAATCTATAAATTTTTTAGCAATTTAAAATGGCAAACAAGCCGAAATGGGAACCGTCACCCACTTGAAATGGATGAAAATGAAATGGCAACTCCGCCTAGACTATTAAATTCGACAAGAATTAACCACGATTCATTTCCAGGATTAGCCGCGTGATAATCAAGATGATAGGCTATATTGCTAGCAATGAAGCCGTTAGACCACATTAATAACAATGCCTATATCTCCCCGTCGTCTTAGTAAACACTATGGCAATTGGCTTATTAAAAATTATTTTAAGGAGGATAGGGAGAGACCTTTTAAAAAAAACACTCTCAGGCATGTCTTTAAAACATAGTTGAAGCTCTGCTCACATTATAATAGGATGGACACAGAATAATGATACATCAGTAAAAAGAAACAAAAATGAGGTTTTTAATTTTTTTATTTTGTACATAAGCAGAAGTAAGAGACATTCATCTTATTACACCCACCATGTACCTGAAACAATAAAAGAAACAAATTTGAAATATCTTTTGACTAGAAAGTACTGATTGCACTGTACAAGTCTGTAAGTATTAATGTTCGCCATATAATAGTCCTTCAGATATTTTATTGTATATCGTAAGGGTGGAGATGGCTATTTATTTTTCCCTCCAATTCTTTACGTGATTCCCATAATGGGAAGACGACTGCCTCAGAGGGAACCTTCCTAATATATAAAAATCCAGGTCCAGGTTTCATTCGGTAGGTGGCAAAACAGCGTTTGCTAGTTTAATTAGTAAAATACCTAATGGAAGCGGTTGAAGCAGCGTTGCTAGATACAATTTTTTAGTGCTCAAAAATCTTCAACACTACTTCCTCCGAAGATACAATATCCTTTATTTTTACTGCTATCACAAATTTTACAATCCGTAAGGTATCATATGTTAAGCTAGGATACCTATCAGTAGTGTATCAATTTCATTCACATCGATTTAGTAGATTTTTGCGTAAAGATTAAGATACAGCTACCCATCTAAACCTCAAACCATAAACTTTTGCATTTATATCTAATAGCAGTGCATATACCATTTATAAATGGTAAATTTAAAATAAATTGTTCAAAATTCTCCTCGACAATTTTATTTTTGTCGAACAATATCTCTATTCAATTTCTTCTAAGGATAAATTTTTACACACAACACTGAAAAAATAGCATTACCAAGAACTTGTGCGATGACGGCAGAATGGCAAAACCTTATTAATATTATAAATGTGAGTTTGTTTGTTATTTTATTAGCATCTTTTAACGATTAATCCAATTACTATTACATTTGGTTAATACATGTATAACTTATGAAGGATGGAGAAGGCTATAGACTATTTTTTTTATTCCGGTTAGTGAATATCTCCCGGTTATGTAGACAAGGTTGCGAGTGAAAACTAGCAGTTTAATAATACAGTTGATCCATCATGACAATCAACATACTTATAATATAATATTAGTACTAATAAAGTAATACAATATAGCAACAATAGGAGTGAATGCAAAACATAACTAACTATATTGGAGAAGTACCTATTAGTCTGTAAATAATTTTCTGCTACTGACAGCGGTAGACTGCATCAAGTCAAAAAGTTATTATTCCAAATTCTTTCTATTAATAGAAAGTTAAGTACCTAGATAAGTTAATACTTATCTATCCGAAAATAAGTCCTTAACTTAGTACTATTTAAATGGTTTACAGATATAGTGGTCTATAATTCAAGAGTATGTTTGTAAATAATGTATAGATTTCAAAATGATGAAATCTCAGAGTATTATCAAGATAGAGATAATAAAATTGGTATTTATTTGAATTTAGGAAACCATAACTAGGTATGGGTTTTCTGGACAGAGTTCAAATAGTATGTTACAAAGTTTGTCATAATAAAAGCGGGAGTATTTTTTATTTAATGGCTAGACAATATGAAACATGTTGTATTAATAAACCTCTTGCAGGATTAATCAAAATAGATAATAATAGATTATAAGTCACCCACTTATAAAAAAAATAAATAAATAAAGATAGCTAATATAATCTGAAGTATGAAACAAAAACCAATTTGATTGAAGAGTAAATATTATAACAAAAGTTAGAAAATAAAAAAACAAGTTATCCTATTTTAACTGATGAAACACACATAATGCAGTCTTATCTTTTTAACTAAATCATTAACAGTAACAAAAATCTATAAAAGTATTTAAGTTTGTGGGTTTTCAACAGACTTCAAAGAGAAGGTTCTTAATTTGTTTGTCCTTTTTTAACTTTGTTAACTCATAATTCCATCAGTTGTAAACGAATTTAGAAATTATTTTTTTATGTGACAGGATATCTTTTATCTTTGTATTTACTAACAAATTGGCCCTAAAGTAATTATTTGAATTGGTTCAGTTTCAAAGTAATTAGTATTGCTACAAAGTTTTTTTTTTTAACCTAATTTTAGTTAATGTATTTACTTTTGTAAAGATTTAATATCAATATAGATATTAACTCAAGAGGGTTATCGGTTACAAATATGTGTGAAGGAAAATATGAAATAAACATTAATAGGATTTATAAACCATTACTCCACTAGAACTAGTTTCTTCTAATATATAGAATGTCAAGTTAAATACTATTGACATGTTGCTTAGGCATGTAGAAAATTGTTATTAATGTCTTGTTTTCTTTCATATTAAAATTAATGCTAGTAAGTAACAAAACCACTTCTAATATTAAAACTCAAAATTTTAAAAGTAATAACTAGGCCTGTGGGATATGATAACAATCCCTTAAGTTTAAATTTGAGAAGAGAATCCAAGTATAAAGCAATCTCTTATAATCTCTAATATTTAAAAATGTTAGTAAAGACTGACTGTGAATGGGCCGTCTTAAAATATTTTGTAAACTAGCTAATACTTAATGAAAGTAAATACCTAACATTTTTTATTTATGGGTGAGCTTGTCTCCCAATACCCTCACATAGGAAAGCATCAGTACAATAACACATTTTACAATAATAGAAATAACATTAGATTTTAAATCTCTGAATACAAACACTTCATGGTCATCCAACAACAAAATTTAACACATAATCAATTAAATTTAATTTCAGTCTCAATTCAAGTGTATTATAGCCCACCATACCCAATAAAAACATACTCAGATATATATGAGAATAAGACACCTTAAAACCATACTGTTTTATGTATAAGCTCCTTCCAAATTAGTTTTGGATTTTTCTACTATAAGTATATATATGATGCAATTTAGAATGGCAAACAAGCTGACGGCCCAACTAATGGAAAGTGGTAACAATCACCTATAGAAATTTAGACACATGTGGATTTCAAATAATTGCATTACTTTTGAATTTACTAGGAACAAAAGCATTATATAGCATTTTAATAGCTTGTATACAATTTAGCTGTTGTGCTTGTTGGAATACAAATCCGAGAGTTCTAAATGCCTGAGTGCACAATATGCATTGTAAAAGGTCTTAAGACATCAAAACCCCAGATCTCTCCACTTTACACTACTTATCAATGAGCTTCCCGACTGATAATTACACATAATTGTTTCTATTTACCCTAATAGGAAACAGGGGTGACAGATATGTATGTTAACATTTTAACTAATGGTTATACTGGAATATTTGGTATTATTGAATATTAAGTGATTATTTACACGTGTATAATATTATGGGATTATTTACACGTGTCTAAAGTTATGCACTAATATTAATAAAAATTTTAAATTAGATGAAAACCTATATTAGAGAAACACAGTATTACATATTCCCACCAATGAAATATTGTAAAACCAATATGATGCACATTTTAATGTAACCTAAGAAAATTAATATTTAAATAAGTTAATAAAAACTTACCATTTTATTTGGACCTCGCACGCATCTTCCTCCTTTTACGCTTTAGCCTCCGCATACGCTTTTTACGCCACTGTAATAAAACAAATGCAATTGTTAAAATGTGGTACTTACTTTATTTCGAAACAAATGGAATAAGGGATAATTGTAATAAATTGAAAAAATACCTTTGCTCTCATGTTAAATAAACTAAACTGTAGAAGATTGCTATGAAATATAAGTTTTATCTATAGTGATCGACTTTTACTTTAACGATACAATAATTAACATGTACACCGCTAAGAGATCCGCTTTCAAAAGAGAAATGATAATAAGCTGTGTTGCCCACTAAGCGTTAAGTGTTTACAGCAGGACTATACTATTCTTATCTATGGCAATATTGCCAGATGCAATCTTTTTATTTTAACCCAAATTTAAAATACAAAATTGGTACGACTTTCCTTCGTATCGATTTTTTCTATATTTGTTCATGTAATGATTACGCCAATGATAATAAATAAAATTCTATGTAACTTAATCCGATTTTTTACATGGAATTATTTAATACTTGCTCTGAAAATGCAAACTATATTGAAATTCCATTTTTACATTATTTATAGCACACTTATTCATAAAAATAAAAATCTTCTACATGTCTTTTTAATTACAACCCTGTTTTGCTACTTAGTTTCAAATTGGTAATTTATCTCAAAAGAAAGAGGCAAAACAAATCAATAGGTAAAATAGTTTTATCTATGAGGTAAAACTATATTAAAAATGTTCATATGTATTTTCGAGGTTCTCCTCATAAAAGTTTTTACCATAGACTTAGTATACCATATTAAGGTTTTACCATGATAGTTGTACAATCTTAGTATACCATATTGCAATATACTATTAGAATAGATACATGGTTTTTATACCTATGTAATAACATTTTATTAGACCGAGATCAGATCGAGAGCGAATCAAATACTATAGGGTAAATAAAATGTAAAATTATATTATGTATAATAGCATGATTACTTTCTTTTTTTTTATTTGATGGAGTTAATTAACCATTTTCCCACATTCTTCGCCATTGATAATAAAAACTAGGTAGTTAGGTAATTTCGTTACAATTATATTCAAGTTAATCTATCTGTACAATAACATTTAATGATTTGGTGTATGCATGATCATAATTTTTAAAATTTCACTATTTATTTTTAATTAAATTAATGAATATATAAAACTGTTCATATATATATATTTAACAATCGTGTTTAATCGTACGAGGGGAAGTCAAAAAGTTTGCGGAATGGAGGGGTTGGTTTACTCGTCCAGGTAGTATATTATATGCCAAGTTTGACCAAATCGGGTCCTTCACTTTTGAGTTATCTACCTGCAAGCAAATGAATCGGGAAGAAGTCAGCGAGTATGGAGAACATTTAACGCTGCGCCGTTATTAAATTCCTCACCAAGCAAGGAAAATCCGTTCAGATGATTTTTCAAGAGCTGTTAGCAGTTTACGCGGACTCTGCCCCTGGTAAAATCATGGTTTACAAATGGTTTTCATAGTCTTTTCAAACAAGGAAGAGAGTCTATTAAAGATGACCCTCGCTCCGGACGTCCAATTGAGGCCACCACATCGGAAATCGTCGCAAAAGTAGAAAAACTTATATTAGAAGATATCCGGCTGAAGAAAAAGCAACTTACAGCAATGGTTGGAGTAACCGAAACAAGTATTTTAAATATTCTACATTATCATCATCTTGGCATGACTAAGGGCAGTGCAAGATGGGTTCCAAGAATGCTCACGCCACTTCAAAAAGTGAGCGAGTCGAGTGTTTTTGAAAGTTTTGGAGCTCTGTGGAGAGAGTAAGGAAGAAGTTATGGCCCGGATTGTCACTGGAAATGAAACCTGGGTTTACCACTATGAACCTGAGTCGAAGCAAGAGTCGATACAGTGGCATAAAAAAGGCAAAACTCCTCCATTTAAAGTATTACAATTGCTCGGAAAGATCATGGCGACTATCTTTTGGGATACAGAAGGTATTTTGCAGATCGATTATAAAGATCGTGGTGTGACTATAACGAGACAGTACTACGCTTGTTTACTGAACAGATTGAAAGAAGCTATCAAGGAAAAAAGAAGAGGAAAGCTGTCAAAAGGTGTGCTCCTTTTGCACGACAACGCTCCCGTCCACACGTGCCATGTTGCGGCGGCTGCAATCCACCGATGCGGGTTTGAAAAATTAGACCTTACAGCCCACACTCGGCCCCAGCGACTAATATTTATTTTCAAAAATGAAAAAGTAGCCGCGTAAAAAAAAAATTGATGACGATGAAGAAGTCAAGGTTTGCAATTTCGGCCTATTTTGACAGCAAAGATAAATTTTATTTTTCGATGGTATAAACAAATTGTTTGAGAGATACGAAAAATGTATTAAGGTTAAGGGAAAATATATTGAAAAAGAAAAATAGTTTCATGTTTAATTTTCTCCCTTTGTAGTTAATCTTGATGAATTCTTCATAATGGACAAAACTGACCTGTTTTCATTTCATCTATATTTCTTTGAACTTTGAAGTATGTTTTTTTGGTTTACCATATGAATTGTGAATTCTTATTTGATTTTCGATCCATTGTAGAAATGAATAACCATCAAAAGGTTATTAATATTTATTTTTCGGAAGAATTTGATGTCATCTTCGAATGATTTCATTATCTTTTCTTCCCCATTTACTTCAGCTTTTTACCGTTTCTCTTTCACCTAATTTGCCATTTCTGAGAACTATAGTGTTATGTCGTACGAACATTATCTTATATACCTTATATTAACATTACCCTTTAAACAAAAACATGTCTATGCAAGGACACCTGCATTACGGCAGTGCCACGAATTGGACAAAGATAGCGAAGTAGTTCGACATTCTTACAATTTCTATCTAGTAAGTGGAATCCAGTTAAAAAAAAGTATATTGTCTAAAAGTTTTTAGAGTTTTGTAAATAATTTACATAATAAAGTTTACTAATTAAATTATTATTTAATTATCATTATATTACTTATTAAGTGTGTATACTTATACATGTATACTTATTTTAGAACCTTATGTCTTTTTCCTTATTCACCCCGCTTCTGCTCCAAGTGATACGCATATTTCGCTCTAAATAAATCAACTATTTACTTTTTTAATAATTGTGTATTTAATCATATTTTTAAATAAATTTAAATAACCGGAGAGATTTAGAATGCGTAAATATGACAATTTTTTTAACAAAATGAAGAATTGAAGCGTGAATTTTGTGACAGTCGATTTTGTGTCTATTCACCTCGTTTTACGGTAGGTCTCTCAATAATATTATTTTGGATATTACATATATATAATCAACAATGGCGTATGTTTTTATCGATGTAGCAATATTTATTTATTTTCATCATTAAAATAATTATAACATCATGACAGTAAAAAAAATATGTAAAGTGGTTAAAGTAAAAAAGTTATACACAAAATAATTTTCTTACTTGTTTAATAATGTAATTAAATCGTAATATTTTATTATGTTGGGAAAAGCAATTTTGGTAATCGTAAATAACAAACCTTTCACCCCATAAGCATTTTTATTTGCTGATCAATAGAAAGATAGGGCAACATTATAGTATCTGTTTGACAAGATATGAAAACAACCTCCCATTCATTATTTCATTATAAGTTCGCGCCAAATTCTTACAATGTGTTGTGGCTCTTTTGTTACATTATAATAATAACATTCACCTATTACGTACATAGTTCAATTTAATTACAAGGTAAGTGTGTCTTTGAATCATAAAAAACTTTGTTGAAATGCTTATTTTTACATGATATTGTAATTTGTTGGTTTGTTCGTCGGTCATTTCCAATGTTACCAACATTGAATTATCTTTATTGAATATATATCAGTCTATCTATATACGACATCTTATATACCATAATTCCCGGTATTCATAGTTTTTCTTTATACTTTATTGATTTATTATTGTATTACTAACTAAAATAAGTATCAGAGAAGTTTACATAAAATTTTTGTTATCATTAATATGGTGTTGAATAAAAAGTGGAAGAGATGATTCTGACATTTCGGATTCTGCTAACAGCTGCGTGTTTCTGTACATTTTAGTGACGCTGGGTATGCTGTTTTAAAAATGGTTACATCCAATAAACTCCTTGATAAAAAGGTGGTGAAAATGTCTGAGCAGAAAAATAATGTCGTAGTTCCTCAGAGAACTTTATTGGGAGAAGTTAATGAACATATAACTTGCCCTTTATGCCATGGTTATTACATAGACGCAACCACCATTGTCGAATGTTTACACTCTTTTTGCCGAAGTTGTATTATAAAACACTTGCAAGTAAAAAGTTATTGTCCTGTTTGTGAAATGATGATAAATTCAGCAAAACCAAATATTAAATTAGATAAAGCACTTCAAGATATTGTATACAAGCTTGTACCTGGGTTATTTCAAAAGGAAATGGATAGAAGACAACAGTTTTATGCATCTAGACCAGGGCCTGCTGCATCTGCTACCCCAGAGCAAAGAGGTGAAGATACAGAGAGAATTATATTTAGTCCAGAAGATGTGATTTCTTTCTCCTTGGAATATGCTGATGTGACAGATACGGATAGTATCTCAAGTAAATCATCAGATAGTAATGAAGCCCAAACCATGGCTGCTGCAACGAGGCGATACTTGCAATGCCCGGCAGTTGTAAATATAAGTCACTTGAAAAAATTCCTCAGTAACAAGTTTGATATAGATAGTTCTCAATTTGCAATAGACATATTGTACAAAAGAGTCCCATTGCCAGATTATTATACATTAATGGACATAGCATATATTTATAATTGGAAAAGAAATGAGCCAATGCGTTTTTTCTATCAAATCATTGATTATGTTGCTATAAGAAATAGATTATTTGATATTAATAGAAAGGAATCACATTTTGGAGATCGGAAATCAAGTCCTACTTCTACAGAAGATACAAATGTTAGTAGCCCAGCTCCAAATCTAAATGAACATGTATCAGAGGGTTCCTCAGGAACAGATAGCCCGATGCCAGATGATAATAATTCAAAACCAATAAGTGATGTGTGTAAGAAAAATAATAACAGTGTTCTTTCACAAAGCAAAGAACTTGCTACACAAAGCAATGTGGGTTCTACAACACATGATAATTCAGGTAAAAACAGTTGTGCATCTCCTAAAAAATGTGATGAAGATGAAGAAAAATCCCAGTTTTTAAATTCCTTTGAACTAACAGCAAAAAATAGTTCTGCACATTTGAAAACTTCACCTGTTAAACCAAATAACAATGATACCACATGCACAAATGAGTCATCTACTGTAACAAAATTATCAACTTCTCCAACAAAAGAGGACAACTTGAAAAGAAAGTATCAAATACCACATAATGTACCCGAGATGAAGAAATTGAAAATTGAAATTGAAAAAGCCAAACTTACTAATATTAATACATCGTCTCACATTGGTTCCCTTACACCTGGGAATTTGACTGGAAAAACACAAGAAACATCTATAAAAGTTAAACCAGAAAGTTCTTCCAAAAGTGGCACATCTCCAACTTCAATGAACATCTCTACACAATCAGTGACAGGAGATAAAGAAGATAAAAAGGATATCAAACAAGGACCATCAAATGTTAAACAACAAATGGTAGAAAGCACTGGTATAAAAAGAATAGTAAGTGGCATTCAAAACAATTCATCTATATCCACACCAAAACGCAAAACTCCAAATGAATCACAGCTAAATATGTTACCACAATTAACATCACAAAAAACAGTTTCACCACTTAAAATTCAAGTATCAAGAGCAGAGTCACAACAACCAATTAATAAAGCTACAGATGTACCTGCAGCTTCTACAAACAAAAAAATACCTGATTTGAAACCGAGTCTTAATTCAACCCAAACATTTCAAAATAAACAACCAATCAATAAAGTTAGGATGGATCTTTTAGCTAACAATAGTGATATAGACAGAAGTAAAATTATGCCACAATTGAAATCAAGTCTTGTTCCACCTAATAGTGCACAACCTTCAGGAGATTCACTACGATCTTTATTTGACTCATGTAAAATTAATATTCCTTCATCACTGTCAATCACACTCACGGATCAGAAGTTAGATGCTCGTAATTCCAATGAACCAGTAAATGTGGAACAGAAAAAGAATATTGTAAACAAAAATTTAACTGGTGCTGGTAATGCTTTTGCCCATAAAGTACCAAGCCCCCCAGTACACAATTATATAGAAATATTAAAATTACCTGACACTGATCCCAAAAAACAAAATAAAATAGAGCCTAATGTTGAAACAAAATTGAATCCAAGTGCCAAAGTAGAGACACATGCCACTCAATCAAAACCTCCCAGTAAGTCATCAGATATATCAGCAAAAGGCCCAATACCAAATTTAAAACCTATATCTGATACAAAATTAGGTAAACAGAGTGGGAATTTCTCAGCTCCAATCACATTCCAACAAACATTTGAACAACAGCTGCAATCATTGCAGTCTGATAAGAAATCTAAATTACCTAAAAATAAATCTCAAGTTCCAAAACTTGTACCTGCAACACCAAAAACTTTCAGTGCTGTTGGTAAACCAAATAATCTCAATAGTAAGCCTAGCAACAGTGCACCTGCACCTGAAACCAAAACAAGTAGTGCTTTAGATTTGTCAACAACACATAATATTCAAAGTCAATTAGGTCCACAGCAAACATTTGATAAAGCTTTTGAAAGAATGCAGTCAATTGCAAATTTAGCAAAGAAACAAAACTTACCTTCCAAGGGGTGGGCATTGACCATGTCTCAAGGAAATGTGTTTTCTGGAATAACCAGTAGGCCATTAACTTCAGGAGTTAATCCTGTGAGGGTTCCTTCAACAAATAATGTCAATCAAATTAAACCTGAAAAAGCAATAGCAAGCACATCTCATTCTAATAATGTAGTACAAGAAGTCACAAACAAAAACAATCCAATAAAATCCACAAATAATGTTACCTCAACTGTTTCATCACCAAATTATACTGCTATGTCTCATAATTCACCAAATACTCAACCTTCACCAAGACAAACTCGGTCTCCAAGTTCTTCACCAAAATTAGTAATAGCTGAAGAAAAACAAGTCAGCAATTCTTCATCTGAATCAAATATTAATCAGTCAAGTCAGTTATTGAATTTACAATTACCAAATATGACTCAATCCAAGAGTGAATCTTCCAAAGCTTCACTAGGACCATCAAAGTCAGGTCTTAAGCCTTTTAAGCCTTTAACTCCAGGAGGTAAAGTGGCAGCAATTCGTCAACCTATACCACAATCTACAAAACTGAATCCACTGTTAAGTACTTCTTCTGATTACCATGCCTTGATAAGACATCAGTATGAAATGTTTAAAGCTCAGAGACAGTATGATATTATGTATAAAAACTCAATAGCCCAATCTCAAAATGACTTTAACAATAAGGACAAGCAATAATATGTCAAGGGATTGTTTCGAAAGTATTTTGTAATTATTTTACAGACATGTGGATTTAAAGAAGACTAATTTCGTTTCTCCAGTATGCTTAAATTCATCCAACATTTAAGGAAAATGTTTACAAGTTTTTTTTAATGTTTTGCTAGTTGCAACTTTGTAAGTTTGTTTTGATTTTTAAAAGGCACAATAAAACTATTTTTTAACATATTTCTTACTTAATTTGTATTATGTATAATTTGATTAATCAATCAAGTATTACTTTAATGATTCTTAAAAATTTGTAGTTTTAAAGATACTTATAACTTACATAGTTAAAAATGAAATCATTTTGTGTTTGTGTATTAAATTTATATTAGGTATTATATGAGATTTAATAAGATCATATAGATATTATATACATTTGTAATTTGTGAATGGATTCATAACATTTATATATATGTGTGGTATGATTAACATTCTTTATTAATATTGTGTATAAATTCGTTTTAAATTGTTAATACTATCTTTAGATTTCAATATTACTTTCAAATTTAATGAATTTGAAATTAAATGTGTACCTTAGTTTTGTTTTTAAAATAATGAAATGCAATCAATGGGGCCGACCCTGAAGTGTTATTTCTTTAAACTTATCTCTTATTATTAATAAAATTTGTTAATTTCACAAAATTACTATTTTGTGGACCATCATCAACTTAAATTATAATGATCTTGACTTAATTTATTAGAAAATTAGTTCATATTAATTCTTATAATAAAGATTTCACTGTGATATTAAACTGAAATTTTTATATCACAGGTTTAAAGAAATAAAACCATAGAATTGACCCCAATATATTTAAAATAAAATTAAAACCAATGTAATAAACCGATTTCTTTTTTCAATTACTCTTTATTCATAGTATACCCTATTGCGTTAAGATATAAACACATTGCAAAGGTATGTAGCTGATTTAAAATAATATCTAAGTACACAATTGCTTTTTTTTTTCATTTAATAACAATGTATTTTTTACAGATGTCTACTGTGCAAGCATCAATACCTTTTAAATTACGTAAAAGGGTTAATTTAGGAGTAAAAAAGTCTAATGTTGAAAATCAAGATATCCTGAACACAGAAGTATGTAAATTAAAGAAATTAAAGAGAACTTTTGCGGACGAAAATTTAAAGAATGTTGATACTCAAGGTATAGTCCCTTTTTTCTATTTAAGTGCCCATATATCTACCAAGTTTTATATTCGGGCACCTGTCAATAGAACTTTGGACTACAGCCATTAATATTATGTCGAGTGCAGAGGTATGGTGAATAGTAACTGCTTGCGTTATTGGTATATGCTGGTGGGACAATCGTGAATCGTGTATGATAGATGAGTAATAAAAGCAGGTTAATAGGTACATTATGATCACCAGGAATTATTAGAATAAACCGCCATGATTTCCAGGAGGGACCGGATGAAAATCAATCTAATAGGATATTCATTCATTCATATCAGCCGTTTATTGTCCACCGTTGAACATAGGCCTGGCCGGGAGGGGGGGGGGGGGGGGTTACCAGTAGTTGCCACGTTTGTAGACGCTTTTCAAACATAATTGTTTGTAGTAGCTTGGCAGACGGAATGGCAACCGCAGTTAGGCTTTGGTAATGTTTTAAGAAGGACGTTACTGCCCATAACACAACAATTAAGTTCCCTTAGCCTCTATTTAATTCATCCGGGACCTTACGGCTATATAGTTCTTGAAATGATAGGATATATAGTTTTTAAAGAAGGTCATCACCTATTTCGATGTGGCCCACACCGGGCCCACGCTTTTTTTACATCCCACAATATTACTTGTGGCCTCTTTCGGATTTCGGCACTCTCTTGGACCGGGGGAAGCAGAGTGATTCTTAGTAATGGAGTAATCACGATGAACCTGCCTTCATCCTCATCTATCATGCTCCACCAGTGTATACATATAATGCAGACATAGTTAGTATTCTATTTTCATTCTATTGTTTTTTTTTTTATCCTTTTGAATCACGGTGCCCTGGACTTTCATTAATGAGATCAGAACTCCATGTTGTATTTTATAAACGACCGTTGTATTATAGGATATACTTAATTACTATTTATTATTATTTTTTAGATTCTTGTATCCCAGCGAAAGCTTCAAGACGGAAAAGAAATAATAATTTTATTTATAATGACGATGATCTAAAGACTCAGGAATCTGAAAACAAGTAAGTTTTGATGTGCAACATCTTAATAATCTTTAAATAATATTAGAAATGCGAAAGTAGTTTTTTTTTTACAACACGGTGCAAACGAGCATGCGGCTCACCTGATGGTAAGTGACTACCGCCGCCTATGATCACCTACAACACCAACGGCATTGCAGGTGTGCTGCCGGCCTTTTAAAAAGGAATATGCTCTTTTTTTAAGGTTATCTTGTCGTATCGGAAATACTGCTTCTGGAAGTTGATTCCAAAGAGTGGTGCTTGGAAGAAAGTGTTTTGATTGTTTGTTACGCTTTCACGTCTAAACAGCTGAATCGATTATGATGAATTTTGGGATAGAGATAAATGGGAACCTGGAGACCCGGAGAAAGAGAGAGAGCTACTTTTTTTTCAGTCACAGTGTCATATTTAGGTCATGCGGATAAAGTCGCGGATAAAAGCTAGTAAATATTATGATGTAATTAATATTACAAAAATTTTCAGTTTTTTAGTTGAACTTCAAAAACCTTTGACGAGCCGGGAACGGGAAATTCAGTGGTTAGACAACTTTTTGTCTGACCACCTTGAGAGTGGAGAATCTGCTTCGTTGTATGTATCAGGGCAGCCTGGTACAGGAAAAACTGCCAGTTTATCATATATACTTCAGTTGAATAAGGTATCTAAAATATATAATTATTATAATGAAAATTTTTGATTACAAATATTTGTGTGTGTAATATTACAATTACAGTACAGACTAACTATGAAATGATTACGACTCTGTTAATTTACTGGAGTTCTAAATCTCTACTTTTGATATAATTGTGCAATCTACATTTCGAATTATCCAATATGACGTCGTACAACACAGATATAAATTATTTTGTTTCTATTTAGTTTTTCAATGCATTGTATTATTTTTCATGCTACGTCATATTGGAGAGTCGCTGTAATACGTGGAATATTAATCTGATATCTCATCTCAATCAGTGGGTTCGATTCTAAAGCGCCATTTTTCTAAATCTATCTCTTAATATTTTGATTTGATAGTTTCGCAAAGTCACTTCTATGGACCATCTTAAATTAACTTGATTCTAATTTATATCTTATTTAGAGATAAGTGTAGAGAAACATCGTCTCTGAATTAATCCCATTAAAATGGATGCAGTAATTTGTTGCTACGAGCGTCTAAAGAAAATCGGATACATGAGTTGTACATAAGTGTACAAAATTCTTTGTGCAGTCATGTAAGAAAAGAAAATGTTTATTTATTACTATCACAAATGTATCATGGGTGATTATTTTCTATTTCAGTTCATAAATGGATACACACACGTGTATATAAATTGCACAATGATGAAATCTGCTACTAGCATATATAGCAGGATATGTAATGAACTACAAATACGGACGGCAGGATCAACAGAAAAAACTTGTTTAAATGCTATAGAAAAATTTTTACAAAAGAAACATAAGATGATGTAAGTTTATTATTTTGCTTTTTGAAGTTGGCTCCTTGGCTCATCATGGTCAAGAAATGTTGAGAATCAGACCTATGAAATTTTGTGGATTTAAGAATTTTATAAGTACTTATAATTGATGGCTGAAGCAGGGCCGTGCCTGACGGGCGTTCATTGCGTGCACCGCACGCAGGCGGCCGATATTAAGAGGCGGCCAAATCGTTACAAGTTGTTTACTGGGCAAAATTATTATTTTTGTTTAAATTTTAAATAAAAAAATGTTTATTTTGTGCATTTTTTTTCTTAAATTTCATCCAAACATATAAATCTCATAAAACCGGTTTTTAGCCGGTTTTTCTTTTCAGAAACCGGTTTTGGGAACAAAACCAATATTTTTTTTCGTTCTCGATTTCGGTTAACCAAAAACTGATTTTTTTCCCGGTTTGATGCCCTGTGTATAATAATAAACATTAAAAATTAAAGTAGTTTTTTTTAATGATATCCTGGGGGCGGCCATACAGACTGGCACGCAGGCGGCCATATACCCAGGCACGGCCCTGGGCTGAAGTAATGTTGACTATTATATTAATAATTATTTATGTCAGCTTTATTTACTTTTTAAATTCACGGATACACAACTAGTTTAACTCAATAAGAACCCTTATACATGAGCGCCTTTGTTCATTATATTTTTATTTTTATCGATAACTTTTCACCTTAACATGAGATGGGTAAGGATGTTGTATTCTATCTCACCATAATTTTATTTAAATTACAGTTTGCTGGTATTGGACGAGATTGATCAGTTAGATAGCAAGCGGCAGTCTGTTCTGTATACAATATTCGAGTGGCCAGCGATTGCTGCTTCGGGCCTTGTACTCATCGGAATTGCGAATGCTCTTGACCTAACTGAAAGGACTCTGCCGAGGCTGCAGGCTCGCTGCTCTCTTAGACCTAACACATTGCATTTCGCACCGTACACCAAAGAACAGATTATAAATATATTCACCACTGTGCTTGCTAAAGAAGATAAGAGCAATGCGTTTTCGCCAGTTGCCTTGCAAATGTTGGCAGGTATACTATAATATATTTTGGCTTTAAGTTATCATCATCATATTAGCCGTTAACTCTCCACTATTGAACATAGGCTTCCCTCATAAGCTACACTTGGCAACCGCAGTTAGGCTTTTGGTAAGGGATGCTACTGTCCATCCTTCAACTATTAAGTTCCCTTATTCGCCTCTTACGACACCCACGGGAAAGGAAAGGAGAACCCATTTTATGCCAGGACAACATGACAATTGGTTTTAAGTAATAAATTATTATTTTGATGGCAGAATAAATAATTTCATTTTGTTATTACAAGCCGATGCGACATGTTGTTTTGTCGAAATTACATTTTCTTATCATAAAAACCCTAACTTTGTAGTAATTACATCACTTTCTGTTGGGTTGCTAATTGTGTGTATGAAGTTTCATCCATATGCAGTATTTCAGTCGTGACTTACAGATAGATTGACATTGTATAATAAGTAGCTATACTTTTTTAATTATATTTTAACTGTAAAACTAACAAACGGATTGACTTATGTGTTATTTAGTCGGAAATGTTTAACATTCATGACTAAGGGTTTTGGATTGTTTTGAAACTAGTCAAGCATTCTCTGCTAAAATATAATACAAACCTATTACAGCTAAAATATATTTACTTTCTTGATGCTCAATTTATCACCCCGGTTAACTGGAACTTTGAAATCTCGTTACATAATTATCTGGGTTTTTCTTATACGTGTTGGGCAAAATATATAACATATAACCTATATGTATAGGGGGAAAGGGATTGTTAATAATGGAACTTGACTGCCCGATTGTTAGCAATATACGCTATCAGGTCAACCTCCACGTGGATTCCCTTAGAAACCTGCTGATTCTTGTTGAATTCTTCACGATGGGCTAACTGACCTACTTCATCCTCACCTATCATCATTCACTAGTACCCGCCAGTGTATACTGATAGTACAGGCGGGGTTATCATTCCATTATCACCCAATAAAAAAACCTATATGTATAAAGAAAATATTTGTTTCACAGAATAACTAGTGTACTTTCTTTATTTTTCTGGTCTGATCTTAAGATTTAATATGTTCTAGTTGTTAAGCCATCACGTTGTGTGAGATCTATGTGTATACTTGAATCGTGCTGTATGTATCGAATCAGAATGAATAAATAAATAAATAATAAAATACTTATTTGCAGCTAAAATTGCCGCTGTATCTGGTGATATGAGACGAGCTTTAGATATAGGGAGAAGAGTTATCGAACTAGCTAGACGCAGTAAATTCTCAGAGAATCAATCTGTTGACAATATGATGAAGGACGCCACAGTAACCGTAGAGCTAAAACAAGTCCTCCAAGTACTTAATGACGTTTATGGTGGTTCAAGGAATATAGAAAACGATGTGGATGAGGGCATTCCTATGCAACAAAAGCTGATACTGTGTAGTCTCATGCTGATACTAACGAAGGGGAAGAATAAAGATGTTGTAATGGGAAAACTGCATGATGTTTATAAAAGGTGAGATTAAAATAATAAGGGAACAGTTCAGATGTACAACTTATAACCATTTAACGTTTTGCAATTATGTAGGTTTATTTTTGAAATCCTCAATACCATCAAAAGCCGGATTGTGAATAGTAATAGGGAACAATCTCACTGCATTAATGTTTTAGTTTTCTATATGAGTTCTTTTTTAATAAAAAAAAAATAGAACAAAAGAAGCACGAAATCAAGATTAATTGTCTAGAAATGAGAATTTTGAAAAGTTTATGTTGTGAAATAATAAAAGGCAGAAAGAGGTATAGTGTGATTAGAAAGATGATATTAGTGGGAACGTTAGTAGTGGTATAGGGAATGTTATGGCGGTTTGGTCATTTCAAAAGGACGAAGGAAAGTATAGTTAGAGAGAGTAGAGGGAAGACGTTGAGTGCAAATGAGAGTAATGATCTTTAGAGGGTTTTTGGAGGAAACTGGCTAATATGTCTTGTAGTTATGTGTGTACTTGTAAATGTCCTCAGAGTGGCGTTGGCACGGAACATCGCTCCATTGGACATGAGCGAGATGGCGGGCGCATGTTCGCTTCTGGAGGCACGCGGGGCGGTGCGGGTGTGCGGGTCAAGTGGGGCGGGGGGACGCGGCCGTCGCCTACGCTTGCAGTGGGACGAATCCGAGCTTGTCGCTACCCTACGGGACAAGCCTTTACTTTCCGCTATACTTAACGACGTCACCTGTTTAAACTCTATCTAAAACCTTCCTAATAGAATTGCAAGTGTTATTAAGGAGCATGAAGAAGAAATAATGCCTCTTTTGTTTACCATTCGTTTTTGTCGCTTGCACATTTTGTATTATATCATATCGTTGCAATTGCATAGATGTTAATGTTATAATACGTACTGTGTATGTACATAGACACGGGTTCCTTCAAAATAAAAAAAAAAAGATATCTGTAATCTGAGATCATTAACTATACAATATTAACTTTTAAAGTTTCGCGTTGCATGGTTTATAAGAGACGGCAATTAGGTAGATGAGGTAAAAACGTCAGGTAAATTATCATACGTTACCTAAATGATCGCGTTAATTCCCGTCTCTTATAAACCATTAGCTATACAATATTAAATCTCTTTGTTTATTTTGAAGCAGTAATATGTTTTATAGATGGTCAAAAACATTAAATAAAGGTCATTATGATATTCTACGTACTGTATGACCATGCTTTAGTTAGAATAATCAGCGTGCACGAATGTGGTTAGATTTAATAAATAACAATGGAAACGCCGCCTGCGTTAACGGTATACGCTAGCGGGCCAACACTGATGAATGATAGGTGAGATGAAAAGGCAGATCAGTTAGTCTATTGTGGTGAAAACACCAGGAATTAAGCGCGATGTTTTCCAGCGAGGATCATGTGGAGGTCAATCTGACAGGGACCACTACCAATATATGGTAGTAATGGGACTGGTAATTAGTATTACTAACAATCTCTTCAAAATGTGGATAGATTAGCTAATTAAGACTGACCTAGAAGACTGCTCAGATTGCTGCAGGTTCAGAATATCTGTGTATCAAAGTCTTGGAAAAAGATCTCATATGCGGATCGTAGATTCTGCGGTGTCTTCTTAGTTGTAGGATTGGTCAGAATAGTTTTATAGTGGATTTTTGTTTTATATTTAGACAATTTATTTATTGATTTTTTTGTAATGGCACCGCACATTGACTCATTTGCATGCGCAATATTTTAACTTTCTGACGTGAAATACATATGTTCTTTGTAATTGATGTGTTTAGTAAATATTTTAAATATGCCTTTATCGAAATAACTATAGAAATCAAATAGTTAAGAAGGTGTTTGTATTTCTTGGTTATGTACTGTTCTCTAATGTTATTTTTGTATTATTTCTAAACGACCAATTTTGACAAATAGACATCTTGTTTATTGAATATAATTATTATTTCATTCAATCGCACGATACCCATTGCTGTTTGATATGGCAAGTATACTCATATGGACCATATATACTATATGTATATATGACAGTGTTTAATACATTTTATATAAAAAAGTACTTTTTTTCTTTAGTATAATTATTGAAATATCACATTTATGACGATTTATATTAATACTGTTCCGTTTAAAGAAGTCTATATCCTTTGGTATACATTAGTAATTTTTGGTATATACTCTCTTTTGATTTAATTTGGTTTCAAAATTAAGATATTTGGAAAGCGACCTGTGTGTTTATATTGTATTTACATAGTCTGTATAGATATCACAGGTTTTTAAAAGTAAATTGTAAAATTTAAAAAATTCATATCGTTGGTTTGTATTGATGAAAGTAAATGTGCATTAAAAAAGTAGGTAAATGTAAATTACAATAGAACTGTATTTGTTAATATTTCAATATAAATTATTGTTGACGATCTTAGTGGTTTAGCGATTCATTTCGCGCAAATTTGTAAATACAAATGTGTGGGAAACGAACTGCTAGACCACTAAAGTCGTACTCATAAATATGGGTATGACTGTTTGTATTGATCTGGACGTTTTCTATGTATGTATTAACAAAAATTGGAAATATTTCTATCAGTTGTATCTTATAATATATACATATATCTTTATTAATTTCAAACTAGATTTAATATGGCCAGTGGTATTTGTATTTTGGAGTACTTTACAGTATAGTAAGAATTTTGATAATCTGTAGCCATTCGTACTTGCGATATTTAATACAAGGATAGAAATATGTGTAGATAAGGATGGGTACACATACCATTTTTTTTGTATGTGGTCTCTTATTATTTAAAAGATTGTAAATGCCTATTGAAGTAAAAATACGAATATACGGTTCTGACATATTCTACGAATCACTATATTATAGAATATTCATAACATTTACGACATACACGCATCATTTGTAATACTCTTCCAATCATGACTAGGAACATTATTATCTTACAATTCGATATGTATCACGCAAATCTGTAGATATTATGATTGTTATGTAATTTTTTGTTCTGTGAATAATTATTGCTTCCTTGTGTTGGTCACAGCATTGTCTTGATATTGTTTGTTTCCAATGGTTCCTTTTATGAATTATTTTATAACGTTTCTCTCTGAATCTAGAATATGGTCTATCTATGTGCCAGATTAAATTCCGATCATCTCTAATGCCTTTCAACTTTTACATTTTATATAATTTGTTCTTTATTACATTGAGAAATATAGTAACAATTATAATTAGGGATTAATGTAAGTGAAGATGACCTCATCTCTAAATATCTCAATCCAGTTCTTTTCCTAACGTAACGCTATGGCATAGGAAGTAATGAGTGGACAATAGTGCTAGAGAATATATTTGGTGTACTACCACTTGCCAGTAAAATTATAGGGTATGTAGGCATAATATCTTAGTCTTTATGAATGGAAACTATAAACATTGTTTTCTTTAAATTATTATGTTACTGGCGGTTATTCATGACTATTGGCAATAGTGAGCCCTTTCTATCAGGTGCGCTGTCAGTTTGTTTGGCATTTCGAATTGCAAAAAAAACAAACATTGATAGTAGTTAGATAATTTCGCTTTTAAACCTGTTGAAACCACGTAGGTGTTATTTCTTCGTCTTTTATTTATCTGAGATGTTATGTAATTTCGTTGGAGACTTTCATCTGACGTGGTGGTTGTTTACTGTAATTATTTCATTCGAAATCAATAACTGAATAAGCTGTTTATTCTAATTTACCGTCTAACATTTTAGAACCGGTTACATTTTCATATTTACTATTTACATTTTAAGTTTTGTGCTTTCACTAACGTTATAACCGTTATTATGTGTCTATCTATATTCAGATTTAAATTTTACATTGATTATGTAAGCTTTAAATTATTTGTGTCTTTAGACCACGTTTTTATGTTATTTTGTAGTTTTTTTTATATAATATGGATAGGTAGTATCAAATCCTAAATAGATACGAAAGTTTTTTATTTACCTACTTATAATTTAATTAATCTTTAATATTAATTTGTTATATAAATTACCTTGATCATAACTAATATGTTATTATCTTACTATAGTGCGAAAATTCGTTATAATTTTATCATTCTGCTACATCCCGCTCTTTAACAATTTAACATTATATATAATTTAAATTTTATGGAAAACGACAGCAACAGTTGTCAGAAACAGGTGTTACGCGATATCACTGATTTATATTATACTGGCTTCTGTCTGTGACTTATGGTATTCGGTAGTCCCCATAAAATCTGAAGTAGGTGACTCCAAGAATAGGTACCTACACGTTTATAGCTTGTCAACCGGTACAGCAACTAACATACTTACCGTCATAAGTATGTTAGTTGGGAACTCGGCGGCTCTTCGCGAGAGTTCAGTGTATCACTAATACCCACCGATTTATAATTTTACTAGTATATATATTAGTATATGCAGGCACTGGCCAGTGTCATAATTCGAACGTAACGTGAACTATCGAAGTCACATACAAAGTGAAGTAACGTCTCGTTGGTGTGTCGGGCGATACCTATCTATGTCCGTCTAATCTCAAACAGCTTATTTAAAATGCTTTTTTGATTACTTTTACGTTCTTATTACGTAAGTTTTCTTCAATTGATAATTATACTTTTAATTACATTTAATGGTGTCGATTCTGAGGAGTCATTTCTGTAAACCTATCTCTTAACCTAACATGTATTTTAATTTGATAATTTCGTGAAATTACTGTTTTAGGGACCATTATAAACTAACATTGTAATAATTTTAAATCTATTAAAAATTTAATTTATATTGCTCCCTAGAATAACAATATAATTGTAATATCAAAATGAAATTTTACTTTTAGAAGTAGGTTTAGGGAAATAACAACTCGGTATCGACACCATTGTTATAGTTTCTTAAAAATATTTTGATATATTTTGTTTCTAGTAATATCGTCTATTAATATTGAGGATGATTTTGAGGCGCCATTTATGTATTTTATTTTGTAAGATTTTTAAGAATAATGATAATTAAAACATTTGTATGTTAATTCAAATTAACAAAAGAGTAAGTCGGGGGTCGTGAAATGTTTTTTCATACTATTTGTCATGAAAAAGGTTGAAAAACACTGGTTTACAGAAATAACATCTCAGAATCGGGACCCACTGTAGTTGACCAAAAGAATAGAAGAAGACTGAAGAGAAGAAAAACGGCGTTTTTTAGTTATTATAACAACTTATTATGTAAGCCAATATAATAATTTATTATTTTAAATTAGGTTAATATTAAAAACACTTCTATTATACGTAGTGTTAATACTTAAAATGTAATTGTGTGGTAAACTAAAAACTGGTAAAGAATTTTATTGTGACTGGAACTTTCAGTTTGTAAATCTTATCCTCTTTAACTGTAACTTTATAGGTAGCTATTTATTTGAAGTGTGATTTAATGTATGACGAAAATACAGTTATTATAAAATGACTTAATGTATGTAATTGTATTTTAAAACACGGTCAATAAAACTTATATTTTCCTTTAAATAATGTGGTCATAAATGTGAATTGAATTTAATATATCTTGTTTCTTTATATCTTTATTTATAAGTATTGTATAAAACATCTGTTTTTATTGAATTTCTTTAGTTTTAAATTGTCTTTTTGATTCTTTTTTTCCGTTTCGTTTTTTTATTATGTGGGAAGTAAATAAAACAATCAAGTAAAAATACCAAGTTATTTTATTCTAATACTTATGTTAATCCTATTTTGTGCAAAACAAGACCTTTTTACAAAAGTTATAACTTAGGGAGAAATCACTAGGTAGGTACCACAGAAATTATGACTGACCTTCAAATTGTGACAGTAGATTGTATTATACTAAAATACTACTTAATTACTTTGGACCTTCAAAATTAAGTAATAATATAGTATTATATTTGCGCTATACTTTCATTTTTGCTGTCACAATATAAATTATGGAAACCACCAAATAAGGTATCAATCTATATACCTCGAAGTGAATAATATGTTAAATAATAAATAACTTAAATAGAGATAGCCATTACATTTTGTACACTGCCAGCCATATAAAAATACTAAAGACGAGGGTTAATACACGATAGTTCAAGCTCATAGACGGAGTCCAGGGTTGCGGGAGCGGACAAAGTTGAGCAACTGCTCGCTGTCCTCGCAGATGAAGGGCTTCTCGTGGTTGCAAGCAACGTCGTGCCACTTGATGCCATCGTTGTAGAAGTTGTTCAGTATGGACAAACACGACTCGTCGTTACCCTGTGCAAAAAATAATGGTTGTAGAATTGACATAATAACAGTAACAGGTGATTTCATCTCACGTACAGCGCAGGTTGTTCAACTCAATTCTTAAAGTCGCAAAGTGATAACATTCCTCACGCCCAACCGGTGAATCACGACGTAAATTTCTAAGAACAACTTTCAAGTTTATTTTATGGCGTAATACCTCTCGAACGAATCGAAATTTGCCGTGGAGTTTCACTTTCTTTTGGTAGGTAAATAAATGAGATGCGGGTGTTAACACCCGCGACGTAATGATTGTGTCGGTGCAGTTAACACTTCCAATACATACCTCGCTAACTACTCTTGATCGACGTAATCATATTTTACTACTTACTTGTGCAGCTTCCCTGTTATCAGGTTGAGGTTGTCCATATCCTCCAGTGTAAGACCAATCCCCGGTGTTACGCTGCGTAGTTGGACCGATCTTGGCACCGGAGCCAGACCAGAACCAACCGTTTACATTGGGAGGTTGAAGATCGGCTCTATCACATCCGGCAAAGTTGCACTTACGACCGGACGTCCAAATATATCGGACGTTACCGCGAGCGATCCTCTGCTTAATGAATTCATTTTCCTGTCAATGAGAAAATAAGGGCATTTCAATAAAAAAACAATCCAGGCTATGCACCTTAGGAAAGAAAAAAGATGATGAGCACTTATATAGGGTTTTTCTTATGCATGCGTGCATACACCATATGGTGTTGCTATTTATTATAATAGGTTTTTTTATATAACTTCGAATGATAAGCAAGCTGACGAGCAACGTAATGGAAAGTTGTCTATAGACATAAACAGGTGTAGACATATAGTAAAATTCAACACACTAAATACATATTTAAGAAACTTGGTGGTTCTGTAAGTATACTTAAGAGCTTACCTATAGTAGCTATGTGTATATGTGCTAAGTGCTTTTAGAATATAATTGGTACTCTTCCTATCCCGATGCCAATAGGGGATAAGTGTAAAAACACTAACTACTAAAAATCCTTAGAACAATGAATAAATCATGACATTAAGCGTGTGAACTCAATACCATAGTGTCTGCATAATTACAAATGTGGCGTATCGATCTGCTTACCCGCAATGGTTAGGTACCAACTACTTATTAAGTATGCATCTCACGTCTCACCACAGAGGTTGATATCTCAACCACACCTTGCGATCATGCCTATATAAAGATTTGAGTGTCACGGCTGCTGCGGTCAATGACTTAAAATATTGTACGAATGTATTTTCATACTATAGCTAAACTTAGATTACCTACCTATTATATTTCCTAAGAAAAACAAACAAGCGAGCAGCGCGGCCGGCAGATGAAGAAAAGCGGTGCTCGTTGTTGATTATGTACCTAACCTACCTAAAGATATAGATATTAGTTCAATGTAGCTACCATTTGATACTTAAATATTTTGTACCAAAGTTCATACAAAGATCCTCAAAAGACCTTTTAATATTATTGGCTTAAAACGTCAAGTAGAAAATGAGTAGAATATAATTATTTAGAATGAGGTGTTGGTACGTATGGGTGTGTTAGTAAGTATGTAGGTAGGCGGTACTACGATGCGACAAACGGGAAGCCTGCGTCCGTCGTTTACGTCCGGTAGCAATAGCAAGAACTGGGCAATACAGCTGCAAGAGGAACTAAAGAATGTGTGCCATGTGCCACTTGTCTGGCCTCATCGCCTCATAGCCGTCGTGACGCAGTGGGCCGTTGCACCCCTTTCACGCGACGTCTTCATTGCTCTACAAACGATGCAATCCACTTACTTAATCTATTCTTATAAATATTGATAAACTTACTGATGCATCTGCTGCTTCGATCGTGTTTACTTTAAGTTTACGGCTTCAGTATTTAAATATCCGGGTTTTTATTTATTCTTAACATACGAGTATATTGGACATTCACTGTAAGGTAAGTATGTCACAATAATTGCAAATGTAAATTTCACCATATTTTACAGTCACTCGCCAAAACAAAATATTACTATATAATACTGAGTAATAAGTACTATAATAATTATCAAAATAAGTAAGTTGTTCTACCACCAATCATTTTATTGGATGGCAACATCGGGTTTATCATCTGGTATGTCGTTGCGTATAGCGTGACAATTCTGAGAATCACCAAGCGATATTTGGTAAATATTATTCAACCTAGTATTCAACCTCAACACATTTCAATGGTAAAGATGGAGTAATATATGAAAATATCTTAATCCAGATTACTTCCAATACCTAGAACGTTATGAAACTAAGGACGATGGAAAATTGTCCACAACGCAATGTCGTGAAAATTGCCTATGCAGTGGGAATTATTTTTTTAGTTAAGACCCAAGTATCGAATGAATTTTCTTCTTGTGCGATGCCTCTTATTTCTTTGCGTAATAATGTTCCGAGTTAAATTTTCACTCGACACCAAAGGAACTTTTATAAATTTGCTCGGTTCGGGATTAGGTAGTAGATCATTCCTCCTGAGACGGTAGGATGGGAAGGGCATTCCCCATCCTAAACACGAGAGGTAGCCTGCCCTACAACATCTACAGGGCGGGCCGTCGCGTCGGGCTCCGGTCATCTTCAACACGGGAGCCCGGGGACACGACATATGGGCCTCGAGGTACGTCGTGAGGTTTTAGTGGGAAAAAATCCCACACACCCCCTCTGCCTTCCCTCCGGCAGTTGGGAAGGTCTTTGGAAGATTTCCTCACGTTAAAAAAAAAGGTAGTAGATCATTAGGTTGTGTCCTCAGATGTCCATATACATGGTGTTGTAGTTTATGTTACTGTATAGTGTATATTATTATTAGATATCCTATAAAAATATTTAATACTTACCTTTTTATTGTTGTGAATATAGCTATACCTTTGCTACATCGACAGGCGATTGCAAAAGGAAGCATTTATTGAAAACTTACAAGCTTATTTCTAAACCCGGATAAATGTAAGTATATGTTATGTAGTCACCGAGAGGTATTTACATGTCAATACGTTATTACTGCTATTGTGCCTATTAAGTACCTAAGAGGTAAAAACAATAACGGTATAACTAGAATAGGACGAATGATGAAACTTGTTGTTTTTACTTCATACATTTTTTACCTATATTGAATCATTAGGTAGTTACTTAATAATGAATGGTGTGAACACTATATAAACCGTGTTCATACGTTTATTGTTTGAATTCCGGAAAAGATGTATCCAGGTAATTCCGTGTACTTTATACTCGTAGGTACAATTGTTTTAATTTAATTGTAGTAGGCTATTGAACCTCAAGACTGGATCCGGTATAAATAGAAATAAGCACTAATATAGGAGTAATAAACAATTATGCTTTCAACTTTAGTATGACTATGTGCTTTAATGACGACTGGACCAAAGACAGTAACTAGAACTCGCTACTTTTGGAATTTATACGTACATATGAGTAGCATACTATTAGACCACCATGCTCTCAATATAGAAAAATTATGTAAATAAAGTATGTTTTTCCTATCTGTAGTATGTATCTATGTATGTATGTAAATATCGTAGAAGGTACTATTGCTTATCACGTATTTTGTAAATGTATTTGAATCCAAATAGACAGGGATGTGTGACTCTATTGCTGGAGAATCAATTATAAAAGTTTAAAAAGAAATATTTTTTATTGTCGACCAATATAAAACCCGCAAACTACCTTATATAATTAAATAAAATATATTGAATCTCAATAATGGAGTCAATAAATCTCATGCCTCAGGACTGTAATGCTGTCCTAACTATTTAAAGACTTAAAATCTGATTGATAAAATCTGATCTTATATGAAGTCGATTAATAGAAAATAAAAAGTTTTGCGTGTGCATGTAGGATGACCATGGATGATCTAACCGAAGTGAATTGTGCATGAGTAGGTATACATTTGTACTAACTACAAGCTGCATCAAATTTTGCACTTATGAAATATAAATTGCGATTCAAAATTGCTACATCAAAGTTTGTTAAACTTGGAAAGTGAACGCATCACGTTCACAATTGACCCTGTGTCGTGATTTATCTAAATGAGGATTACGACAAATTGAGGTACCTATCATTTTGTAACGCACATTAAATGATCTTTATGTTCAAGCGTAGTATTATTTGTATTAGGTACCTATTCCGTGGTTCAAGGCTCATTTATCTTATGATTTAGAGAATCATCACCTTCCGCCCGCTTAGAGAAAATATTAAGGACTATATAGGTGGTACGAATCTGTATATTTATTTATACAACAACAAAGTACTTTTTAAAATTTCGGAATCTATACCGCAATATCCAAAAGTGAAAAGGACCCACGTAGGTACGAGTAAGTGGGTGACGCCGGAGTAAACATTTTTACATATTACCGAGGTTCTTTGTGTGATAAATGATAACCAAAGTGTAACTCCAATCTAATGAGAGACTTTGTACACAACTGTGGGTATAGTTTTCTGAGCAGCCATCCTTGAAAGGTTGTTTCTATTTGAAGTGTGGTAAAACATGATAATATTATTGAAGGCATCGTGGTCTATGATATATATATATCATAGACATACATATATCTTAAAATCTATTTTAAGATTCTAATATATATGTATTCTACGATATCTAACTAACTTTTGTGATTTTTATCAAATTTGTCAATTTTGAACAATAAGAAAGACAGAGAGAGAGAGAGAGAGAGAGAGAAATGAATAAGAGACACATTTTAGAATTTTTAGAAAATATTGCTCTGATGGAATGAAATTGGAAGAGTATTTTAGAGTAAATGTAATTTCTGGAAGTACTGAACTCAAACTTTTTAGTTTGTTTCATCAAATAACAAAGGACCAAATATCAGAGGAAGAATATACAAACATTGTCTGTTTTGTTGATTGATATTCCTGTGATTTTATATTTCTTTCCAAATGTCAATTTTTTTCTCCAAATTGATGATGTTTTTGTTTTTACTCAATCACAAATTTAATAGTTTTTTACTGTTTTAGCATGTAACTACTACGCAAAAAAGCCGTTATCGACACTGATTTCTTGACCTCATGCCGCCGCCTTCCTTGGAATATTCTATGGATTTATTATAAATACAAACCAGAAAATTATAAAAAAACCTGCATGGCCATGTTGTTTATTCTATTGTATAAAAAATATTCTAACAATTTAATTTATTTAAAATCGCGAACATATTTTCTTTTGTTAAAAGTTTCTTTACTCAAAATCGCGAAGAAAATATCCAATCTGGCAAGGCTGTACCAGGTGTTTCGTAAGCTTGTTTGTCATTTTATGTTGCATAAGAAAAAATCGCTATTTTTAAGCGACCTGCCTTCGTTTTTGTTTATAGAAACAAACGTAAACGTATACCCGCATGAACGTATATCCACGTATACAGGTTTATACGAATGCATCCACGATGAATATAATTTATTATATATAAGTAGATATAATATTTAATGAAATTGAAATTAACCTGCGGCGTTTCTAGTGAGACAGCGTCCATACAGTGGCGGCGGCAGATGTTTCTGGCGTCAAGCCAATCTACTTCCAGGTTCCTTGTGGGCGCATGCTCCCAGCTGAAGAAGTATGAGTGTAGAACTCCACGGGCATCCCGATATGTCGAATGACGGACCCCTGTATTAACATAAAACATAATTCATTATTATTACTTGCAGTTGGAATCGTTTGGTGATGTGCAAGAATATAATGTGTCACTAATCCTTTTTCGTGAGGGAATAGGGGAACAAAATACAATACACCAGTAGTAGTAGTATATGGTCTACTATTCTCCTTATAGGAGGAAAAGGAATTGTTAGTAATGAAGTCTAACTGGCCCCCTTGTTTTTTTTATGGGTGAAAATGAAATGGTAACCCCGCCTGCGCTAACGGGATACGCTGGTGGAGCACCAGTGAAGGGTGATCGATGAAAATGAAAACAGGCCAGTTAGCCGACCAGTTAGGTCGACCTGGCTGGGTATATTGCTAGCAATGAGATTTTTAGTCTCCATCACTAACAATCCCTTTCTTCCCTGGCCCCCTTGTTAGCCATATACCCTATAACAACCTCCACGCTGTTCCCTCTGAAAACTATCATGGTTAATGTTGAATTCGTCACGATACGCCAACTGACCTACCTCATTCTCACCTATCATCCCTCACTGGTATCTCGTCAGACTATACCAATAGCGCAGGCGGGGTCACCATTTCATTTTTACCCATTAAAAAAGGATAGTTATTCCTCCTTATAAATATAGATAAACTCGTGCTCAGCAGTACGACTATAATATATTTTTTATAATCAAGGCACTTATAATTATAAACTCGGGATTGAAAGACAGTTAATATGTTTAACGGTGTAGAGTAATCTACCTATATAGTATATATCAGGAATATATGTTTTGTATTATATTCATGCGCAGACAAAAGGACTCATAACCTAACAAGATAATGGACGAGGAGGAGTCGTTGCAACACGTCGTAAATTAGCTACAGACCACTAAGCACTTTGTACAAAAGCAATGTTACATATTGAGATGACTGTGACGACAGACCTAGGTGGTCATATTTCGAAATAGTCTTTATCTAAACGTCTTGTCGTTCGCGGCTTTACACAACAGTACTCACTCGTTCTAATTCTCATAAACCTATCCATTCAGGTAACATCCCAAATACAAAAGGTTATTAAGCGATATAAAATCTTGAATAGAGCAATACAATTCAAAATTTAGTAATCTGTTGCAGTTAGATATGTTGGACCTAGATGCACTATATAATTACACAAAAAAGAACGGTTAAATCTATACATTAGAGATTTCTATTGAAAGGATAGAGATAATATAATAATATATCTTATTTATGAATATAGGTTTTTCTCATAGATTTCCCATAGCTAAAGAATGGTTCTGAGCTACCTGCATCCACCAAATTTCTATAACACATTTCAGGTTGTTGCTATATCTAGAAACAGCGTACAATAGATCTATATGACTATTTTCACAATATGTGATCTCAGCAATTTCACTGCTATATGTCACGCTTCAATACAGACCACATTATTTCTGGAAGCTCAATATGTTCCTTCAAGTTAAACTTTAGAGCTAGTATTTAGTCAGAACTCTAGAAGTCTAGGACCTTCTGAATTTCAGAAGTTAGAATAGAAATCATACAATCCTAACCAAGTAACATGTGGAGTTCAAACGGAGTGTAGTTTTAGTAGGTAAAAACCATATCCACATACCTGATCCTGCATTTCTTTTGGGAAATCGGACGGTCTTTTTAAAGGGTTTTCACGCTTTAAATTATAAACGCAGCATAAGAGAAAAGTCAGTATCAAATGAAGCAACTACCCAGAAAATATTTTAAATAGAGGACTGACAAACAATACAATAGTCTAATCTAATCGCATCACACTAGTTAATGCTCTTGCTTTAATGAGCGTATTACTTACTGTCTCTTTTAAAACTATATGCAATTCTAACTAAGCACATCGTTAGGTCATTCAATGAAGCGGCTCTTTTGTAACGTAGAAAGTTCAATTTTACCTATCTATTTCGATATTTCATGTTCATGTAAGAATATGAATCTTGTAATCATTCGCAAATTCAAAAATCATTATTACCGTAATATACGTAGTACCTATTACTAAACCGGAAGCAACTGTAACTACTCTTTCATAAAATATTATTTTATGTATTTTTTATTCAAGTTGAGGTTATGTAATTACATATAGCTAACTTTTCATATGCCACGGCGCAGAGTACATCTGTCAAAAGGTGGGAAAGTGCATTTTTGTAAAAGGAGTTTTGAACCACGGAAGTTAGGATTAGTATCAAAAAAGGGTTTTTACGTTTTTAACATAAAAAACCTGGTCATGTATTGTCTTGCCTTGAAAAATGAGCCCCTGACGGTCCTCGAAAGTGACAGCGTCAGGCTCTACTAGGACCGATCCATCATCACGGACAGGACAGTTCTCGCGAACAAACCTGATATCGTGGTGATGGATCGGGCACTCTCGAGGTTGTTTTTGATAGATGTCACCATACCGCACGACGAGAACCTCGTGAAAGCCGAAACCGAGAAAAAGAAAAAATATCTCGACCGGGCTCACGAGGTGATCAAAATGTGGGGAGTGACGTTTATCGAAATCATTCCAATCATTTTGTCGGTGAACGGTCTTATCCCAAGCAGTCTGGAACAACATCTCAGACGGTTGGGATTCCGAGGCGGCTCACTTCCGGGAAAGATGCATAAACCGGTGCTCTTAGATTCTGCTCGCATTGTACGCCGGTTTCTCTCCCTGAAGCCCTGAGGCCCGGGGCGGGGGTTAGTTGCCATTTCCTCTTCTTAAGAGGGGAGATGTGAATTTTTGTAAAATTTAAAAAAATAATAATAAAAAAATTAATAACTAGGTATATTTGCATAAATTTGGGGTTTTATTATAGATACTTAGGTAACCAACTATTATCTCTATATAATCTATACTCTACCCAATTGCAGTTAAATAGATGGGAAATGTAAAGAAATGTAGGCGTAAGAAGTAATCACATCTTGAGTGGTGAAAGTCATAGACAAAACGAAATGTACTCGTCTAAAAGCAACATTTCGTTATGCCTATTTTTGTTTTATTGCGAAATTATTCAAGAGTTTAATGCAAATTCACTGAACATAACAAATACAAAGTCTCAGTACGTACCTAGCTAAATTTTTAAAATAAAATACGTAAAAGTAGTTACATAATATTAATTGTTATGAAAGTAGGTATCCAATCTGTTGCGAATTTTAGATATCCATTTATAAAAACATGTTGAAAATATTTTTCCATTTAATTTCAGTAAAATGGAGGTAAACACAAAGTAGGTACTAGTGCCTCTTTTAAATTTATCTTTAAACGAATAAAGTAGTATGGGAACATATGTTACCCGGTACTTATAATCTATTTTTATCTTGTAACATATAGAAATGTATCACAATTAAAATATTGTAATAGAACATTTGGTTTTAGTATTTTTTTTTAATTTAATGTGCTGCTATTTCGTCAGAAGATGATGATGTTATCAATTGTTAACTGTCCACTGCTGAATTTAGATCTCTCCTTGGGGAGGGGGGTTAGATTTTGGTAATGTTTTAAGAATAACTCTCCTGCTCATTTCTTAATTATTATGTTCTCTTAGTCGCCTCTAACGACACGCATGGGAAAGGAAGGGGTTGTCTATTCTATGCCGAGACCACACGGTCATTGAATTACTTATATATAATTTCAACAAAGACATGCCAAGATTGTTGTGAAGTCAAAAACAGATTATACATTACAGGTTATATCCTTAACCTATGTTATAATCTCTTATGCTTGAGTATTTAGTACTTTGCTAATTAGAAGCATTTTTAATGATATTAATGTTAAGGCAAATTCAATATATTGATATTGATAATAATAATTGTGTTATTATTCTTTGTTTTCTTTACATTTTTATTTGGTAAATAAATATCGGCTATTTATTTATGTAGTTTGGAAGAAATTGATATTTTGAAATTGACATAAAGGATCTTTGTTCGCTTTGTGTGCGCTACGGAATGTAGATCGATGGATCGATTGTATTGTGGTGACAAGTAGGTAGGTCCCTATATTGTGGCTTCGTATGGCGAGTGCCGCACCTTCATACGAGCTCAGTACGTATTGCAAAAGCTACTATTATGTTCCCACAATGATTGTGTAAATTTATATGAGTTTATAAAATTTATAAAATAGTATAAAATTCATGTAATGTTCATTATTTGCATCTTCATTTCACGTACTATTGGATTCACATCTAACATTATTAGAGAGATCTTAAATTAGAATACGAAATACACATAATGTATTTCGTATTCTAATTTAAGTTGGCAAAGCTACACACCTAATACCTAATACAACCCTATGATTCACACTGAAATAGGGAATGCGAATATAAAATAGTGAATGATTTAATGAGGAAATTAAACAACTTATTATTATTAAGTATTAAAAAGTCTGAAAAAAAAGTCGACAGCCCGTTTCAACTTATTCGAACAAATCCGGACCGATGGTAATTCTACGTGATTGTAGATAAAAATGTGAGTTACATATAAATAAAATAAATTTATTTTAATGCAGATATAGGTATACGTAAATAGATAATGATTGTAGAATGTAGAAGAGGTACAGGATCTGTAAATATTTTTTATGAACGCTTAGCTATGTAATTCTACAAAAGGTAAAACATGCATGCATGGTTTACCTTCCATGCAAGGTAAGCAACTCTGTGAACTCAGTACATACGTCGTGATGACCATCCTATTGGACCTTGAAGATGTGCATACTCTTGTTATTTGCTGACTGTTTATACCAAGAGTAACTCGTAATTTATTAATAGTTCACGAGTTAGCAATATATCAAGTTGGATTGCTCGAAACTAGAAACACTGCAATCAATGCGAGGACGAACCAACATTCATTTTATTTTTAGGTACCTTTTATTAGATACGTGTTTTAAAAATTATATGTACTTGATTATTTTTTCTAATACTTTAAACGTTAGGTCAATAATAAAAAATATATATTTAATTTATTTTAAACATAGTTACTATTCCTTTTATAAATAACAGTGCGGAAATTTAAAAAAAAATAGGTAGCTAACGTGAAAAGTATTAACTGATTATAAAGTCTATTATTATTTATTTTAGTTTAAATAAATTAAATCTGATGAACGAAAATTATACCAAATATCTATAAAAATATATTCATCTAAGAAAATATCTGTACTTGGTAAATATTTGTTTCCGATTTCACCTATGTAATGCAAACAGGATTCTCGACATATGTTTGAATTTGTAGAAAGCTCTTTACGTTCAATGACGAAAAATTATTTGCTATTATCAAATTTCTATATGCATAATAAAATACAATAACAATAATAAAATAAAATAAAAAAATAGTTTAGTTTGTTTTATTAAAATTATAACAAGTTTCAGTCCATTGCCATATTTAGGATTATTTCTACTGGGGCTTGACCCCTTAAAAAAGTCTTGCGATCCTGTCGTCTTTGTGAAACTTCGCTCACATCCTGGGGAATGCACCAGCCAATTCTGCTTACCCCCTAAATACATCTATATTTCTATCAGACGTTGGAAACCTAATTTATTTTTATTTATTTATTTATTATTATTTGACAAAAACACTGATTATTTTAAAAGTAAATTAAACCTAATAGGTACCTTATAGCATAGCTTAATTGTTATTTTGATATCTTTTGTAAACATAGGTCTGAATGAAAAATAAACTTTCCTATTTATATTACATTTTACTAATAATATGTACGTATGTTAATAACTATGATTGTTAAACTGCTTAAGTATATACGCAATTTGGTAAATTAATTTCAAAGCTAATTGCACTGCAAAGAAAATTATGGTCATTTAAATATTTTATTACATCTAAATTAAGCAGGCACATAATTAGCGTCGTTTAAAAATCATAATTATAATTTTTATTTAATAAATTCTACATGATGTATTTAGCATATGAATTTAGTAAATACGTACTGTTAGAGCAACTTCTGGGGTCAGGTAGAGCAAGCCGCCTTTGAGCTTCGGCAAGGCATATGACAGCGAGCAGGGCTGCAGCTGCCAGGCAGGTGTGCCGGCTCATCTGTGTACAAAACAAAACCAATTAAGTGACTCTTTATTGATCATAGATCTAACATAAAATTATGTAAATAATACGAATAACGAATTTTAAAACTAATTGATGTTTATTATTTTTTGTAATATTGATACCTAAGATTCTATTTAGTGCGTTATGGTGAATGCGTCCTTACTAAATGGGAATTGAACTCACATGCCGATGCTTGGATTCTTCATATGATACGCTATTTGGACTATAAGGCCCTTTTTTAATACCTTCTTTGGATCCCAATGTAAGCTAGTGACATGATGTGTTATAAAACTAATCCAGATTTTAAATCGATAGTATTAGTAATTGCTAAGATATGGCGTATATGTATGTCTTGATAAAGATCGCGCCGTGATTTTGTCAGCGCCGATCATTGTTCTGATGACATCACTTTTAGTTGCTTAATTGCTTATTACTAGGTACCAGGTTATGGAATTTTATTTCATATGCAATTATATCTACATTATTTTAAATTATAATTATTTTCTATACCTTTAAAGAAGAAATTTTTCACTTTATTCATTGTATTTACTTACAAAATAGGTAGAGTTCCCAAAAAAGTTAGTTATTTCTTGTAGAAACAGCCAAATAATTTAATTGACCATACGACATTTTTTTATTTTAGGGTGTTTTTCGTGTCTTATCCATACACTTAGTATAATGTACTTACGTACGTAGTATTATGATCTAAAGGTTTATCTAATTTTAACATGGTATTATATTCCATTGTTAGTGAAAATATAAAATAATATCGAAAATCATTTTTAGATTTAAGTTGTTAATTATTGAAATTCAGGGTTAAAAAACATTTATTTTTTTGAGTTGTTGTTATCTATTATTTAGACTTCCATGACGTACTTCAATCAAAATTTTGGACACGTAGAATATCGAAAAAAGTATTATAAAAGTTTCTTTGTTACCAATATAGATATGCATAAAATTAATTACATAAAAACATACTAAAATTAACTAGAATTCTCGATGGAAGAAGAAAGAGATATACAGTACAGCTTTATTCCTAGAATGTGCATGTAAATTACAATAATTACTGGCAAAAAATATACATTCGTGACTTCATTTAATAGGCAGATTCACAGAACATGGTGTGAATTTTCCCACAAAGCAAAGCTCAAATCGAAAGTAGATTTAGATATAGTTTTCATTAGAGGAGGAGGTAGTAAGTAGATATTTATATATCATCTTACGTAAAACTAGGTTTACTATCTATCAAATAAATCAACCGGGTAAAATTTTCAAAATACTCAAATTTTTTATTTAATACTTGAAAACATTTTGACGCCGAAATTTTTTTACCTTATAAAAAAAATCAAATTGTTATAACAGAATATGGAAGAAATTCCGAAAGTATAAATCTAGACAAATAAATCATACAAAATGATTCCCGGAAATTCTCTAAATTAGGATCAATCCTGGGAAATCTGAACGTACGGTAAACCTACGTGCATCGTTTCGTGACTAAAAAGAGTGGAAACGAAAACCGTCAGTTAATTCAGAACTAAATAAATAACTAATATGCTATGTATCTAAAGATTAGGTATGTAGTATTTGGAATTCTGCTATCGTGATGATATTAGGGTTGTGTGTGTTACGAGTACATATTGTAAATTGTGGTTACTATCAACAGTTACCTAGGTACCTAGTCGTCGACACCATAATTATGAGTTCGCTTTCTTTTACTTATGCATACCACAAACGTCTGAGGACAATCGATACGTGAGATGAATTTATTTTGTTGTATTTTGTGAAAGCAAAACTCGCCTTACTGACCTCCTTGTTTTAAACTTTAAATGATTGCGTAAAAAGCTGTACAGTATGAGAAATCGTCGATTTGGGAACGCATTTATGGTGACAGAAAGTTGCTTCGCTCTCTTCGGGCGTTAACTTATAAAATACCTTTATACCTTTCGAACCTTTGAGAAATTACTTTCTTTAATCATTTCTTTATGCAATACCTGTGTGAGCGTAGTGTACCTAATTGTCGAAGCTAAATAATAAGTTAATAATAATAATAAATTACTTAGTACGTGAGTTCTGTAAGATAAGTATTTTATTAATAACTTATATTTGATTAACTGTTAATTCTTTTTACATAGTATTAGTATAAAAAATATTATTATTAATTTTTATTATTAATATTTTTTTGTTTTAAGAATTAAATCGGAATTATCTATTATCTAAATAAATTTATTAAGACAGTTTTTGTAATTCTACCACTAAAAAGGTGGCGTGTAAAATCTAAATTGGTTCATAATTACCAAAGATATATTATGCCATAATAAAGAGATCAAAAAATAGCCGAACTGAGAACCTCCTTTTTTAAGAAGTCATTTAAAAATATAAAAATTGATGTGTTCAAATCAATTCAAAATAAATTATAATAAATTAAGTATTTTAAAAATTAAAATGCGCGACACAGTTTTTTGTTAGATTTTAAGATAAGGCGCATCTTATGAAATACACATCACAATGAAAGCTTATTCCTGCCTTCTTTCCTGAATTATTTTCACGCACAGAGTTTACAAATAAAGGAGTCGAAGTAAAAAAATATATTTTGATACACTGTAAAATGAGGTACGTCATTTGTGCAGCGCGTACCTCTTTTGTTGGATGTTGGTTGAAGTTAAATTGGATATGCGCGCGAACGATCACTTGTAGATGCGCGTGCGATGGCGAACACAGTGCGCGAGCGTGATGCGCGGCGATGTCGGAGGGACTGGCGCAGGCGCAGGTCTCCTCTCTAATTAAGCCTCTGGCATTCATTCACTTTCACTTCCAATAAGTATGACTTTAGCTTCACGCTACCTCTTCTTCACACAGGACTCGAAGACCTTCTGGAGGTCGTAGCCAGATGTATTAACGAGTTTACGTAATTGGTGTTGCTTAAGAATCTTCACATATTTGAAAGGTAGTAATAGTAAACGTAAAATTTTGGATATTGAAAACAACATTATTATTTATTAACATTTGGTATCTACAGCAAATCTAATGTGTGATGCGAAATATCTCATCTGCACACACAACCACAAATATATTCTGGATATTTTTTTTTTTTGTGTATACGTAAGTTTAGTTAAGTTTAGTTTTACAGGTTATAAAACACTATAAAATTCCTAACAGACACGTGATACCTTTCAACTTACGACCAACCACAAATGTGTAGGGACAAAACCTTGCAAGTGGACTTCTGAAATTCTATATTGTAATACAATTATTGTCTATCCTATAATTTTTTTATAAAGTCTGAAATCCAAGTCGTTAGCAGTACGCAACAATGTGGCTCCTGAAATTTTGTGAATCAAATATTCAAAATAGACCAAAAATTTGAGTCTCATTAAATTAATAGTTGAACGCGCCTTATTAGTATTGGAGACTCAAATTTTCTTGTTGTTTTTGACCTACGTTTCTTTGGTAAAAATGTTCGGTTTAGTTAGTAGAACACTCCCATCAAAAAATGCTGAAGATTTCGATTTCACCTTATAGTATTAGGTAGTTAGTAGGTAAGTAAAGTCCAAGGAGGATCTTGAGCAGGTCGGTCCTAAAAAAAGGTCACCAGGCTATTGTGAGAAATAACAGTACTATCAATAAATTGACTAAAACTGATTAGGCAGTTTGTCTTGATGGCACAGTCTCATTGATGAATTACATGGTACCATGTAATTCATCAATGAGACTGTGCTGTCTGTCTCATTGATGAATGTCGTCGAATTTAGTGCTATCTTTAATTGATGGCTGACTTTTACCCGTTATTTGATCCGGGTGACCAGGATTTGTTTATTGACCGGAATAAACAGTAGACTATATCCTTCTTCTTTTCCATATAATAAGTATATAACAAATTTCATAGTGATTGGTTAAGCCATTAAGGCGTTATAAAGTAACAAACAAACTCATTTCCATATTTATAATATAAGTAAGGATTGTATTTACCTATTTAGGACAAGGTCTACGATTGGGTTTTGGTCTTAAGATTGTTGACAAAACATTGAATTTTAAACTGACAAATATTCTGAAGGAAAATCGAAGTGGCAGTTGGAAGAAAAGAATCTTGACTGGTGACCCCGTCAATGCAATTCGCATTGTAAGGCGATTCTCCCCTCTAAAAGATGGAGTAACGTTTAACGTTTTATGTGTATGATAGTGAATTTATAATGATAACTAAATAATATTCTTAGATAATGTAAAGGAATACCCAAGAATTTTACCACATCTGAAGAAAATATCGAAGCACTAGCATTGGAAACACTAGAAGAAGATCTTAATATTGCTCTATGTTTATTGGTGAGTAGTGAACACTTTTTCGAAAAATTGATTATATTCGCCTATATATATTATAAACCATATTCGGATGTACTCGAAAGTACGAATAAAACAAAAAATAAATCATTTTTGGATTATCACAAAATAAGATGGCGGCAATCAAAAATAATTTATTTTTTAATAACAGGATATATTTTGATTAATATACTGTAGCTGTATTTGTACAGTTAGGATATTAAATAGGTATCTATTACTTTATGATAACTCTATTTAGAAAATGTGAGAAAATACTTTTAAAGGGAATCAAGGTATATTTCAATGGAATCGGCGTATTCATAAAAGAAAAAGATTAGTATCGCTTCTATCAGAATATTTCTTATCATAAATGATTTTTGCTACTTCGTATCTTATTCCACCAAGCTTGCAGAGGTTCTGTTCCTCATTACACACTAATTGGAGGCTTCAGTTAACTTGTTTTGCTGCTTTTATTTATTTAATATCTACTACTACTACGTTCGCAACTTACTAGTAAGACCGGGTTCATAGATCTAAAGAAGTATTTACTTAAATGGTCACACACACAACGACTTTTAATTCTATTGTTTTTTACTGTCTGAAAAATATGAGTACCTACTCATCATATCAAAGATAGTGTATAGAAATAAGATAGGTACCAACCGAATACTAGGTAGGTATTGGTTATTAGTTGTTGTCACAATTACGAGCAACAACAAATATCTGAGTAGTAATGGACACTGAGTATGTTGTGAGGTCATAAATCTCAGATAACCTGTACAGTGAAAGTAAAATTACTAGTTAGGTATTGACTTTTCGTACCTGTGTTATGATTTTTTTCTTTTATTTAACAAAATCAAGATTGTTATTCTGTCTGATAGATAATTTTTTGGTTAATCTTTTCTATCACAAGAAACGTTGATATTATGGTTGAGTAGTTTTCATTTTGCAATAACAATATTAACATTAACTAATATAGATACTTACTAACAATCTCTTTGTTTTTATTTTACGTTTTTATTTAACGAATAAAGTGCATCAATAAACGTAGAGTTGCTTAAAAATTAATTAAATAAATATATGTAAAATATATTTAGTTTCTTCCGATTGTAAATATATATAAAGTTATATTTAATACATAAAGTACTAGCTTTTACCCGCGTCTTCAACCGAGATGTAATCACTGACTGAGATTAAAAGTGACATACATATATTCTCTTCCATCCTGGAAAGTAAATGTATTTCAAATTTCATAACGATTGGTAAAGCTAAAAATGTAATAAACAAACTCATTTCATTCTCTATAATAGATAAATATTTGTTACAGGTTAAAATAACTATTCTGCAAAACCAAATCAACTTTTTTTTAAGCACAAGCATTATAAAAAACGTATTGTAATTTGGAGGGAAAAGGATGGGATTCAATAGACCCATTGCTAGTAATATATTCACCAGGTTTCCACCACGTGGTTCTACCTGGAAACTATCATGAATAATTATTGTTGAATTCATTTCGAAAGGCCAACTGACCTGTTTTATCCTCACCTATCATCAGTCACTGGTGTTTCACCAGCGTACACTTACAGACTATCATGCTTATCATGCCATTATCACCTATATTTATCAGACCTAAAATTTTATACATATAAATTTTAATAGGTACATTAATATAATAAATCTTATTTACCGCATAGACCTTTTGTTCGTTTTCGTTTATTTGTGCATTTGTTTTTTACATTACACATTAAATCGGCAATTCTATTTTTTATTAGTTCCTCTATTGTGATGTTGCTGAAGAAAGCTTCAGAATATATATTTTTTCTGATTTAATAAAATAATGACCAAAATAGCCCGACAAAATTCTAATTGTTCTCAAATTTGATTGATTGATTGATTGCTATTAGAATTCAAATTTTCATAAATATATATATATATATCATATCTTACTTTAGAATACAACCTACTACCCTTATACTAAATTTTATTCGTTCGTCAATGCGTTCAGCCGTTTTAGCGTTACAGAGTAACAAACATCCAAGCATGTTCATAAATTCACTTTTATAATATTAGGACGAGTAAGATTACTGGTTTTCTGTAATGATAACAATGTATTTTTTTTTTGTAATAAATGGATAACTATCTGAAATAAACAATCTAAACAGAGAATTACAATTAACTAGGAAAACAGACAAAATAACTTTTGCATTTCTATTATTAACATAGAAAAAAAAATAATTATCTGTTGTCAATCTTACATTGGTGTTTTATTTAATATTTTTTTGAATTAACTAGAATGGCAAACAAGCAAACAGCCCACCTGATGGAAAGTAGTAACCGTCGACTATAGTCATGAACAGTACCACGGACAACAGAGTAAAATTTGGCCTATGATACCCCCTACACATTGCGTTGCCATTCCTGAGGACTCAGGTGTTATATATCTGTATCTTGTAAATTCACTACCATATTTCATCCTTCGGACTAAAACACAGTCATGCAAACAATTGCTTCACAGTAGAAACACGAATGGAACAGAGGACCCAAGCGAACGACTTTTGTATAAAGGTTTCCTCTGGCAAAATATATTTTATTGATAATGATTCTTTTCTATATTTAACCTCGGAGTTTGATTGAATATAAATTTACGACCACGGCATTCAAATGTTGAATTGCAAACGACTCAAAAATAATAGTTATACAAGTACCTACGTTTCCCAATCACTCGATAGGTAAGCGACGCGACGGGTTGCGTTCTCGTAGCTTTATCGTCTTGAAGATAATTACGCTCAAGTTATATTCTGCATCTAGTGAGTTCATAAGAGAGGACATACATTACGCAATTATGATGTTGCAGTCTTCATAGTGAATGTATGAATAGACATAGAGCTGAAGTATATCTACTGATCAGATCCAAAACAAAATCATTAATTAATAAATACATAATTTATATGTAGACCAGTTATTTATTGCAATTTTACTTACATGGGTCAGGTTTTCCGTGGGCTAATCCCTGCGAAAAAATAAGCTTAAACAGGTATTTAGATTACAATACATCTACATCGACGCCTATGGAATGTAAATTATTCTACAATAACAAAAATTCAATACTGATAGGCACATGTATGTCTATAAAGTTTCAATCTCTTAAAAATTAGGCATCAATGTTTTTTACATCCTAATTGAACATTAGACTTTTTTATTTTGGACAAATTTGTATAAGACGTTTTCAAGAATGAAAAGAATTATATGCTTTTGGTATAAATATGGCCCATGTTAATACCAAAAGCATACAATATGGTACTAAATTCTATCGTGTGCAAAAAGTATCAACTTCGAATTGTCGTATATTATGTAAATATAAAAATATAGATGAAATAAAGAATTAAACACAAAGAAAAGATATCCATCTTACATCATCTATGCGTGTGCTAATAAGTTTAATGGGCTACAGCATGTATGTGATCGCTGTCCCCAATAATACAAGTACAGTAATATTACTGGTG